CATCGGTTCGTTCCGTGTGGTTCAACGGGTCTATCGGGAGGTTCATAGTGGTTTGGTTTGGTTTTGGACCTCTGGGGTTGTAGGAAAGTCGAGCTCTGTTCGGTTGAGCTCCTTCTCTACTTGCTTCTCACTTCTTCTTCTTCAATTTCTCTTGTTTCGTCTTCCGCGCCCCACACTCATTCGATGATTTTTGCAGATCCACCACACCATGGATCGTCAAGCTCAGCCTCCACAGGCCACAAGTCAACCGGCCGGAGCACTCCGTCACCGCCGATACCTTGGATGTGAGTTTGTCCCCTCTTCCAGCTTTTTTTAAAACTATTTTTAAAAGTTTTTTTTTAGTTGGTTCGTCGTGTGTCGCTGCTCTTCGGTCAGGGTGGGCGAGTCTGCCCTTCACACGAATAGATGCCGCGACCGGAACGATTGCCCGGCGCTCGAGTGGCCAACGCGTTTTCTCGAGTGGCCAAAAAGTTTTCAGTAATTGCATGTTTAATTCTAGAATCACCTTCTTGAAGCTTCTCCAAACTTCGACAGTACAGTACTCCACAATCTCGACTCTCATGCAGTCCTTCGGTCCGAAATAGTTCTTGCAGATGTCCCTCCTGTCGAAACTCTCAAGGATGCGACCGTCTTCATCCACTCCGAGGAACGGATCCCAAGAGAAGTAACACTCGGAATTGCGAGCTGCCAACTTCTGCGAGCACGTTGCGAAGCTGTCCGTCAGAGCGAAAAGGGTATCGCGATACGCTTGAATTCGACTGCACATTTTGGTGTCTCGAGAAGTACGGCACGGAAGATCATGGAAGCATTTCTGAAATTAAAATATAACCGAAACGAACAAGATGATTAGTGAGTACTATGATTTCCTCCGAAGTCTCATTCAAATTAGCCATGTACTCTGAATTGTTTAGCTGGTGATAGTTGTATTTCTTGAAATATCCCGTTGTCTTCTGGAAAGATCACAAAGTTCAACATCTTATTTCATGTACAGCAGACTCACCGAGAAGCAGAAGTTGGAGAGGTTCTTCTGCCATCTCGTGCACAATGGATCCTCGGCCACGAGGGACACTGAAGGTGTCAAAAATAAGCAGATTGTCGAGCAAAAAGCACGCATTTTGAGAGTTATTTCGTCTCAGAAAAAACTGATTGCTCTTTCGAAATTCCAGAATTTAAACGGTGACAAGAGGGGCGGCTGGAACAGTTGTGAAAAAAGTGATTAACGAGGGGCAGCGGGGGGCTTTGGATTTGAAAAGAAAGCAAAAAATAACAAAAATAGAGATGGAAGATGCTGGAACTCACGTTCATCTTGTTGATTGAAGCTCGAATTCTGGGGAATGCCCGAGCTGGATGAAATACTCGTTTCAGTACTGTCAAGAGCCGAAAGAACTTTATTTCTACAAACTTTATTCACTCGAAAATTGGATAAAACAGGGCCATCACAGGGCCATTGGGTGGGCCATCACAGGGCCATTGGGTGGGCCATCAGATTGGGGAAGAAGGGAGCCTCATCTCATCACAATAGGCTCACGCACACTGATTTTCCAACCTGAAATTGTCAGACAATTAATGTATTTACGACTTTTTTTGAAGCCAACCTCCAACTTATTGCAATCCACTTTCTCATTCCAATCCTTGAATTCCGCTTCCGACAGTCCGTTCGCCGTCCAGATATTGAAGCAAGTGTCACCGGGCTTGATCTTCTGACTCTTCTTGCAAAGCAACGGCAACCCAGTTCTTGCCATGCACAGCCTGAAATTCGTTTTTTTAAAAACAATTTTCAGAGTCGCATTCAGTCAAACTGACTTCTGCCCGACTGCCAGTTTGTCGCAATTCAAGCCAGGATTCATTGTTTTGAGCACGTCCAAAGTCAAGTTAATCTTTCCCTGGATCATCTTCCAGCAAGTGTCTCCGGGCTGGATTTGCTGCCATTTAGTACAGAAGTTTGTGGCATTGACTGTCGAAACGACGAGAAGAGCGAGAAGCACGAACTTGATCATTGCGATCCCTGTGAATGAGATCAGATACTTACTTGTGTTATGTATCCGAGATGCTTATAAACAACTCATCATGTGGCGGACGTGCTGCTTGGAAGAGGCGTGGTCGGCTGGCAAAAGAGAGAGCGTCACAGAAAGATCAAAAGTTGACCGGGCGAATTGAAAACAATGGAAATGTGTTTAGTTTGAACTAGATAAAGCATTCATCAGATTCGGAATATGGGCACAAGAAGTCCTCTTCGCACACACAACTTTGGCTGCCTGGTTCGAAGTAAGCGTCTCCAGAAGTCACGATCCTAATTCCAGTGCAGAAGGGTTTCTCGATTTCCATTTACATGTGGTAGACGTGCACAGACTGATCACATGAAATACAGATATCTGACGAACATTTCTAGGTGTTAATACCGTTGCCCGACAGCCAATTTGATTCCAGACAATTCAGATCGTGATTCAATCTCTTCAACTTTCCGCTTTGAATGATCTTCCAGAAAGTATCCCCCGATACTTTATTTCATGCCATTTTATACACGCGTAGGATCCCAGTGAGAAGAAAGAACAACAATAGTTTAGTTTTGTTGTGATCACGGGAATACTCGGAAAGTGGGAGAGAAGAAGAAGAAGAAGATATCTGTTTCGTGTAATCACAAAGATCATTGTTTGGAGGTGGCGAACGTGATGCGAAAGAAGAATCGGATTAAAATAATGATTATGATTAGAAAAAGAATAAATTATGTGCTCTGATTGTATCCGATGGACAGCTAACACGCTTCTCTTAACGCAGATGTCCTTTCCAGCCTGGAATTGAACAAAGTTTGGCCTGTTCCAGAGGAACTCTTCACCCACCGCCAGTTTGTTACAATCGACTCCCTTGTTCCACTCCTTGAACTGTGTCTCCGAGATTCTGTGCGATTCTCCGGCGATTCTCCGGCGGGCGGCGGCCTTCTGCAGCTTGGTGCAATTGTAGTAAAACTCACTAGAGTCCGGACCAGAAGAAGTTTGGAAATCAAAGGCGAAACACAACAACATCTTTATTCGAAGTATGTCTGCAGCTGATCGATTGGAAGCAAACTTGGCGAGACACTTTCTTGCCATCCGAGGATGAGCCAAAACATTTTCGGTGCAAGACCGTATCACCTTGACCTTGTCTGAACAATCTTCTGAAATGGTGAGTCTGTTTTTTCTCTATAACTTCCAATGAACTATGTTCCCATTGTGTTTTGATTTGATGACTCACAGACTGATATAAACAATAACAGTTTGATGAATGACCCCCAAATTCTTGGTATCAAATTTCTCTTGAAAATCAAATCATTAAACAATCCAATGGTTTTGTTGACGTCAAAAACGTCAAGATACACATGTGATTGTTGTTGTCACAATCAACACTCTTTGATCCACAGCAGCCAAGATTTTACACTCGGTCCGATGTCTTTTGTGTTTACTACGCACCCATCTGCCAAATATTATAGCAACTGAATCTTATTTTTCAGGTAAAATGATACCACCGTTACTATTTCTTCTAATCTTTCCCCTCGTTTCCGCGAAAGACTATTGCGTGGAATGGAGATCCGTGCCGGCGGGAGGGTCCTGTTGGCAGGTGGCCACCGACAAGAAGATCTCCGTGGAAGCTCTGCAGAAGCTGAATCCAGGAGTCGACTGCGAAAAGTTGAATGTTGGGCAGAAGTGAGTCAGGTGGAAACTCTTACATGAGGTGCCCCTTCTGTTTGCAGATTGTGTGTTGCCACTTCTACCGCCAAACCAGAATGCACCAAAAAGTACAAAATAGTCGGCGGAGACACGTGTTTCAACATCTGGACGGCTCAAAAACTGGCGGAAAGAGAGTTCAAAGAGATGAACGAGGGGATTGATTGCGATAAATTGGAAGTTGGCAAGGAAGTTTGTGTTGGCGTCGCGACTACGAACACTGACACGTCGGGGACTGAAAATGCGAAACCAGCACTGCCGATGGTTGAAAGTGAGTGCGCGGTACTAATTCAGATCAATCTTGAAGCCGTTCAGCCACGGAATCCTGCTACGAATACTCGACCATCAAGGAAGGAGACACGTGTTTCCAAGTGTCGGTGGCCTATGGACTGAACCTTACCGTACTTCAAAACAAATACGATTGCAATGCTCTTCAGGTACTCTCCACGTCGCTGACTATAGTTCCCGTTTCCTTTTCAGATCGGCGATACCATTTGCGTTTCCAAGAACTACACTTGCCAACATCGCTTTGAAATCAAGTCGGGAGACACGTGTTGGTTCATGGAGAACGCCTTCAAAACGAACCAGACAGAAGTGGAGAGGGCGAATGAAGGAGTGAAGTGCGACAATCTGCCGGTGGGTCGGATGATGTGTGTTTGGTCGGCGGACGATAAGAAACTGCCGAACATGACGTGCACAAACTGGAAGAAGATGGACAAGGACGGAGTGAGCTGTTACGAGCTGGCGAGGGAGAACCTCATCACAATCGATCACTTCAAATTTCTGAATCCGAGAGTCAATTGCACTCAGAAAATTCCGAAAGATGCGAACGTTTGTGTCAGGGATCAAGCGACGAAGGACTGTGTTTCCATTCAACCAGTGGATCCCAATGACAATTGCACGAAGATCATGCAGATCTATCAAATAAGTAACTGGCGTCTGATGCACTTGAATCCAACTCTGAGATGTGACCGATTGAAGAAAACTGAACAGATATGTGTGGGAAATGGGCCGTTCAAACAGAGCGAATGCGTGGACTCCCAACGTGTCACTCCTGAGATTGACAATTGTGAGAAGCTGGCGAAGGCTACTGGACTGAGCATCGGACAGATTGAGGCATTGAATCCGAGAATGAAGTGTGGGCGCAAGTTCGAATGGGGCTCCCTCGTCTGCACAGCGAACCTGGGAATCGATACGAAGTCGGCGCAAGACCTCATTGTTTCAAGTTTGAAGGAAATCGCTCCGGATCTCGTTAATAAGGTATATTTTCATGAAAATGACAGATCACAACAGATGTTTTTCAGTATGGTGACTACAAGAAGACGCCCAATGAAGAGACTGAGAACGCGATGAACGAGCAACTCGTCACTGATCTTCAGAAGCCGGCAGTGAACTCGAAGCTCAAAGAGCTCTACAAGAGCAACGAAGAGATCCGGAAAGTGCTCGACAGTCAGCACCCTTTGCCACGTCAGTCTTACTGTGATGAGGTAAAAAAGACCAACATGGCGGACAACATCAAGAACTGTTTCTGCGGAAATGAAGAACTTCTGATGTACTGTCAAGTGTTGGCGGTGAAACTTTTCACGGACGGAATGGAGGGGGACGATGATGATCTCGGACAAAATGCCACCGCCTTGAGAGCAATCAGGTACTTCATTCTCAATTATCAGATTTCTAAAATTGTTCTAGTTCCAGAAGAAAACGTCAAGTGTGCAGTATCTCTACCCCACTCGATGAACTTGGAAGCATAAACGTGGTCAAAAGTCTGGCGGGAGGATGTTTCGGCGGTGGATGTGCCTTTCCGATCGGCATTGTCGAACTGCACATTGATGTGGATTTGTGCGTTCCGATTGTCAGTTACGCGGCGGACACCATTCAGTTTTGCGAGAAATCGGAGAATGACTGCACGAAAGTGGAGGTCGAGGACATTTCCGGAATGAAGTTCCTTTCGGAGAGAAAACTCGGTGGCAGTCTGAGTCTCTGTGCGATCGGATCGAAACTGATCAAAATGCTTTCGAAGGGAGGCCTCAATCTGTGTTGGGAAGTCTTCGTGGCCGACTATTACGGGTTCATTGGAAAGTTGAACCTCGGCTCCAACCTAAAACTTATTGTGATCACAGTTAGTTCGGTGTTAAAAGTGCTCAAACTCATAGTATCCCTTCAGGTTGAAGGAGGAGCGACCATGAAGGTTCACGGCCTTGCGTTCCCCAAAATGTGCCGAATAAACGAGTTCCAATGCGAAGATTACTGTAGATGGACGGATGAGAATTGGCCGAATGGAAAAGCGTACGGATACTTCAAGTTCAGAGCTCTCAAGGTCTTTGGATTCAAAGGGTTCAAAATAGTCGAGGACGAATTCAACGCGCCGAAGAAATTGGGATGCGAAGCAGGCAAAGAAGCGGCAGTGGTGATCAGAAACGACAGAAACTGCCAGAACCCGGACGAGAGGTCCGTGCAGAGAAGGTGTTGGAGTGGAGATGATATGGTAGGGAAGAGAGAATGTGAACAGATCTGACCGAGATTACTTCAGATGGGATGGGACCCACTCGACAAGGAATGGGGCTTCAGTTTCCAGCCAAACGTCTTCGGAAGTACTCTTTTCGTGTGCGAGTTTGTCGATAAATCTGGCCAGAAAATCGGTTTTGATGTGTACGGAGGAAAGTCGAAAAACCGAGGGAAACAAAGTTTCTATTACGTCATCAAGAACGATGGAATCTACTTTGGAATGGAGAAATTCAAAGAGGACAAACTAATGGGATCCTGGAATAGCAAGTGCGAAGAACAGAAGCCAGAGCCGCCGAAGCCGGAAGTGCCGAAGACGGAAGAGCCGACAGGAACGAGCACGGTGCCGGCCGCGGGTTGTGGAAAGAGAATAGTCGGGTACTACACCGGATGGGGAGAACGGGAGATCACGGAGAATCAACTGAAGAAGCTCACCCATGTCATCTTTGCATTTGTGGCCATGTACGCGGACGGAAGTGTCAAGTTCGGAGCAGTCAGTGTAGATGATTCGGGACCGCAGGCCGCCATAAAAGCGGAGAGACGGTTCTTGGATATGAAGAGGAAGGCGAGAGCTGTCAACTCGGGAGTTCGAGTGATATTCGCAGTCGGCGGATGGGACAACTCGCAGTACTTTTCTTCTGTGGCAGCAGATCCGGGCAAGAGAAAGTGAGTGATTAGTCATATACATACATGCAAAGAGATCCGAGTGCTTGCAGGACGTTCATCGACTCGGTCGCCGCTTTTATTGAACAACACCAGATTGATGGAGTTGACTTGGACTGGGAATATCCTGATATGAACGGAAAGGACAAAGCGAATCATGTTACGTTGGCAAGAGAATTGAGAGAAAGATTCACAGAGATGGCGAAAACGAAAGGGAGGAAAGATCCTTATATCATCACTTTGGCGTCTGCTGCAGGAGAATGGAATCTGAGAAACGGATACGATCTGAGCGGAATTCTGAAGTATGCCGATTTCATTAATGTGATGAGTTATGACTATTACGGAGCCTGGGCTTCGAAATGGGGAGCCTACACGGGAACTCCCGCTCCGTTGTACTTTGGAAGTCTGAAGGGATTCTCTGGAAAGCTGAACGCCGACTTCTCCATGCGATTCTACACGTGCAAAACAAAGAAACCGAGCCAGCTGAACATGGGAGTTCCATTCTACGGAAGGTACTGGAAGAATGTGCTAGGACCCATAGATAACTCTGATCAAATGTGGAGGACGACCGCACCGAAGAATGGAGTTTACGAGGGAGGATACGTGGGATGGAGGAATCTGGAGAAGGAAGGATGGAACAAAGGAGCGACGTCGTGGCACGAAAAGACCAAGACTCCTTACATTTTGAATGCGGGCGCACGGATGTTCCTTGGATTTGAAAACGAAAGGAGTCTGAAGGAGAAGATCAGCTACGCGACGGACAGGAATCTTGGAGGGCTCATGATCTGGGCACTGGATCTGGACGACGACGCGGACACCCTTCTGAATCTCGTCTCTTCTGCTGGGCTATGCTCCGGAGGCAGTGGAGACAAAGTAACGTACACGTGCGTTCCGATCGACGACGTCAGATGGTGGACTCCGGAGAATTCCGATGAAAAGAAGCAGGGACAGTGCGGAAAATCAGCGCCATTGATCAAAGGATTCTATCCGGTTTGTGACCCGGATGACCCTGGATTCTCTTGTTGCGGAGCCGCTGGATACTGTGGAAGTGGCAAGGAGTATTGTGATTGCAAAGGATGCGTCAACTATCGCAAAGATCCGAACTTGATTCTGAAGGAACCGACGAAACCGTCAAGAGCAATTCAATGGTATACTCAAGATGCGCCGGATGGGAAAAGAGGGCGATGCGGAAAGGATATACCGAAAATAAACGGAAAAGTGAGAACTATTCGATCATGAATTAGCTATTGTTCGTGTTTAGGAACCGATATGTAACCCAGACGATGACACGAAGCACTGCTGTTCGAATGGAGGATACTGTGGAACTGGAAAGGAGTACTGTAGCTGTGACGGATGTGTCGACTACAAAAAGAATAAGGCATAAATTATTTTGTTTAATATTGTGACATGAATTATTTCTAGTTCTAATGAAATCAAGTCCTGGGAAACTAGCGACCGAACTTGTTCCTCTTTTTTCGTTTTTGAAGACGCAGCACAAAAACGTCAATTTTTCCGCAGATTGGAAGGCTGGGGCTCTGTGCCTGATATGGTTTGTGAAAAACATAACTGAAAGTATAGGGTGCATGCACGAGCCGACGGACGAGTGCTTACATTTGCAGTTCGCACCACGAGGAGGTGATCCAACAAGCAAACCATATTTTTATTGTTTCTTCGTTAGAAAGATCACCGGATGAAATGTACTAACGAAAACGTGTGCTTCCAAGCCAATTAACAAATCATCATCATGCTTATTCAATAAAAATCGAACGGTGTTTGTTATATTTCATTGAAACCAGCAATGGCTCGCACAATTATTGAGAATATCTTGGTGTGACCCGACAAGTATAATCTTTCGCTTTCGAAATGAAAGAAAACGTTTTCTCCAACGACGGCAATCCATTCGTTCCCTCTGCAAACTCGAATCGGTTGAAGAGATTGGCAGTGAACAGAAACAGTTCCATCCGAGCGAGTCCTTCTCCCAGACACACTCGTTTTCCAATCGAGAATGGCACAAGTTCTTCAACTTTTTTCAGCGAACCATTCGAATTCAAAAACCTTTCTGGTTTGAACTTTTCCGGTTCCGGGAACACTTCTGGATCACTGAGAACACTGCTGATCTGATGGACAACTGCGGTCCCTTTCGGGATGACGTATCCGGCGAGATTGACGTCTCTCGTTGTTGCATGCGGCAGGTTGATTGGAAGAAGATTCGTGAATCTTTGAGCTTCCTGAGCTACTTGACATTGAGCAACAATTTGGGGAATGACACTTACATTGATGAATGCATTCGTGTACGGCAAGTTCAGTTTGTCTTTCATTGTGACCACGCGATCTCCAACAACTTCTGACAATTCCTTTTGCATTTTCCGTTGGGCATCCATGTTGTTCACAGCAATCGCGGTCAGGAATCCCATTGTGTTGGTGGTTGTGTGCATTCCGGCCACCCACATATCAAAGCACATGTTCCTCAGTTGATCATCGGAAAACGATTCCTGGTCTCCTTCCGCTTCTCGCTTTCTTTGCTTTTTCATAAACGTTTCGACGTAGTCTTTACTCTCTTCAGCATCAAAATCGATTTCTTTCCGGTGCTCGTCGATTTGTTCTTTGAAGAAAGTGAAAATGCCATCTCGAACTTCACCAACACTGAAAGTATTATTCATTCTTCGTTGGTAAGGCTCGGTCAAAACTCAGAACTTACTCAGGCGTGAGCAGTTCCACCATAAACTGTGGCATCCAGCCGATAAGGTAGGCAATGTAGACTCGGAGACTGCCCTGGAAGTCGAAAAACAGATCAAGAAGCCGTTTGAGTTCGTTGAATCGAGTGGGATCACTGAAGCGATGTCCGAAAAGGAACTGATTGATAACATTCCCGATCGCCATGTCGAAAGCCTCCTGCATGTTGACATCCTTCCCTTCGGCTGCTCTCAACTCTTCCTCTATTTTGTCCACTTCCAACTGAATCGACGCCTCCATCGCCTCCTTTCCCAATCCGAAATCCCTCATCGTGTGCAATGCGAACCTCCGATGCTCCTTCCACGTGTTCCCATTCGTATCAATAACTCCGTGATCTCCACCGCGAAGGGAGGTGTTCAACTTCTTGTAGATCATCTTGTCCACATAACTCTCTCCGTCGTTCACAAAAGTTTCCTTCAAATCTTTGTACCCGTTGATCACTATTGTCGGTTCCGTGCCCATCCAGATCGTGTAAATCTTGCCGAACTTCTGGGCCCACGCAGCAAAAGCGTCCGTTCCCGGGGGAGGATAAGAGAACATTTCGATCATGTTCCCAATAAGTGGTAATGGCGTCGGACCTATAAAATTCTGATATGAAAGGACTGAATTAAAAATAAACTCACCGGGAGGGTACGCTCTTCGTTTCCAAAAAAGTTCGTAGAAAAGATACAGAACAGTTGAGGAGGAAAATAAAAGAAGTAACATATTTTTGAGTTGTAAGTGAGTGTGGACATCTATTGGTCTCTTTATAGTTGGAAGCGACTACACAATTCCGTGCAGTCCCCGCAGGAACGTAACGGGGAAGCAACGGGCAAATACGTACTTTGTAGTGGCGCCGGCCAAATGATTACTTTCTCTTTCGAACCAATGTTTGTCATTCTTCGAAAGATCGAAATTATACTGACATTTTATTGACTAATTAACTCAACCAAAAGTGTTTAGCAGCTAACACAGTTAGTTCTTTTCAAATGCATTCGGAGGGTAGTCAACGATCATGTTATTTCGACAGAACACGTAGTAGAGTACTAGTCGAGATCCGCAGAAAACTACATTCATAAAGTCATACGACCATCTGCGCACTGGAATGTTTTAACTTGATTATACTTACTTTACTATCATCTTGACGACTCACTGATTCTGGAGTTTCTTTCCCTTCCAAAATGGGCGACGTGTGCGGGCTCACGTAGACGTACCAGCAGAAACCGCGGACCAGGAACAGGAAATAGACGGCGAGCATGCACAGAATAGATCTCTTGATCTTTCCGGTCGTGCTGAAATCTTCTCTTCTCTTCTCTTCTCATTAAGGCAGAAGCTTACAGTTTCGGCGACTCGGCCACAATGTTCGTCAGGTTGATTCCCTCCTCGTTCTCTGCTCGTTCTCCCTCACCAACTCGCGAGATTCTGCACAATGTAATCAGTGCGAACACGAAAGTAATTGGAGCCAAAAGGAGTCCGACTGCTGGGATCACAGTGTCAGCCAGAACACGCAAAACTGAAACGCCTGATGACCTATGAATATTGAATACAGTATCCTACAACTTACACAAAATCTTGTGAGGAGAAGTGTAGAAGAACACGGAGCAAAAGTGAATTGGTGAAACCATCACATTCCATGATGTCGCCACAGTTGCTGCGAAAGCAATGATTGAAGTGGCCCAGATAAGACGGTATTTGAAGATGTCTACAGTAATAATCTTCCAAGTTTGACGGGTTTCAGAAGTGCACGTCCAGAGAAACTTTTCGAAAACGATGAAAAAGACGAGTGGAGGAATGAAGAGATTTCCGTATTCTTCGATCAATTTTATCTGGCTGTTTGTTGCGATTCCGGCCAATATCTGATAGGGGTCAGTAGGAGAGTTGAAAGAAACAAATACTCACTTCACTGCGATAGTACAAAGCAGCACTTTTGAGAACGTACTTGCAGATGTAAAGAAGGCAGTAGAGAATGTCGATGAACGAAAGTATGAACAGGAACGTGGATCCTTTCATCTCCTTTTTGAGTCGATAGCTCAGAATCTAAACTGATTGGTTGCTGCCTTTTCTGCTGTATATCCGAAGGACTCACACAGCTGAACACAAGGCCAATCACGGCGATGACTGCGAGAACGACGTCCCATTCGTTGGCGATGAACTCGGGACACGTGTTCGCGATGGCTGTCCAATTGGTCGGTTTCCTCATTCTGAAGATGGAGTGAACGAGAATGGGGAGAGAAAGGAAGAGTTTAAGAAAACTCAAACAAATCCCAGTTCTTCTTCTTCTTTTTCTTCTCGTTTTAGCCGACCACCAGTATTTTTTGCCGCTCTTCTTCTTCTTTTTTTGCCAAACAAATGGACATAGATGAGAGGAGCTCAATTGGAGAAGGCGTTGAAAAACAACGCAGAAAAGCATTGGAGGAAAGGGACCAGGCTTCTACGTATTTGTATGGAGCAGTCCACAGCTAGCTTCAAATTTCTTTTGAAATCTGACGACATATGTTTATTGTAAATTCACATAACAACCATCACTAATTTATCTATAAAAAATGACGACGCATTGAGTTGGTATTCGGTAAGCATTCAGTGAGCTGTCGCAGAAGAGGGAGAGAATCTGAAAAAATGAGAGAAGTATTTGCCATTAGCATCACATCTTCGTCGCATTCGTCGACTGGCGCACGGAGAGAATCAGAAAAAATAGCGGGCGAAGAAATAATTGTGTTGTTGGCAATGGCGGAAAAAAATCGGATGGCCTAGGTTTCCATTTAGACCACGGCCATTTCTGTCAAAATACATTTCGAGGCGCTTGCTTCTCATCCAACAGCAAACAGTAGAATTTCCACAAAAGGGAATTTTGATCGTCAACATATTTCAAAGCATTCAACGATTTTTCACTTCAAAATTGATTCGGGCTTTAAGACAAGAGCAACATTCGGTCAGTTCAAAACACAAATATCAGAGATCTGCGGCTTCTCCACAAATCAGCAACAAAGAATCCCCAAACCCCAAAACTTTATTAAGCTGAAATAATCACGTTTTCTTAATAGACTTCAACTTTAGCGGAACCAGACGTTTGTAGAAGAGCAAGATCAGCGCGGCGCCAATCAACAGAATGCCCGCCTGATAGACCATCACGTATTGGAATCCGGTAGCTTGGAAAAGAGCTCTGAAACGTGTCACGGTCAGAGTCTACACATAATTCTTACGTTGAAGTCAATGATCCGATGACGGGCGCCAAACTTCCTCCCAACGAGAAGAGTCCTTGCATAGTTCCCTGCTTTCGGGGACCCAAAACCTCTGAATAAAGTGCCGCTGAAGGCGATTCGACGAACGGGAACGCGATTCCGAAGAACACAATGAAACACATCAAGTAAACGGGCAACGGGACTCTCGTGGTCCAACTGCACCACTTGTACGTCTGGTAACAACCGCCTGCAACGTCAGTGTCCTCTCCGTCAGGCAAGTAGTCCAACGGTCCAGAATAGAAGTTCCACGGGTACATGAACACTTGGTAGAGCAGGAAGAACACGATTCCGACGAGCATCTGGATGCGTTTGTCTCTGGAAGTAGCTATGAAATGTATAAGAACTGAGCAGTGGCTGGTCAGCATCACAGTTTTCCGAGCTTCGTGCTGCCGAGGATGACGTTGAGCGCGACGGAGACGATGCACGAACAGCAGAGGGCGATTCCATTGTAGAGGATCGATTGACTATCTTTCCAATCATACAGGACAGTTGTCAGTGGGGTAGACATTCTGAATGGCTGGGATGAATTATTAAGGAAGGTGTGATACTTACACTTCGATATTGGTGGCAATGATATTGACAATCATGAACAAGTAAATGCAAACCAAAGCGGCCAAAAGATCAAAGTTCGGCACAACCACAGTCGATTCTAACATGATACTTTTTGCGAATCGTTAAGATAATACCTTACCGCTTTCATTCTCATCCATAATTCCCACGTAGTTCTCCTCGAAAAAGAAGTAGACGACCAGACAGGCAGCGAAGCAGACACCGGTCATCAGGAAAGCCACAGCGGTGAACATGTTGAAGTAGATCGATCCCATTCTCCATCCGATTTCTCCGAGAGGAGTGAAGAACGCCTGAGAACACAGATTATCCGGTCAATTCTCATATTCTCACCGAAAGCACGGGACCGAAAGAAATTCCGAGTACGTATCCTCCAGTTCCGTACGAGATCGCCTTCATTCTGTCCTTTGGGGTGGATGCTGTTGCTCCGTAAACTCTTAAAGCGGCAATATTTCCGACTCCCAGTCCAGTAACGATTCTGGCCACGAGCATGTACCATTTGGCGCCGGCGAACAAACCCAAAAGTCCATACCATGTTTGAGCTGAAAACTAAATAAACTTTCACGTTTCTTTTGGATCCAATGTTCCCACCAAGTGCGGCAATCAGAAATCCAGTGATAACTGGCCATTTCACGGACATTGTCCTCTGGTTCCAGTATCCGTAAATAGGATTCGACTGTAAGTAATGTTAACATGAAAAGTAAGAAAAACTGGGTACTTACAATGGTCGCTCCAATGTTACAAGCGGCTACAATCCATCCAAGAAAGTCCACATCTGCGGTTTTGTCCAACTGAACGTGCCTTTTATAGCGATTCCGATTTGGGATCACTCACTTTTTGCAAGTACGGCCACATAGACATATAGTAGACGGACACTTGAACGCCTACGACGAACTGGAGAAAGATGGAGATCCACATTGATCTCCAATCGGTTTCCCGTTGATCAAGGACCGCTGAGGCCGAGAATCTGGGTTCAAATGCTTTTAAAAACTGAAAACTTTCCGTGGGCTCACTCATTCTTCTCATTTCCATTTTCGTCGATAGTTCCTGATCTTGAAGTGAACGATATTCCAACCATTTGTGCTAAAAGAGAAATAGGGCAATGAAAGCCCGATTTCTGTTATCACCCGCGTGCACGGACGTTATCAGTTCAAAAAATTACAATAGACAGAGGTGCAGGAATGATCAGAAACACAAAACGTCATGCGAACTGAAGTTTGTCACTGACACGACAAGAATTAGACTCGATGAAACTGTGAATCGCTTAGCTGTTCGAAGATTGAAACGTTTATTGACCAAAGATAGAAAGAAGGCTGCTCATGCAATCCGTACTTTTTCAAGTAGTTGACATTGATCGTCTGATCTTCCGAAGACATCGGCTTGACAAAGTTCTGCACGTCGATGGTGTACTCAGCGAGAAACTTGCCATCCGCTTCCTTGTTGGCTAATAGTGAGACCATTTTCAGATTCCTAGTGAATATTGTTTCAAACGCCAGAAGAGAAATACTCTGTGGAGCTGAAGGCCGCCGGATCGTCTCAAGAAGTTCCATGCCTGCAGCGGATCAGCAGATCTACTACGACAGCTTGAAGAAGTACGGATCCGCATAATTCTCTTTTGCTCTCAATCAACTTCCCTGCCAAAGTGTTGTTGGAGCTTGTGTTTTCGTATTTTCAAAGGCACGTTGCCATTGGAAATGTGACGCGTGCCTCTTCCTTTTCGTATTCTTGTTGGTTCGTTGTGCCCCCGATTCATTGGTCCCATTTTGGTCCCGTTGCCAACCGCATTGTGCATATAAAAGAGGATCTACGCAGTTCGTAGGCAGGTATCCGTGCATTCTTCGAATTTAAATATTTCTCCACCATGTCTGCCTACCCGACCAACGTGTTCACCGTCCAGCCACAACCCCAACAACATCCTGTTTACGTGTGAGTGAACCGCCGATCTTCGGTGCCTTAGATACTTTCCATTTCAGTGTTCAGCAACAGCCGCATGACTATAAGGGCTCTTCGTCCGGCTGCTGCGAGAGCTGTCTCGCCTGCTGCGTCTGTTGCCAATGCTGTGTTAGCTGCTGCTCCCTCTTCACTTGCTGGGCTGAAATCTGTTGTGCTCTTTGCAACTGACATTCTTGTTAGATTGAGGATAAATATGCTGATAGGAGTTGGCGTTTATTGTGTTTTTTCATAGAAAAAAGCAGGAATGTACAAAGAGGAACGTGAATGATTACGGAACAATGTACTGGGTTCCTCCTCCGATGTTTTCGGTTGCCTTCGCATACATCCACAAACGGTGCACGAGGACGTACTTTAGAAGTTGGGCTGAAAAAAAACGTGAAAAATGACTTCTAATCGTGAAAAAGATCGACTTTTACTGACCTCCGATGAGGAGAGCAGCGGCGAGCTCGAAGCGTATCCAGCAATGAGTCCGCGGATGAACATCTGTTTTTTGGTAGAGTCCGGCTTGAAGAGATCGTCTTCATAGTCGACCATTGTGGAGTTGTCAATCATTCCGGAAGCAGTCAAACTGGAGTACATGACCGGCCAAATCAGAAACTGGATTGCGGCCAGGACGACGCACACCAGAACCACTCGCAGTGACCATTTCAGAGCGGGCTCGTTGTTACGGGCGGATCCGAAGAAAAGGAGGGCATTCAGGAAGATGGACACGAAGAAGAGAACTGATGCGGCCCAGTTTTCAGCCCAGACGATCGAGAAGATTCCGCGAACAACTTCGAGTCCGGCGAGGAAACAAATCAACGGACGGGCCGGAATGCAGCAGAGTTTAGGGGTTTCCAGGCCGAGAGACGGGCCGGAATAGTCCATTCTATCCTGCAGAATAAAGAAAAAGTTGGATACGGGAAACGGGACGCTAAGAATGAGCAAATGCGGTTGCGAAAGAGAGAAAAACACGTGAGATCGAGAGAAAAAGGCAGTCAAATGATCAAAACACGCAGTGGGCACGGAGTAGAGGAGCGAGAGGAAGTGCGCGAACAAACAACAAAATGTAAACATTCTCTCGTCATGGCGGGTCACCGTTTACTTTTGTGATAGGAAGAAATTCTGAACGTTTCGCAAGAGATCCGGAGCGCATTTGAGTGTAAGTGAGAACGGAGCACGCGCCAGCTGTTTACGACTCTGACTCTGTTATCCGCGTTGTTTCCATGGGAATAAGACGTAGAATTCAATAATATTATATTTACACTTGCACGAAATCGAATGTTCTTTGCTGGAAATAAGTTTCGAGACTGATAAAGTGATAGGTTAAGGAAAGTTATTTACATCATTCACAATGTACATGTTTTCATAGACTAATTCGTGCGGGGAGAACATAAGATCCTCTACAAAAGCGGTCAATTGAAATTGACAAGCTTTGGAAGACCCGCCATGATAAATCCGAGTTCTGACGGTTTTCTGTAATTACAGTTCACGAACAACTGGGGGAAAGATTTGCAACCGGAGAGATCCTTGGCAAATAAGCGGACTTCTGCGTCGAAAGCCACATCGAAAACGGAGTAGTCCACTTTATTCTGATTCAAAATCCGCAACGTTTCCAACGTCTTCTCGTCATCCAGATTATTCACAAACAAAACAACTGGCTTCCGAAGAATCGTCGAAATCTTCTGGTTGCCTCTCTCTATTTTCACGTTGTCGCAGCAGACTTCAGTTTCTTCCTGCAACTCTATTTTTTCCTCAATAACATCAAAAGTTATCTCACTTCTATCTGAATTCTGGCCGTTTTGATCTTGTCCAATTGTTTTGCGTGCTTCTCACTGTGCTGCTTCAGAATACTGTTGAGCACTCGGTCGGTTTCGATCGGCTCTTCGATGCTCCCTTCTTCAAGACTCTCGACGTTCGGAATGTCGAATGGATTCAACTTGTTCATCAGAGTTTCCAGTTGGTCAATGGTATTTTGTCCTGTCTTACTATTATATTGATCGATTTCGAGCATCAATACACACATGACGTCATTGATTTCGTCCACTCTCGGCTTCAGAATCCTCATTATCTGCTCGGAGATATTTTTCTGAGCTTTTACGTCTTCAATCGATTTGTGTATCACCATAATGACCATCTTCAATATTTTCAATTCACTCTGCAATTGCTCAATGTCACTCTGCCAATACTTGTAAACATGTTGAAAATGAAGCAATTGGCCGCGCATTTGAATCATGGAATCCCTGTAAACAGAACTTTAAATAGGGAAACAAGTAGATGCTCACCTCAAAAAGATCAGTTTCTTGCTGAGAATTTCTCTAGGATCTTCATCGTTTTCAATTTCATTCTCAGCGCCAATGTCAACTGATCTGGACAGACTTCCACCCATACTTGAAAGCGAACAAACAACGAATGACCGGGAAAAACGAGTGTTTCCTCGCCCAAAAGCGTTTAGAACTGATAACGAATGATTTTGTAAAAGGTAAATAATGCAGGCGAGAAGTTTATTGAAAGTTATCATTGTTGAACCGTTTTGAAAAAGGAACCGGCGATGTTATGAAAGATCACGTTAGAGAGACGATTATAATTCAGGCAGCGACTCGGAGGAAACGAGCCATCACCTTCTTTGCGGGATATGAGCCACCTGCAGATGGAGCAGCGCCTGCATGCCCTTCGGCTTCAGCTGCTTGAGTTGGTGCGGCTTTTGGAGCAGGAGCTTGTTCCGGTGCAGGAGGAGGAGCTGAGGCCAGAGCTGGTTCTGGAGCAGCGGATCCACCTGAATATCCTCCTACAGCGCCTCCGGTAGCGCCTCCGGTAACACCTTCTTCGGCGTAAGCACGGACGACTCTTTTTTTCGTTGCTGGGTAACCACCTCCTCCTGCAGCTGTAGCAGCGCCAGCGTATCCTCCGGCAGCGGCGGTTTGAGCTGGTGCGGCTTCGGAAGCAGAAGCAGCAGCTCCGGCAGACCCTCCGGCATCCGCGGTTGGAGCTGGTGCGGCTTCGGAAGCAGAAGCAGCAGCTCCGGCAGACCCTCCGGCAGCGGCGGTTTGAGCTGGTGCGGCTTCGGAAGCAGAAGCAGCAGCTCCGGCAGACCCTCCGGCATCCGCGGTTGGAGCTGGTGCGGCTTCGGAAGCAGAAGCAGCAGCTCCGGCAGACCCTCCGGCAGCGGCGGTTTGAGCTGGTGCGGCTTCGGAAGCAGAAGCAGCAGCTCCGGCAGACCCTCCGGCATCCGCGGTTGGAGCTGGTGCGGCTTCGGAAGCAGAAGCAGCAGCTCCGGCAGACCCTCCGGCAGCGGCGGTTTGCGCTGGTGCTGCTTCGGAAGCAGCAGCAGCAGCAGCTCCGCCAGAGCCTCCGGCAGCCGCGTCACCACCGCCTCCAGAATAACCAGCTCCTCCTCCACCTCCTCCTCCTCCTCCTGCTGCTGCCGCATAATCACCGCAGCACACGGAGCAGATAGAAGCGGAAAACGCAATAATGAGAAGGAACTTCATTTCTGAAAATGTAAAGTTATTTGTTTGTGAATTTACCGAAAACATTACCGTTGCAGTTTTGAGAAGTAGCTTGAAAGTAGGAAAGTGATGATGATTCCCACTCGAGTTTAACCCTTTTTATACCAAAAGTCGAGACTGCGATCACAACACAAACGAGTTCTTACGAAAGTGTAAAAATGTCTGAAAAACAACATAAATTTAAAGTTGTAAGGTGAAGCTGGAAGAACGAAAACATGGAGTGGAACGTGAAGAAGTTAGGACATCGCACGATCTTTTGCTAGTTATGGAAGTGGCTGAGCCGAAGTTCTCATCGGTCATCTGGGACATCATCCTGTGTTTCGATGAGATACTCTTTCCAGTCATTCGTCATTTCAAGCTTTTCCACACACTACTCTTCTCAGTTTCGCTTTGAAACGACAAAATAAAAAACAGAGGACCGGTTCGTTTTGGTGTTGAAAAACTGTATAAAAGAAGGACACACATCGAGAACGACATCACATTTTCAGTGCTTCCCACAAAAAGTAAGTCAACTGGAAGAAAACTTTTCAAGCAGCAAATCAATTCCAGCAATGAAGTTCCTTCTCATTCTCGCTCTTACCTCTTCAATCTGCTCCGTGTACTGCGGTGATTATGCGGCGGCAGCGGGCGGAGGAGGAGGCGGAGGAGCTGGTGGTTATTCTGGAGGCGGTGGTAATGCGGCGCCAGCTTCTGAAGCAGCTCCTGCACCGGAGCCAGCTCCGGATGCAGCGTCAACAGCCGATGCCGGAGGATCTGTCGCCACTGCTCCAGCTGAAGGAGGTGCTACCGGAGGTGCTACCGGAGGCGCTACCGGAGGCGCTACCGGAGGCGCTACCGGAGGCGCTACCGGAGGCGCTGTCGGAGGATATTCAGGCGGAGCTGTTGCTGCTCCAGCTGAGGCAGCTCCTGCCCCAGATGCTGGCGCTGCTCCAGCTGCAGGAGGAGGTTACCCAGCCAAGTCGATGATGGCTCGTTTCCTGCGCGTTGTCTCATAATGTCTCATTCGTTCTTTCATATTTTTCTCATCGTCCCACTTACCGGTCCACTTTTTCTGATACGGTTTTTGACAAATAAACAGTTCAATCAAACTGCGCGGTCTTCAGACTTACGATAGGGAAGCGATTCTTATCATTAGGAACATTCGCAATAGATCAAAAAGTGTAGATCATCCATATTTTCTGTACTTCCCGGTTAATATTCCGTATATATTGCGCGACCGCAAGTACAAAGACTCGTTCACAATGATTCCTCAAACTCTTCTACTCCTCCTGATGCCCTTCGTGGCAGCTGCAGCCGACGGTTCTCTGACCACCAACAATTACTTCGTAACACTTCATCCATCGTTTTTTGAGTGAGTAAGGATCAGTATTCCTCTCCAACATTCCAATTTTCATTTCAGTTCAAGCTACACGGCAGAGGCCCGCATCGGAGTCGACGTGAAGGGATCTGTGAAGCTAGTCAACTTGAAAATAGCCAAGGATCTCAAAGTGAAAAGTGTAACTTTCTACACCGGATTGGCTCAAGCAGGCACTTTCAAATACGATGCGAAAAAACAAGTGCTCGCTGTCACTTTCAAAGAGCCCTTAAAGGTCGGAAAAGACGGCTACATTGAGATCGAGTATTCTGGAAAGTTCGGGCCAACTGGAGCCAATAAGGGCTTCTACCATGTGGAGAAGGCGACGTACAAAACGAACTTGAAGGTAACCGGATGGTCTTAACAAAATAAGCTGATGGTTCAGAACGGAAACGTTATCAGCCTGTTCCCAATACTCGAAGACGTTGCCGTTCCGGTAGACATCGTCCTTGATTTCGCCTATGAAACGGAAGTGACGACCAATCTGAAGACGAACAAGAAGAACGTCAAGCACTCGGAGCAGATAATCAGTGATTTCAGCAGCGGAACCAAGAAGATCAAGTTGTCCGATGTGGAGTTCACGATGGAAGTTCCTGGCATTCTGATCCTTGACTAATTTTGTTTATGTCGAATGAAGTTGGTTCAGTTTGAACGAAGACAAGGCCTTTCGCCGTTTTTTGACTTGCAAGGGATAGAAACAGCAACGCATTTCACTTCCTCGTCAGTTTAGTTTAAAAGGCAGTCAGCCACCAGAACGTTTGCCTTCCTTTTCTTGTTCATCTTTTTGACCCATTTCTCTCGTCTCTCTGTTTCTTACTTCCTTGTTTCATAGACAACTGACACTATATATCTTCCTGAAATTTCCGCATCTCGACACCAGCCTACACACACTCATAAACTTCCGAAATGACCCGAACTATTATAATCTTTACTTTTTTCGCTGCAGCATTCATGACGGAGACAGGCAAATTCACTCCGAAAAAGGTCGATATCACTTTGACTCCGGACTTCAATCAGTGAGTGTTTCAGCCGTTTTTCTCTTCAAACGTTTTGAACAACTTTCAGATACACCTTTGTTGCTAACGTGAAAGTTCATGTGGATGTTAGTGGATCCGTCAAAGACTTCGACTTCAAAATTTCCAAGGATCTGGACGTCGAGCGTGTTTCTTTCATCCAAGCTTCGCATATTTTCCGCGGAAATCCGAACAGTGAGTTTCTAAGGATCTATGAGAATTCTTAAAAGATATGACAACAAGTTTCAGGCCTTGGACACGTTGCCACCATAAAGTTTGACAAAAAAACGGAGACCGTTCATGTGACTCTTCTAACTGAAATCAACGCCGAATCGATCAAGGAAGGAGGCTATTTCGAGGTTGAGTACAACGGAAAGATCGGAGAGAAAGGGGCCAACAAGGGACTCTTCCGCCTTGACGCACTCACATTCGATACTAATTTGAAGGTAATCAGAAACATTACTTCTTCTGAAAACAGTACGAGTTCAGAACGGAAACGCGTACGCCCTCCTGCCAGTTCTCGCAGACGTGCCAGTTCTCGTGACGCTCACCGTCATCACCCCATATCGTGCTGGAGTCGACACTAAATTGGACGCCGGAGAGCACACGGATGCGCCTGGAGGACAGCTCTTCGCCAACGAATTCAACAGCGGAGAGACGAAGATCAAGCTTTCCGACTTGCACTTTAAGATCAATGCCCCAACTTTCCTGAAGCTTGACTAAGTTTGGAATCATTATGTACCGATTTAGTACTTAATCACGTCAAAACATTGAAAGTCGACATTGATACTGACTAAAACCGTTTAGCTGACGCAACTTTGACCAAAAAAGTGACCGAGAGATACACAAACAACCAAAAAACGCAATCGTTCTCTTCTTTTCGCTCCTCCCATTTCATCAACGCCTTCCGAACCAGTTTCCCCTATATAACCCCTTCTCTCGGCACTTTCCATCCACCGTTCCCGTACCGAAATGGCCGACCTTCTGACTACTTACAATCCCACGAAAGTTCTTCTTCAAATCGAACCGAATCTTTCCGATGGCACCTTTAATGGTCGCGTCAAGATCGACTATTCGTTCACCGAAGAGACTAACGAATTAAAGATCTAGGCTTCTCGTGACCTCCAGTTCACCTCGGTCCGAGTCGCCAGATTCTACGAATTCAACGAGGGATACCCTGTTTGTGAGTTGTCTTCGGAACATTTCAAATCGGATCACTGAACTTTTTCAGATGCCAGCGTTGATGTCGAGGGGTTCACTCATGATACGGAATCCGAAGTGCTCACCATCCCTCTGGATCCTCCGTCGACTCCGGAATCCACTGAAAACGGATTCTACATCGCTCTGGAGTACACTGGCGCCATCGGAGCACTAGGAGAGACGGGAGGAATCTTCGCGGTCGACGAGACGACGTTGGAAGCCAATTTAAGAGATGGAAATGCGCACAGAGTGTTCCCAAGCTATCAAGGAGGAGTTTACACTAAGTTCTGGCTGACGGTCATCACGGATGAGAGAACGAGAGTGGAGTCGAATTTGGTTCGTATCATTACAGTGAACTAAATGAAAATCGTATTGCAGGACGACGCCGGTCACCAAGATTTCGATGGAAAAGTTAAGAACAACTTTAGCGCTGACCAAATCTCGATCGAAGACGTTGCGTTCCGCGTGACACCAATTGTTGATATGGAATAGATTACCTATATGTCATCTGTACATAACTACATTTATACTTTCCTAATAAATCAATTTAACCCCGTCAAATATGAAAAGCACAAAAAAGAGTACAACTATTGCAGATTCAATGTGCTCATGATTGTCAGGAGACTCTAATCGCATTCATTCCCTACGGAGATCACGGCACATTTTGCAGCTAACAATTTGAGCGGGCACCAAACCTCGAATTCGCACTTTCACTCATTTCTAGTTTCCGTATGAATTTTGATCATTTTCACATTCCGCCTCGTGAGTACACAATTCCGGAAAACAATAATAGTAGGAGAAGAATTCAGCGCCAATGGGAAACATATCGTCCAATCAGATCGGTCCTCCGGAAGAACTTGCGCCGATTATCGCAAAGTTCCACTTTTACAATGATCTCATATCCGGATGCTTGAGTCTTATGATCAATGCGCTTCTGATATTTGTGATCACATCCAGATCAGCAGTAGGTACAAAAAAGTTCAGACGAGTTATGGCTATGTCGAAAGTGTTCGAGATGCTTTTTAGTGCAAGTTACATACTCACCGCTCCGGTATTTCTCACAGTAATATGAATGGATATCCGTGATGTCATTTTAGGTATTCACATCCGTTGACATCCCTCCCAACTTCTCAGGACTTCTCATAGTGAACACTGGATGGCAATTCAATTTCACTTACAGCCAAGTCTTTCTCTCGGCTGCTCTTATTCTGCTAACACAACTCATATTCATCTCTCCGTGGCTATATTACATTCGATACGCTCAAGTTTGCAGGCAAGAAGAAGGGTCACTTATGTATTCAATTCAGTTTTCTTCTTTCAGGAAAAACGGAGGTGGCTTGAAAGATGTCGTTATCATAATTCTCTCGAACATTCTTCTGCACTTTCTCACTTCTGTCTGCTTCATTTCCTCGTCAATTCCCACAGATGCGGACATCATTCTGCTCAAATCAGTTGCTGACAGATTCACACAAACCACTTCCGCATTTCTGCTCTTGTCCTACACTGTAAACTTGCTTTCTATCAAGTGCAGTACAATATTGAAGTTTTCAGAGAGCGATCACAACTACGGCAGAGCTGGTGTGCAAAGTAGTGTCGGTGGTTTCGGCAGTCAGCTACTTGGCTAGTCTGCTCTTCTCGACAGTCGTCATGATTTTCTGCACGATAAAGATTAACATGAAAATTCGACAGTCGAAGAACACAAGCAGCAATTTGCTGACTTTGCAAAGGAAGATGAACAGAGTGTTACTCACGCAGGTTCGTTTTCTATTCTCGTCCTCTGGCGGATAACTTTTCAATTCAGTTCTTCTGTCCGCTCCTCTTCATCCAACTCTCCTTCTTCTACTCGGTGCTCGGTCCGATCGCCGGTCTCTCCCAAGGTCTCGCCACCGACTTTCTTCCCCTTTTATTCGCCTGGTCCCCCGTTGCAAACACTCTCTTCATCTTCCTTCTCAACTCGGAAATACGAAATGCTCTTATTCGGAAACAAGCAACCACTGCCACTTCTGACGCCCGACGCTCATTTGCAAATGAGAACTGAATTCCCCTGATCCTCCGCTCTTTTCTAGAACCTCTATAATTAGCATCATGCTGCTCCTCGTGGAGCGCAGAGCCCAGAACGTGATAAATAGTAGTTGGCGTCGTCATCCGCCTTCCGCCTGTTATCACCAATTATCCATTCGTCTCTCGCTACTCCCTTGTGAGTTCCCCCGCGTTTAGTCTTGTTAGTCATGTGAGCGAGCTACTTACTTTTCGCTCACGAAACCGGAATGAGCTCTGTCGGTGAGTTGTCGCCGTACCGTCGTTCCTTCAATTCATCTCGATTCAGGTCCGCCAGCAGATGTCGCCATCGCAACGGCCAAATCTGCGTGGCTGAATAACATAATCGCCTGCGGACTCTCGATTTTTTTAAATATCGTCACAATCTGGGTGTACGTGTCGAGAAAGAATGTTCCGGGCCTCATGAAGACTATCATCGGACTCATTCGTCTACTCGAGATCGCATTTAGTGTGCTCTTCATAGTGGCGTGTCCGGTAAGCGTTTTGTGTATTGGTGTGCCGCTCGGAGATTGCAAAGATCTCTGGCACTTTGGCAATTTGGAAACCTTTGCAGGTATTCGCGTGCGTCGACTCGCCCGACGTGTTCAGCGGTCTCGTGATTGTCGATGTGGGGATCGCCTTCCCGACGAATGTCTCCCGCGTGCTCCTCATGCTCTCTCTCGTCTTTCTGACTCAGCAGATCTTCCTGTCGCCCATCACCTCCTTCATCAGATATTTTCAAATCTGTCGGTTCGTTTCACTTTTCATCCAACCCCCGCAAACTGATAGTTTTACAGAAAAGGTGTTCATCTACCTCACGTTCTACTCATTCTCACTCTCAATTCCATCTTCCTCCTGGAAAGTTCCGGTGTGTTGTGCTACGCTGGCTATCCGACAATCGATGATGAAATAGTGCTCACTGGAGTGGCCTCTTCTTATGCCGGACATTTGACTGCTTTCCTCGTGCTCTCTTACGATGTCAGTCGTTTCTTGGGAGCCAAAATGTCTCGGAATCTTTGATTTTCAGAAAAATAGAACTGGAACAGCTTCAATTATAAGCGGAGTCACCTACTTCCTCATGCTCGTTCTCTCCGTTCTCGTCATGATTCTCTGTCACCTTCGAATCAACGCAAAGATCCGCTCCAGCCAGAATATGAGTGAGAACCTGAAGATGATGCAGAAAAGGGCGAATAAAATACTGACTACCCAGGTAAGAAAACGAGTTTCTCATCCAACATTCATTTCAATTCCAGTTCATCCTAACAATGATCTTCATTCAACTCCCATTCTTCTATTCCGTGCTCGGTCCGATTCTTGGATTGTCCGACGGGCTGTCCACCTACATCTTCTCCACTCTGTTCGTGTGGGGTCCAGTGGCCAATGCTTTCGGAATGTTTGTATTCAAAACGGAAGTCCGTCGGGTGATCTTCCGATGTGCAAAAGACAGAGATCTGAGCGTTGTCAATGTGGCGGACAACAAATCGAACCGATCGGATATGAAATCTTGAACTTTTTCTGTTTTTCTATGTTCCACTTCATTTCCTGTGGTGCTGCCCCGAATCGGAACTTCCCGAACCGGAACTATTTTCAGTGCTAATTGGTTCTGATTCGTACCAGTTCTGATTCGGGAAGTTCCGATTCGGGGCAGCACCCCTGTCCGAATGATTGATCTCTTCTTTGTCGGGAACATCTTCTCTCCGTTTCCTCCTATTGTAGGGTATGAAATGTGTCCAACGATCTCTCTGAGAAACAACAGATCACAAGCAGCTACTCGTCGAATTGGCGGGACCGAAAGGCAAGGAGATAATCGGTATCTCAAACAAAATGTACCAAAACGAGACAGATCATATGGGGGCACTCTTATCACTGATTTACAAACTTATTTATTGAATTCAAAGTGAGAAGGCATCACACATCGCAACTTTGTGACTTATGATTATGGAACCTCTGGGGAAATACCCAGATGTCCGGAAGCAGCCAAAGACGTCATGAGGGTACAATGGAGCGGACTGATTGAATGATCGCAAAGAGTACATCTGAACGGGAGATCTACAATCCGAAGAAGAAGAGGAAGAAGAAGAAGAAGAAGAAGAAGAAGAAGGATCCGGATTGTCCACCACAAACAAGTTGTCAAAAACAACGCAGTCAAAACTTTGTATGTTTGAACAGATCCTTGGACCTTAAGAGGACCATATTATCAGAATGCACACCGAACAGAGCTCGTGCTCGGATCGCTCCAAAACATGCAACATGCTCCCGTGAATTCCCTCATTGTGTGGCGTATTTGCTCACTCAGCCACAGGTCCAAGATCACTTCCAAGCAAATAAGGGCTAGCGGAAGAGGTCTGGTTTTGTCTTTTCCGAGCTTCATCACCTATAAAGTGACGGTTACTTTCAAGTTTTCCGCTTTCTATCATCTGATGTTTGATTCAGTCGGGGAACACTCTTTTACAGTACTTTCGACTCGAACTCTTTTTGTTTTAGATCACATTGATCACATCTTTGAAACCGGTATAACACAGAATCTCAGACGTCGTCTGAAAACGTCGGGCCCACGTGGTCTGCTTACACTTTTCCACCACGTGCCTTTGCAATTCTTTTATGTATTTTTAACGAGATCACACATTCTGATGACGGACTGTTGGGTGAATTGATGCGAGATTCCGAAGAGTTCTGAAATCAGAAGATCATTGACCTACACTTGACATGTTGAAAACAACAAAAAGGGAAGTAGGATTGAATGGATATCGCCAACTTGGACTTGGACGACTCGCAACTGTTCTGGTGATGCCCCGTGAACTCTTATCAGACTATTTTTGTGTTCCGAAGACAGTTGAAAAGTGACACAGTTCTCTGAGCGATTAGTTCACTTCTTCTCTGGCGCTTTCATTTTCTTCGTTTCTCTTTCGGTGACCATCACTGTACACTCACGTCTCTTCCCGCTGAGGGAAACTAATTTGCGTAAAGTTGAAAGACCAATGGCAAATCCAATCATCTGATTGTTTGATTTAGTGACTTTCCATCTCTGAACCTCCTCATTTCCCTCGCTATCTGCATCCCATCCAGGTCACCCCTCAATCCTGATATGAAATGACATCCTTACGTGATAACACGATACCCCCGTCTCGTCCTCCTTAGGCTTATAGACACACATTTCTTTCTGTGCTCCGGTCTGTTGTGCTCCACTCGAAAAAATCCGAAAAAAACAGGTCAAACTGTTAAGAAAAGAGGTGTGGCTTATGTAGATTCGGATCGGCGTCACGTGTGAATCGTCTTCTGCCCACCCACCCCCTCGTATCATTTTCTGATTATATATTCTTGCCTCCACCCAACCTGATTCCCTCTTGACGTACGTTTTCTTGACTACAGTTCCAAATCGGACCTCTCCAAATCGACATGTCGCTCAAAACACATATCAAATTCGTGCTCGTCACCATTATCTACTTTGCTCACATCTACTTCCGACGCCTTCCAATCACTCTCTTGCCGTTGATCCGCGAAGAAATTGTGCTCACTAGCGATGATATAGGTAAGCGCCTTCGCTTTTCGGGAAATCGCTTCGATAAGACCCTCTCGAATCGTTATTCACTGGATCTAAAGCGTCACACTTTCATTTTCTTTAAAAAAAACGATTACCCTAACAAAACTATCATTGATGAAAAGATGAACTTTAAAAAACGAGATTTCTTCATGATCACGTATCAACAAAATTCAAGTCAGCTGTGACGAAAGGCACGTACTATCATACGACCCGCATTGAAAAGAAACCTCTGACTTTCCGAAGTCTCTTTCAGGTATACTCGTATCCTCACATGCTCTCTGCTACACAATAGGACGTCTTCTGTTCGGAGTCGCTTCCGATCGGTACTCGAAAGTTGCACTTCTGCTCCTCGGCCTGTTCACGTGCGCAGCTTGTTCTGTCGGCTTAGCCTTCTCGAACCATCTGTGGCAGTTGCTCATTGCGATGCTATTTTTGGGGATCGTACAGGGAGCCGGATGGGTTCCCGCCACTCTCCTCGTCCAATCGGTTAGTCGTTCTGTTCTTGTTGCATACAAAAGGCTTCAATGTTTTCAGTGGTACTCAAAGTCCACGTACGGCACCATGTTCTCAATCCTAGCCTGTGGTTCCACCTTCGCCGGAATCCTTCAGCCATTCTCCAAAAAGTTCTACTGGCGACACGTGGAACTGTACACTGGAGCCGGAATGTTGCTCTTCGCGGTTGTCTGTTATTTCGTACTCCAAGAAGACAATGTCTCTCCGAAACACGTGGACGAGGAGGACGAACAAGAACCGAATCCGGACAAGCCGAAGAAGAAGGGAGGACTCCGGATGATTGTCGGATCCATTGTCATCTGGCACATATCCTTCGTCTATCTGTTCACTATGGAGGTGAGACTTTTTCCCAACTTTTTTGCCCCAACTGAACTCTATTCAGATGCGTACAATCTGCGAGACATGGGTTCAATTGTTCCTGACCGATTCTCAAATGTCCCCAGATGCCTTCCAAATCACTTACGAGATCGGAGGACTCGTCGGCACAATGGCTTCCGGAATAGTCATCGATCTGGTCACGCGTCGTTTCGATGTTGACGCCACCCGCCGTGTCATCGCCGTTTCCTACACTTGTTTGATGATGTTCTCCGCGGCTGGCATATTCGAATTCCCGGTTAGTACCAGTTTTCTGAAGAGATTATGGGATTTGTGTGTAAACTGTCCCCCTCTAAATGTATGTTTTTTTCAGGAGCTCAGCTCAGTGTTCGGATTTCTGGCAGGAATGTTCGTAAACGGAAGCATCAATGTGTGGTGTATGATCGCGTCGCAAGCAGGATACACGAGAATACAAGGAACCGTCAGCGCTTTCATTTCTTTCGTCGCCAGCTGTGAGTACATATTTCCCGCTCTTCAAACTATTATCTTCTACATTTCAGCTGGATCAATGCTCGCCGGCACTCCGCTCGCCCTCCTGATCAGTCTCGTCGGATACCGCGTCTTCCTGTACATCTTCGCCGTGCAACTCCTCATCGTTCTGATCGTCTCCTCATTCCGCGTCCGGCTCCGCATGGACTCCGCGCAGAAGCAGAAGGAAACAACGAACGAAGAAGACGACGAAGGCGCGGGAGTGTGCAGCACCGTCGTCGATTCTCAGAGGAATCTGACGAGTTTGAAGAAGGAGACGAGAATTTCGATGCTTCTCGCGCTGTACGCAACGAAAAAGATCAAGCCGTTCAAAGACGTGATGGCCTCGAACAAGGTCTGAACGTGATTTAGTTTTTTAGACGATTATCCGCTAGTTTTTGATTTGTGTATGCACAGGTTGGACCAGGAAACTGAACAAAACAATTTCTGTTGAAAATCTCTCACGCTTACGGTTGTCTGTTGAATTCTCGAACACGTTTACTTCGATAATCTCAGTACGAGTCGGCCATTGACATGATTTTATAGATTTTAGTGACAAAATGACAAGTTGCTGTTGTTTCAATGACTATGTACATATGTATTGTTCATGCTTAATCATTTTTTCATATAATAAATTCATTTTTATGTGCAAAAATGGCTCCGATCTTCATACTCTATTTGAACTCTTATTTTTTAGGACTGCAGACCACTAAAATGTTGCAAGTGCGCTCCAGTGCACACTCAGTGTACTTCTCTCGGATAAAATCCAAATTTCTCAAGACTCGTGGATTTGTTTGTTTTTTATGGTTTTACTAGTTTCAAAGTGCAAAGAACAAAGTTAGCTAGTTCTAGTATTGCAAAATTTGTCATGAACACTACAAAATCTGCGTGCGGCGACAATCAAATGAGAGCCAGCAGAGAAAATGACAAAAAAGTGGCATGATTTAGAGAGCGTGCGGCCCCTGGCTGCCTCGTTTATTCGTCATCAACCGCAAACATCCTTCGAAACTTTGCTTTGCTACCTACTGTTTTCTCATTTCAGGAATGGTAACTACGAGGTCGCGGTCGAAAAACAATCGCTCAGTCAACAACGATCGCTCCAAAGAAAGGTTTTCAGCTCTTTCTCATGCAAATTTTCAAGAAAACAGTTTTCAGATACGCGTACCGGCCACGTTCCACCTTCGAAGAGTCGGATGCGCTCGTCGGCTACAGAACTATCGATCACTACCTCCAATACGACTGTCTTTTGACACGGGAGGAACTTCAGCGATTGGACGAGCATGTCTACTCGGCCGTCGACACTTCTTGGCTGGATGAGCTGTGCATGAAGAAATTCTGGGAAGCCGTCGTTCAGTTTTATCCTCTGTGGGTGGCTCCGAACCTTCTCACACTGATCGGTACTTGTCCTTCATAATTTTCTCATTACTCTTCTGCCTCTTCCAGGTCTAATTGTAAATTTAACCACCGTTCTGGTGCTCTCCTTCTACTGTCCAACAGCCACGGAAACCGCGCCGGCATGGGCCTATTTCCTCGCAGCTTTCGGCCTTTTCGTCTACCAGACACTGGACGCCACCGACGGAAAACAGGCACGCAGGATCGGAGCTTCCAGCCCTCTCGGCGAACTTTTCGACCACGGATGCGACTCGGCATCGCAGGTGAGCGGAAACGCTTTAAAATGTTAAAATTAGAAACGGTTTTATTCAGGTGTTTGTGACTTTGAATGTGTGCTACGCATTGCAATTGGGAACTGTCCGGTGTGGTGTATTCATCGCGTGCCTCATTTCCGTTTCCCTCTTCTACACGGCCCACTGGAGCACTTATTGCACTGGACAGCTGAGGTATGATTTAACATAAAATACGTCTGAAATCCGTACTTTAAATCGTTTCCAGATTCTCTCGTTTCGATGTGACGGAGGCTCAGTGGTCGATCATCACAATGCTTTTGTTCACCGCGGTCTTCGGCCCAAGCCTCTGGAGCATCGGAGTGCTCGGCTACTCTCTCAAGCACGTTCTTCTCGCCGGCGTCGCTCTCGGAACTGTCTATCAAGCTCTCGGTTACTTGTCTGTCATTTTCTCGGATGGCGTTGGCAAGAACGGATCGACAGTGGCCGGAACTTCCGTTCTCTTCCCAGCCTGCCCGCTCCTCGCAGTTATCGTTCCCTACTGCATGATCTACAGCAAATCGGCCTCTTCTGTTTACGACGACCTTATCGTTCTGTTCGTCCTTCAATTCGGAGCGGTCGCCGCGAAAGCGACAAATCGATTGATTGTGGCTCACATGAGCCGAAGCGAGCTGGTTCTTTGGGACTGGATCTATGTGGGACCAATTGCGTTGATGATTAACCAGTACTACGACATCAAGATCGACGAGCGACGTCTTCTGAAGTACACGACGGTGTACGTCTATGCCTCTCTGCTCATCTATTGTCTGTTTATCACCCGACAAATATGCGATCACATGGGCATTTTCTGTTTCAAAGTGACACCGCAAAAGCCTGCAAGCAGCAAGTGATTTGTATTAACAATCTCTCAAAATACTATTATTATCTGTGCGCGGTTTCTCGGACGAAAGGGAAACGTTTTCGAAATTCAAACAAACACAAATTTCTCTTTCGTCCGAAAAACGCCGACTCTTTTTTCCTATCTAATAGAACATTTGTGGTTTCCTCCAATGCTTCCTTTTATTTTTATCTAATCATGCTTATGATCGGACGTGTAATTGTCGCCAACAAACCTATTTCCCCCTTTGTCACCCCTGTAAATCGCATAGTTCGGTGGAGCGAGGCTGCAACGCAACTATGGTTTCTAGTCGCACGACCGCCGATTCCTGGTTCTTGCGACCGCCACGGCCACGCTCTCACTCTCTGCTCTCTGCTCGCCGCGCGCTCTCTCTCGCCTACCCGCCGTCGTTTCTTCTCGTCAATCGAACTACTTTTTGTCATTGCAGAAGGCCGTGCAGTCTCCGCTTCGCTTTCATATCCACATTTTTGACGAAGAGTTTTGTAAGCGTTCAACTGTTCTGCAGAAATTTGTACAAAAAACGGCAAAAATCGGGCACTTATCAGTGCTAATATCGCCTTTGACGCGTTTTCGTGGCGAGACCCACGGCGCGTACACATCGCTTCTTACTGATTCTTGGTCTTCCGACTTTTTGTGATTGCCTTTACCGCTCTGCCGGCAGAGTTGCGCATCTCGTTCCAGCACCTGTCCCAAAAAGCCCATAGACACCGTTCCCTCGTCGATTCGCACGCTTCTTTTTTCAGCTTCTGTTTCCCATTCATTCGAAAGTTCTTGTAAATTGACCGATAAATTGATTCGCAAAGCAACACTTACACTCGCATTTGTTTATGAATATTTATAAGGGTTCAAGTTTATCCGCTTATACCCTGTACATATCTATGCCCTTTTCCTATCATTCTACTTCCTCCAATGCCTCCTAAACACGCCGTTATTTCTGTGTTCCTGTTGAAAAACGAGGTTGTTTCGTAACTCTTCACGCTCACTACTTCCCAATCAATCATCATGTTTGCAGGAAAAGATGGCCGCGGAATCTACATACGGATTCGTCTACGGTGTCTCCGGACCTGTCGTCACTGCGGAGAAGATGGCTGGATCTGCCATGTACGAGTTGGTGCGTGTCGGACATCAAGAGCTTGTCGGAGAGATCATTCGTCTCGAGGGAGACTACGCCACCATCCAGGTCTACGAGGAGACTTCCGGAGTAACCATCGGAGATCCAGTGCTCAGAACTGGAAAGCCGCTGTCTGTCGAGCTTGGACCAGGTATCATGGGATCGATTTTCGACGGGATTCAGCGCCCACTCAAGGATATCGCTGACATCACCCAATCGATCTACATCCCAAAGGGAGTCTCTACCAACGCTCTGTCCCGTGAAGCCCGTTGGGACTACGTCGTCGCCAAGGATCTTCGCGTCGGAGGACACGTAACCGGAGGTGACATTCTCGGAACCGTCGACGAGAACTTGCTCATCAAGCACAAGATCCTTCTGCCGCCAAGCGCCTGCGGAACCATCACCTTCGTCGCTCCTTCTGGACAATACACCGTCGAGGACACTCTTCTCGAGCTTGAGTTCGCCGGACGCAAGCAGAAGTTCAGCATGCTCCAGGTGTGGCCCGTCAGAAACCCAAGACCATGCACTGAGAAGCTGGCCGCTAACAACCCGCTTCTCTGCGGACAGCGTGTGCTCGACGCCTTGTTCCCATGTGTCCAGGGAGGAACCACCGCCATTCCAGGAGCTTTCGGATGCGGAAAAACTGTGATTTCGCAGTCTCTCTCCAAGTACTCCAACTCTGACGCCATCATCTACGTCGGATGTGGTGAGCGTGGAAACGAAATGTCTGAGGTAAACTGTTCAGAAAATAAACAGAGACTAATATGAATTCTCCTGCAGGTACTTCGTGATTTCCCAGAACTGACCATGGAGGTCGAGGGAGTCACCACTTCCATCATGAAGCGTACCGCTCTCGTCGCCAACACCTCGAACATGCCTGTGGCTGCTCGTGAGGCTTCCATCTACACTGGTATTACCCTTGCCGAGTACTTCCGTGACATGGGTCTCAACGTCGCTATGATGGCCGACTCCACCTCCCGTTGGGCCGAGGCTCTTCGTGAGATTTCTGGTGAGTCATCTTTTTCATCGACTTCGTCAGACAAAGAATGAAAATCAATTTTGCAGGACGTCTCGGAGAAATGCCCGCCGATTCCGGATACCCAGCCTACTTGGCTGCCCGTCTCGCCTCCTTCTACGAGCGTGCCGGACGTGTCAAGTGCCTCGGAAGCCCAGAGCGTGAGGGATCCGTCACCATCGTCGGAGCCGTCTCCCCGCCAGGAGGAGATTTCGCCGATCCGGTCACTTCTGCCACTCTCGGTATCGTGCAGGTGTTCTGGGGATTGGATAAGAAGCTCGCCCAGCGTAAGCACTTCCCGTCCATCAACTGGCTCATCTCTTACTCCAAGTACATGCGCGCTCTCGAAGAGTTCTACGAGAAGAACTACCCAGAGTTCGTGCATCTCCGTACCAAGTGCAAGGAGATTCTCCAGGAGGAAGAGGATCTTTCTGAGATCGTGCAGCTTGTCGGAAAGGCTTCCCTCGCCGAGTCGGACAAGATTACTCTTGAGGTTGCCAAGATCATTAAGGACGATTTCCTTCAGCAGAATGGATACACCAAGTACGATCGTTTCTGCCCGTTCTACAAGACGGTCGGCATGCTCAAGAATATGATCGGATTCTACGATTTGGCTCGTCACTCGGTTGAGGCTACCGCGCAGTCTGACAACAAGATCACGTGGAATGTGATCAAGGACAGCATGGGAGACCTCATCTACCAGCTCTCGGCCATGAAGTTCAAGGACCCAGTCGCCGACGGAGAGGCCAAGATCCGCAAGGACTACGAGGACCTGGCCGAGGCTATGTCCAATGCCTTCAGAAACCTCGAGGACTAGATAATTTGATTCTCGTTGTGTTCTGCTTACTTTTCAGTAGAAAGTATGTAGTGTCAGTCATTCAGTTTTACCGTTTGAACTCTGATTTGCCTTCGTCCACCCCATTCTCCTCTCAGATTTACTTCCCCCGCTTCAAAAATGTTTGACATTCCAAAACTCAAATATTTATTGCACTTTTTTTTGTTTTTTTTTCCCTGAAATCTTACTTCGAAAAATTCCACACACTCTATCTGGTCGCGCAGTTTTCCCTGTTTAACGTTCGCCCTTTCTACTTCACTTATGACAGTTCCTGATTTTTTTTTAAGACGTTCTCTGTTCCATTTCCTGTTTAAAATTACTAAACTGACTGTTCACAGCTGTGCATAGTTATACGAACCATTCTTTTTTCTTGTGTTGTGATATGTATTATACTATGGAGAGCCCATGATTTAGCAATAAAAATTTTAGGATACCACGCTCATCGCCTGTTCAGATGCAGTGTTCCGATGTCCCCCCATATCTTCTCGCTGCATGATACTCTCTAGAGTAGGGATGCAGAACAGGCGCCTAAAGTCGCCTGTTTTGCATCCCTACGCTGGAGCGTAAGAGTTGTCATTTCAGCTTTAATATGGTGGCAATTACAAAGAAAGGTTCGGTGGAACTCGCCGCGGTTTCCTCTCCAGAAGTTCAGAATGAATGTTGCCAGTACGTGCTGCCGAGGAAGAATCGGCGATGCAAAATGCTGGTCAAGCAGGGCAATCGGTTCTGCGGAGAGCACGCGATCCACGACCGGGAGAACACGACGCGCATTCCGTGTCCGAACGACGGAAAGCACACGATTCTGAGGGCGGAGCTCGAGTCGCACCTCAAAAAGTGCAATTCCCGGATCATCGAGGCAGAATACATTAAAATCGACGCGAATTCGGTTCGTGGCGAGACCAAATTCGACGCGAAAATTGATCGGAGAGCCAGCGAGGAGGAGATTTGCGAAGTGGTGCACAAGATTTGGGAGTGTTATGAGAACGAAGTGAAAGAACGGCTCGTTGTGGAACAACGGACAAACAGGCTCGTCGAGCAGAACCTCGCCGACAATGCGGACCTGTGTTCTGGCAAAAAGAAGCAATTAGTGCAAATCTCCTCTATTTTAGGTAAGGGTTGAAAAAATAGAAAAAATTACCCGGCCCACCCCGTGAAAAGTCTGTTTTAGAGTTCTCCGACTTGGTAGCCAATAACGATACGTGAATTGATTACAGGTCATATCGAAGCAGCCGGACTCCTCCCATCCTCATCCTCCTCCTGCATGTTCGAACTCGGCGCAGGAAAAGGACAACTCGCTTATTGGATCGGAAAAGCCGCTCCAAACGGACAGTACATTCTCATGGATCGCAGTGGATCTCGGAACAAATGGGACAAGGCCGCACTGCGAGAACGACCCGAACTCTGTCTGAAACGGTACAGATGTTCGATCGAACACATGGATTTGAGCAAAATTGACGAGTTGAAAGTAGGAACGTTTAATTGAAAGAAGGAAACTTGTGAATTTGCAGAACTCTACAGAGATTCTAGCAGTTTGCAAGCATTTTTGTGGAAGTGCGACTGATGCCGGCATCCGTTCACTCAGAAACAGTGGTCTCCAATTCAACGCAGCTCTTCTCATCCCTTGTTGTCATCACAAATCGAGATTCGCCGAGTACGGAGGTCACGAATTCCTGCAGAAATGGGAAATGGACGATGAGGCGTCCTTTTCGGCACTGCGATACGTGGCTTCATTTGCAACGAACGGAGCGGCGGAAACAACAGAGCAAACTGGATGGTAAAAGTCTGATTCATCCAAATTTGGCTCAATTAAATCTTCAGGAAATCGATCCACTCTCCTCTAGAACTGGGACGCCGAGCGAAAGCGATTCTGGAAATAGGAAGGGCCGAATGGTTGGAACGCGTCGGATTCGAAACGAGAGTTATTCAATATGTGCCACCAGAAGTCTCACCGGAAAATTTGTTGATTTTAGCTACTAAAAAAGACTGATAAGTAATAAAAACTTCAAATTGTTTAGTTCTCTGTAGGTTACGTCTGTAAAAGTTTGAATTCTCCAATACTTACAAAGAACTTGTGAAAAAAGTAAAAGATAAATTCTCGTGAACTTAGCAGTTTTAATTTTTTTTAAAGATATTTAAGGCAACTGCCCTTATCTTTAAATTCAAACGTCAAGGAATGTATTTCAACGTGGGTGCTCTTATCTCGTTTTCTATTTGAACAACCGCGCAAATCGCGTTGGCGCATTCGTCGAGCGCGTCAGCAATTGCTAGCTGAACCCCTCGAAATTTTTTCACAAAAGCTTTGAACATGCAATTTCGAGTTCAATTGAGTTCAATTGGCTGTATTTCTTATCGTTTCGAGCTTCTTATCGTGGAAAATGACGTATTACAATTAAATCGTGTTTGCTTGCAGGTAAAAACATGAAGCTGCTTCTGCGCGCCTCCACTCTCGCCGGACAGTCGCTCCGATTCGCGTCCCAGCGTCCGAAGGTCTTCTTTGATGTGAACATCGGAGACGAGTCGGCCGGACGTGTCACCATCGAGCTGTTCAACGACGTCGTTCCGAAGACGGCCGAGAATTTCCGTGCTCTGTGCACCGGAGAGAAGGGTGTTGGCAAGCAGGGAGTTCCACTTCACTTCAAGGGATCCAAGTTCCACAGAATCATTCCGGACTTCATGATTCAGGTTAGTATTTCAACAAAACAGTGGGTTACTGTATTTGTGAGTGTTTATTTTAAAAAACGAAAATAAAGTATCAAAAACGAAATGTTTATTGCAGGGAGGAGACTTCACCCGCCACAACGGCACTGGAGGAGAGTCAATCTACGGAGAAAAATTTGCCGACGAAAATTTTGACCTGAAGCACACCGGACCAGGATGCGTCTCAATGGCCAACGCCGGACGCAACACGAACGGATCACAGTTCTTCATCTGCACCGTCGATACCCCGTGGCTCGATGGAGGACACGTCGTCTTCGGACAGGTCACCGACGGATTGTCAGTTGTGAAGGCGATCGAGAAGATCGGGACGCGGTCAGGAGCACCATCCAAAACGGTCAGCATCGCCGACTGCGGAGAGTTGAAGAGCGAGGAGAAATAATCACGTTTCGTTGTTTTTTGTTCATTTTAGTGTTTTCATCTTGTTGCTTGCTATTCACATTTTATTCCTTTGTTTTAGTGAAGATTAGTTTTCAAAATCTTTCAAAATTATTAAGATCAACTAGAAAAGCTCCCCGGAGAAATCTACGTCACTTGTAGAATCGGACAGACCGCAGTATTCACATGTCTTCGCACAAATCTTCCGGAAGAGTGCTGAATACGCTTTGTGAGTGCACAGCTTCTGGTTTCGTTCGCAATCTCCCGCCCGATCCACACACTCTTCCTGATCAGTCGTTTCTGATGAAACATTTACAACGTTCTTCGAGAATTTTCGCGGTTTCCCTTCAGTTTTGGTAGAATTTCGCATCAAATTGATAACATTGTCCACCATTTTCAAACTTTCCAGCTTTTGAACTGCTTCTTCGCCCATTTCTGGAAAAGTTGGAATCGAACGGAACAACACAGATGAAACTTACTTGATTTCAAGTTCAAGAGATGCGTTTCCCTGCTGTCCACTATTTCCTCTTCTTCGTATTCTTCATCTGGATCACAGAATTTGCATGTTTTCGCACATCTGAATATATTTTTATGTCAACTGAAACGGGCGTTCCCCTTCCACTCACTGCAAACTCATCATCCGTTTGTAGAACTTCCTCTGACAAAAGTTGGCTCTGTCCGCACAGTCGTCGGCCTCATCCATACACTTTGCAGGAACAATTCCCTTTTCAGAAGAGATCGTCGTCGTCTCCGCTTTCGAATCGAGACAATATCCGCAAGTCAACGGGCACGCCACTTCCATCAGCTTCTGCTCGATTCGATTCGGCGACAAACATTTGACGGCAATAATCCGGCAGTCATTGGAGACGTCGGCGCATTTATCAGAAGAGACAGAGTGCGAATGGAGGAGAACGAGGGAAAGAGAGAAGAAGAGCCGGATCATTTCGAAGCGAGAAGGTCACTATGACGGTTCAGAACTTTTCGGTTGTTTGTTCGGAGACTGAATGCACAAAAGAGTTCTTTGTGGGGACAGCGTGCTCTCCTCGATACAAGACCGTTTTGACCCCTGGCTCTTGTTTGTACAGTTGTATTTGGAGCGACAGAAACTTACGCAAAACATTCGGATAAAGCGATCAAAGAGTGGCGCAGTTTCAGTTGCAACACCTCTGCCTTCACAGTTTTCTTCCAGGCTTGTGAGGGACCACTGGACCTTTCGGAACTTGAAAGGATATTAGAGAGCCCTCATTGATTTCGGCTCAAAAATCGTCGAAAGAGCAGCTTTCAGTATCGATTTTGTTTTGCAAAAATGGCAGCCACGAGGCACGTACTTAGGACATGTTTTGAAAAACAAACTTTTCTCGGACCGGTCATTTACATCTTTGTGCTACAGGATTTGTCTATTGTGCAACTTCTGACAAAACGTTCAGACTCAGCATAGTCTACTTCATTCTATTTAAAAATGATAGTAAATTCATTCAGGCCTATCGCTTTTTGGTAAGTCCGCCCATCGTGGACGTTTTGCAACTCCGACCTGACTCTAGACGCCCAATCTGCAGAGCGCGAAAGTCGTACTTCCTGTCCGTCGGTTGCGAAATCGGCAAACATTTCGAAGAAGGCTTCCCCTGAAACGTCTCTCCAGAATCATTGCCCATTCTGTTTTGTCTGTGCTCCGGGATTGGATGCAACCTACCGTAGACTTCCATTTCATGTTATTTTCCAGCCGCCCGTTTATTTCTGGCCTCGTGACAGATGATGCAAAGTCCAAGAAACCGGGCTGCAGCGGCAAAAGTTCGTTTCGAAGAGTTCTAATCATAGCTCTTATAAAGTGCAATCTAAGTTGCACTAAAGTGCAAGCCGCTTCTGACTTTTCAACCATTTCGTACCTAATTGGACTTTGTGTTCTTGTACCCATTCCATCACATTACAGAAATACATTTATTTGTCGAGGAAGGCGAATCAGAAACAATCAAACGTAACAAACAATCTTCTTCTTCTTCTTCTTCTTCCTCTACTCCTTCTTTCCCTTCTTTCTTTTCATTCGTTTTCCAATTTGCACCTGTCCCTCGACGGCTGTCCATCGAGAATCGACGGCGTTTGGCTACAAAAGAGGATAATCCCAAAATGAGCCCTTGTCGGTGCTAAGAGGTCACCGTTCAAAAACATTACCCAACAAGTGCCTGCAAATTGATTAAGTGGGCCTCAAAAAGGTGTTTAACCTTCTCTCCGCAAAAACCATTAAACGAAATCAGTGATAAGCTCGGGAAAGGTGAGGCAGACCGGTGGATGTGAGATCTTCGGGCGCGAATTCACATCTACAGAGCCTACCTCAGTTTCCCCGACAATCGGAAGGACTCACCTGCAGACGGAGGGGGCGAATACGGAGTGGAGTGGGAAGAATGAAACACGAATGAAACGAATGAAAGAAGAGGCAGCCAGCGCTGATGGGCGACGCGGAAAAGGAGGGCGTCAGGGGAGCGGACGGCAGAAAGGGGCGGCGCCCGCAAATCGGACTAACACCGACTACCGTAAGCCTCTCGCGCTCCCCCGCCCGATACTATCAAGGTGAGTGCGTTTCGAAAACGACGGCGCGGTTGCAGGAAAGTTTTTGCACGTGGAATGAGATTGAAACCCCCCTCTCTCTCTAGATTCGTCCCTCGATAGAGCGTAATTGGAGAGGCAGCCATTTTTTTTTCTTTCGCAGCCAGCAGCAGGAAAACGTTTAGGAGAAGATTTATGAGGTGTACGGTAGGCAGTTGAACTCGATCTTTCGGACTTCAAAACTGGCGGAGCTGGCGAATTAGCGAGGTTTGCAGACTACTGTAGCCACACGAACAACTGAGAAGGGCAAGAAATGTTCAAAAGGAATGTACTTGCATTGATAACTATGTCGATGCCCTTTTTGATAAATTAGATGCAAGTGACTGGGTGCCTGAGTACACAAAAGTTCGAAAAGGTCAGTACGCCCTGGCGCCCATTCTCCTCTCATTCAAATTGTAATCTTCAACAAGGCTAGACCTTCGCGGCTCCACACCATGACTCACAAAAAGGGAGAACTGGCCTTTGTTGGTCAACAGATCAAACCATCGAAACTACAGTAATCGCCGTGTGATTGATACATTTTATTTGAATTTCAAATAACACTTGGGAAACTCATTTGCTACCGACAATCTTCTACGGTAATTCTGACACGCATGCGGGGTTACGGTAGGTGTAAACTAAGCTTAAGGAAATAAAAACGCCGTCGCTTATCAAGCGCACCGAACCGCATTTTAACTTTCAGACCGCCCACCCTCTCCCATTAAACGTTTCCCTTCAAACATGGAGGTCCGACTGGGAAAATAGGAAGTCCCTCGCGGACTACAGTATCCTCTGTACCCTTTGGAGCCTACCCCGGCAAGCAATTCGCACTGGAGTCACAGCCGAGGCAGCTAAGAGAAAATGAACGAGATTCCCGTCATTTCTCGCACCTACCTCAACTTTGGCACCCGCGGCGCATGTACAAACGGGCCTGCGCGCGGTTGGGAACACTTACCGCCTTTTCTAGACAATCTTTACAGTAATTAGTCGGTTTGAGTGAAAGCAAAGCGGAAGGGGAAATGGGTGTCAAATTGTGGCGATTAACGAGAGTTGCGTTGTTGTTCTTTCTTTTGACACAAGAAAAAACCGCTGGACAGAGGATTAGCACCTCTTGCGGAAGAGGATGGGGGGGCCACCTGAGAGAAAGGAAAGGGTTCAGGTGGAGACAGACTTGGAGGAGCCGGCTCCCTTCTTGAATGCAAGTGCGGACTAAGGGTGTCCCCGTCCGCACGCACACTCACATACACACACTCACAACGACTATCGCCTTCGCTCTCCTAGCCTCTCTCGCTCGCCCTCCTCCTCATTCTCTCTTTTCGTACACTGGCGCGGTCGTCGCGGCCACGCCGCGTCAGTGGCGTGCACTTTGCAAAAGTACACGGCACCGAGCCTGGCACAGGAGGCGGCCGTGGCGCGCGCTCCCCTCCGTGCCGCCTCGCTCTCCGCGAGCCACGCCCCCACGTACACACTTTCGAAGACGAAGCTGAAGCTCGAAAAGAAGAGAGGAGAAGAAAAAGTAAAGCAGAGAGAGAGAGAGAGAGAGATAAAGGGCAGATGGAAGCGCCTGGCACCGATGCTCTGAAACTTTGGAGCACTTGGTTCGGACGGAAGGGGGGAGGAACAGAGAAAGAGCAGAGCGCTTGGAATGTTCCCTCATAGACCAAGGGGATTGAATGTCATTCAAAAATGGAGAAGGGATTGAATTTGGATTAGATTAGCACGTTTTTATAGGAGACACTCTGGCTAGACATCCGAATGATCAGCAAGTGAGACCGGAGTGCATCTTTACTTTGGAAAAGGATATGTGAGTCAGATAGAAGACGCGTGGGGCGCGCTGTCTGCACTTCACACCTCTGAGGGATCTGGAGCTGATCTTCTCAGTGATCACCTTCTCGGGACGTGGCATCACCGTTCACAACTGGTTTCGCCCATTTATACCTACTCTCAAGATAGCATTTCACCGTTATCTTCTCAGACATTAAACTTTGTCTCGTCACGGAACTCGCTTTTGGAAAGCCCGCACAAAAGCGAAAGTGGTTGGGAACATGCGCCCTCTTTTTTCTCTCTTCTCCGCCTTCCATCGCCGTCCGATCGTTCGATTATTCGTTCGAATTCCGCGTTCCCCGCGTCCGTCTGCGTCTCGGAACGGCGCAGTGTTCCCTCGGCTGCACATGCATTCGCCCTCTCTCCATCACAGTCCAATCTTCTCCGTCTCCGCCGCCGCGCCGCCGCCGTTCTTTGTAAAGTGTCCTTGTTCAGCGACGTGCGAACACTGACAGGCACCGGTGCACTTTTTGGGCGAAAGTATCTGACGGGCGGTAGCAGCGAGAGAGGAGATGTCTTTCTTCTCCGTCTGCGCTACGTTTTTGTACTAAATACAGCGGCGAGGGATTGATGATAGTGGGGTGCCACCCAGTTCCATGCGAAAAGGAAAGCGAGCAGAGAGGAGAGGAAGAAGAAGAAGAAGAAGCGGCGGCGGCGACGACGGCGAGAAGCGGTTGCACTTCTGAAAGTGCACGCGACGAAACGGGCGACGGGCGGCGTCGTGCTAGTCTCGCACACATAAAAGAGGAGGGGTTCGAATCGGAAGGGGCACTGATAACGGCGGCAACGCGAAGAAAGACGGGCGGCGGGACGGAGAAGAATGCGACAAAAAGAAAGGGAGCGAGAAGGCGAGAGGGCAGCGGAAACTGAGAAGACATCCGGATGGGGACCCGTAGATCAAGCCGAGAGAGATCACGAAAATGCGAGAAGCCGAGTCAAATGCGCTTTCCTGCAGTTTGTTTTGAAACGGAAAACGCGTTTGATGGAAGAGAAAAGCGCTTGTTCAGGTGCATTCCTTAACGGATATTGTGTAGTTTTTGGAATGAGGAACATATTCTTCGAGTTGAGTTGCGGCTCTTATCTGCGCACATGAGAAGCCGCAAATTGAGAGGTAAAGTGCACGAGCATAACCTGCAATTCCCGTTTCCACACGTCCAAACTCCAAACAACCACACCAAAACGTACTCGTGTCCATGAATCTTTCAAACTGCCACGTCACAATTATCGCGTCAATGCGTGCCCGCTTTCGCCTTTTTTCCGTCGGGAAAGCCGCTCTTCTCGTCCCTTTCGGAGAACATTACCATATTGTGTTAATCCGGGAAGGATGCGCTCACTCGCAGCATGGGGCCCTCGAGCAAGTCTTGTCTTCGCGGGCAATCGAGGGCAACTGCCAGCTGCAACAGTGCTAATAAGCGTCTTGCACTCGAATAAGTATACGTTTCGAATGCAACTATTTGGCAACAAACAGGTGTGAACTTTTTCGCTCTCTGGAATTCAATGTGCGAAATCAACACGGAAAACATATTGAAGAAATCTCTTTATTCGTACACTTTTAAGGATAATTCGGGCCTAATTAGTAGTGCAGTCAGTATTAATGATCACACCTATTCATGTACACCTGCTGCTCGATTCAGTCTCGGATAACAGAGGTGTTGACTTGTGCTAGAACAACCGATTTGCACGATACGAGCAGATGCATCCGGAGAACACATCTGCATTCGATGCCACGTGGCACGGTCGAAAGGTGTTATATGAATCTGTATTGGGGGTTTATATAGGTCAATAGAGGCACAATGAAGGTATCCGAGTGACAGATGAACGAGTTATAGTGAATGGTGTTGACCTGAATAGTGAATGACGCTGGCTGGAATGGAATGGCATACTCACCTCGCTGCAAACGGTTTTGATTCGAGAGATCTTAGGTGAAACTCAGCTCGTCTGAAAATGGTTCCGCAACGGTAAATACCAAGTACTTTTTCGAACAGTACCCTTCAAAATCGATATTCTCTGCTGAAGATCATATCAGACAAGGCCCAGTGTTTTCACATCTTTAAATTACAATTGATGCCTCTTATGGGGTTATTCAGGCTGTGAGAAAAATGCTTTTTTTCCTATTTTTTCGTTTTTTTACGTCAAAAAACCCAATTCAGCGATGTAAAAAACGGAAAAAAAAACGGAAAAAAAACATACGCTGAATAGCCCATTAGAAGTTAATTTACAGGAATTTACAGGCCAAATATATTCAATTTTGTTTGCGAAGGAGTTGTTGTTGTTATTGTTGTTGTTGCAGCCAAGTGAAAATGCTCATCTGTTACATATTTCCATTTTCCGATACGGATTTTAGGGTTCAGGTATTGCAGCGAGAAACAATTAGAGAAATAAGGTGAAAATAAATTAAGAAGCGAACAGGAATGAAGACTGCGAAAACGAACAATTACATAAAGATGCACTTTGAACAGAGTATAATGTCGTAAATGATCAGAAGAATAACATTGAAAATCAAAGTTTAGGTATCATTCATAACCGGAGGAATAGTCCCTGAAAAGGATTCACAGAAAAAGGTCAACTTGCAAAGGAAAGAAAACAGCCGTTTGTGTACAGACGCAACATCCCAGGAGCCAAAACATGGACGGTCAATTGAGAGAGAGAGAGACCGTACTGGGCTGAACTGGCGACAGATGGACGGAAACACGAGAACATGATTATCAGTTTGATGACGCTTCTGCCTAAAGTGGTCGCCTGCGTCGAGCACATGCTCCGCCAGCATTGAGCAGCCGCCTGTTCGGAAGCTTCACACTGTGAAGTTCACAGTTTCTGGCCTTGGGATTTCATAACCAACTTGCTCTAAAAGTTGGTGCAAACTACCGTAATCCGAGCCCATCCCTAGCTACTCGTCCAAATGCGTTGCCCTCCGAAAGTCACAAAACGAAGCGCTTGTGCAACTGCTGAAAAATTCAAGAGTCTCAATGTTGCCGATGAATAGGAATGGGGACGGGGAAAGGTAATCTGAGATCCATTGACTGCACTTTGCTCTGCTTTTCTTTCAGTTCTTCTTCGTCATTTCCACCGCAAGATTATTCTGGTCGCAGAGTCAAAAATACGGAAATCATCATCCAATTAATTGGCTCACCCACCCATCCCTTCACGGAGATTCATATTTCAAACACACAGCTTCTCGAATTTGACTCTTTTCTCGCCTATAATTAGGCCCTCGGACCTCTCTGTGTCTCTCGATTCTCTTCATCTTTTTGGCTGCTCTACAGGTGCATACAGTACTGTAGCCCCGCCCATTAAGGCCCTGCAGGAACGTCCCGAGATGAGCAGCGTGCCCCCGCCTCAACCGTATTTCATGCCGGACCCTCAACAACACCTCATCGACACTTCCTCCTATTTCGACTGCTATCACAGCCTTCCTCCGCTGCCCTACTCGACGGTTTCTTCTGCCTCTTCCGCCCCAACATCTTCTCAATTTGCATCTTCATCCGGAGCACCGCCCTACGAGTTCTCGCCTTCTCACATTCCTCGCCCTCCTCCTGTAATTCTGACGCCTTCTCCGTCCGTCAACTCGCCGCCAGCTCCCTCCAATTTCGGATTTCCAATGTCAGAATACTCTCTAGAACAGGCCAGTTTGTACTAATTAGATGTGTCTCTGCAACAAAAAATTATGTTCTTTCAGATGGAAGCCATCTGCACTTCTCTATTTCAAGCAAGAGATGGCGAGCGTCTCGTGGCATTCTTCAAGCAGTTGGAGTCCGTGTACGGAGCCACTTCTTTTCAGCATTTGAACAGCGAAACTATTGTAGTTGGTGAGTTTGACTGCATCGGACTCAACTTTTTTATGTGGCCAGTATCCGCTGTTAAAGACTCGAGAAGTCCGTTTAATCTGAGATTCGGACGGCGCATCTTCATCTGATCTTGTTAGGAACTAGTCTCAGATAGGATGGACCTCTAGGATGGACCTCGGATACCTGTGTTCATGACAGCCTCAATTATAGTATAATCTAGACACCATCAAGAACGGTATACAGTGTTGCTGACACCCGCAATTCCACTTTAACCATTAGCTCTTCGAGAGGTCTCTGGATGGCGTTTTTGGACTATTCTAACTCCCAATAAATGCCCATATACGGATATTGTAGTCATCCGAACCTCCTCTTGCTGCATGAACGGTCCCGTATCCGTTTCGTTCATTGCGCAACATCCTGCCCTCCTGATATTTCACCCCGTTTCATTGCGCGAGTTCTTTTAGTGCCCCCGCCCTCGGATCATGCAATATCTTCTCTGATTTCAGCCTACACCTACGCGCTCTACCATTCCAACGAGTTTGAAAATCTCTTCAATCTTCTGACAACTCGTCACTTTCATCACACGAACTTCAACGATTTGCAAGAGATTTGGCATCATGCCAGATACAAAGAGGTAGTTCTAATCGAACAAAATTCGGAAAAAAAGCAACTGAACGAAGTTTTAGAGCCAATTGAAACGTGGAAAAGAGCTGAATCCAGTGGAGAAGTACCGTCTTCGTCGGAAGTTTCCACCTCCAAAGACCATTTGGGACGGCGAGGAAACCGTGTACAGCTTCAAAGATTCCAGTCGGAAGTACTTGAAGCATTTCTATAAAAACGTCACTCCGTATCCGAGCCAAGAGCAGAAGAGAGAAATTGCAAAAGACACGGGGCTCAAAGTTGTCCAGGTACATTCATTCAGAATCGGGAAACCGGCATAAAACAAAGACGTTTCAGATCTCGAACTGGTTCAAGAACCGTCGCCAACGGGACAAACCGAACACCTCCGCCAAAGGCTCGCCCCCTTCCAGCTCGAGCAGCACTAACGGAGGCAGCGACTTCGTGCCGATCATCATTCCGCAGAGCTTCAATATGGCGGCGGCGACGTACGGCATGAACATGTTCTGTGATTCAATGCGCTGAATGCACAAAGAGTCTCTCGTCATCCGTCTCTAATTTATTCATAATTTCATGTTACATTGTGATCTCTGTCGTCAGAAGTTGAATCCTCGAAGGAAAAGAAATAAAAGAGTAGTCATAATCGTTCATAAAAACCCGTATTGTTATCATTAAGACACCGCAAAGCAAAAGATCACAAGTGGCAAGATTTGGCACCGTCGGTTAGGGAGGCTTCTGATCTATCCGGTGAGTGACGTGTTCAGTATTTCTTTGGCTTCTTTCTTCACTATTCGACATCGAATTCGGCGTTCGAGCCATCTGAAACACCTCAAAATCGGAGGACTTTTGATACTGGCCGCTCATCGAATACACTCACTTTTCGAATCGAACCTTCCCGAAATAGGCGAGAGTGTTGGTGGCCGAGTTGAGAATGACCAGAAAGTCGGAGACTCGAGTGAGTACGGTCATGAACGGACCGAACTGGACGTTATCTTCAATGATCGCTTCGTAGAGATCGATGAACGTGGGAAGAGATCTTCAAGGTTATTAAATAAAAGAATGTTCAAGCTCTAACCATACCTCAGAATCAGAAACTTGACCACGATGAACACCGCCAACGCCTTCGAGGCTTTGTCCTTCAGTTCCTCCGTCACCAGAGTGTCCCTGCTCCTCTTCTGACTCTCAAATAACCGTCGTCTCGCCAGAACGTTCGCGTGGATTTTGTATTCGGTGAAAAGTGAGAGAATCGAAATAAACAGCATCGGACCCAATGTTTCTGTCGCCATTGTCAAAGCGACTTTGCTTTGAAAGTACTGGAAACTGCGGAAATGGAGCGGACGCACGGACGAGAGACACTTACCCAGTCGTTATGTCTCAAAGCTGTTGGAGCGAGCATGGTTGACATATTCTGATGATCTCTGTCGAAGCAGTCGGTAAGAAAGAACTCAAAGTACGAAGTACTGTGGATCAGGAAGCAGAGGATCACGAGAAGGACCGGGACCATAAAGGGCCGAACGAATCTTTTGAAGCTGGTCATCTTTCCGGCGTTACTCCTCGAGTGAAACTCGTAGAACATGTCGGCCGGAAACGAAATTGTGAATTTGGCGGCTTCCGACGGATTCTGAGCTGTGCTCGTCTTTCCAGCAGTTATCGATTTTCTCTGGAAGTCAAACAGTAGCCTAACTAATATTTTTTCAGTAGAAACTTACGGATCGATTGTAGTTCGATGCGAACTTGAGTGGATTATTGACAACTCTGTACCTAATGTAAGTAATGTAGCACACAAGCATAGGCTGAAAACATGGTCTGACTATTGAAATGTACTTTAGCACTCACCGATGACATGGCAAAGCTATTGCGGATGCCGTAAAGGGTCAGAATCATTTCCTGATTCCTGTAGAAGATGTTCAACCCGACGAAGAGAATGCTGATCGGCTCGACGCTCAGGAAGAAGACGGTGGTCATCATAAGCATAAAGTCCATGAGGCACAGGGTGTACAGAGCCGCCGACATTCTTCTGTTCAGGTGGGCGTTCGGAGGAAGCCGATGGCGTGAACAGTGCCGACTGCGGAAAAAGGAACGCGGTGCACGTGATCGGACCCTGGAAGCTTTTGATGATTAACTCGAGCAAAGAACTTGGGGGTGATATGCGTCACTTATGACTTCATCGAAACTTTTGAAAAGAAGTGGAAACATCTGTTCGTACTAAACGCATGTCAGTTCCAAGAAAAGTCCCTTGTCACACATAAATCCCCAAGCGTGGAATGAGTGATGCATCACTATGCAACCAAAAAGTGTTAGCATCATAATCTGGTTTATAACGAGATTAGAAGGATGTCTCGAGAAAGGAAAAAAGTATGAACACCTTTCTGCTGACGTCCCATCCATGTTCTATTCTTGACGCCTTCAGAACTCACGTCAAGCCATAGGGTGGCATCTGATTGTGCGGAAGCGCGGTACTCGCACACGGGAACGTTGGCCCTCCGCTGCCAAATCTCTTCTGTTTCGTTCATGGAGCCGAGCCTGAAATGAATGAAGTTTAGGGCAGATCAGAAGAGCGTATAAACGGGTGGCGGATACGTAAATCACTGGAAAACGTTCAAAAATTCATGTGAATAGGTAAGCAAGAGGGACTTTCAATCGAAAGATCGAAACACACCACCATGTTTCTGGAGTATGTGTTGTGCCTTTTTCCGAAACTTGGCGTGGTTTCTTTATTCGCTTCAGATGTGTATAGAATGACGGAATAACAATTGGCATGTTCAAGAAGAAAAGGAAATGGAAAGACTCTTTCTCTCTCGTGTTATGCATATGAAATTAAGAGTATGGAAATGATGGATGAGGTGTGAAACACGCACTTATCACTTGTTTCGAAGCATCTAGAGTTTGGTGAAATAACCAAAAAAAAAAGGAATAAACAAACTTTCGAAAATTCTGTTCAGCCGGACATTCGCAGTCACACGAGCCTAATCGGAACTAATGAAAAAGTGGGTCAAAGCTCGGAGGAGCCCGACTCAAACATCGTTCTACTTGCAAAGTTCGCGAGTTCCGACTCATCCAAATGCTACGCTGCCGTGCAATTTTCCGCTTCAAACTCATCGATGACATCTGACCGCATCCTGACAAGTTCCTAGAAATACGTGGGCTCTAGCGGCAAGAGTTTAGCATCAAACAGCACTAAAAAAAAGAGGAACAGGTGGAACTAACTGAGGCTCAATTTAATCTTACTGAGACCAGAGCTGTGCGGCAACTCGGCAATTGCCGGAAAATAATATCGGCAACTTTCGGCAGTATCGGCAGTTTTCGAAAAGTCATAGCTTCTACTAGTTTTTTGGCTAAAAATGCCAATTTTTAGAAGATAATTGACACATTTTTGAGAAAATAGGCTGAAAGTGAGGAGACTAGCACAAAGAACGTTTGGAGACAAAAGCGGAGACGACCCGGATACATTCCGGCAGCTCTCCCTCCCACCCTAATCCCTCGGGTATTTGGGGTGGATGAAAAGAGGGGGGCTGGGACGAAACATTTCAGTTTTCAGACGTTTTGTTGAAAAAGGATCTGTATCTATTGCGACAAGAGTTCGAGAAGATATCAAAAAGTGGAAAAGAAGCCGTTTTCAGAGATTATAATGTCTAGGAACTTTGGAACTTGGAATGAGGTGAAATTGGAGAAGAGGTTCCAAATGGCCTTGTTGAGAAGAAGAAAAGAACTGGGGCCGGAGGGTAAGGTTCAGATGAGAAGACGCTTAGACCGGAGATGATTGGATTGCTGAAACTAGGAAAGTTGGAACTAAGGCCTAGACTATGCAGCATAAGGAAAGAAAAGAGAAGGTAGAATAAGGAAAAGGGATCAAGGAGAGATCAAAAGATCCTTGACAACTGTATCAACTATTGTTCTTGTGCACGTAGGCAATGACTTGACGTAAATGTCCTTTTTCAGGATGGATACTACTCAAATATGCTAATTACACTTCCCGCTTTCAGATTGTCAGAATTTGTCATCGGCTGAGAATAGTTTATATAGAGAAAAAGAAGGAGAAAACGGGAGGCAGAAAGGGGAAGTTGCTCCTGGAGCTCAGGAAACTAATATGTCTTTGTGACACACTGCGGGCACTCGAGAAGAAAGAAACAACTAATTATCAGGGACACGAGCCGTTTCGCGCGAAAATGAAAGAAACACTCACTGAACTTCCAAGTGTTTTTTGCTCCAAATGAAGAAAAAGAGAGAGAAAGAGCGAGAGCTACAGGTTTAAATAACTCTTTGCATAATGTAAGAAGGTTCTTTGAAGATTGCATCTTGGTTCTTGGACAAACAATTTATAGATGTACATTGGTCGGTTGGCTGAATAAAAAGCAGGGCTTCACGTCTCATTCCGAGGGTGGCATTGGCAAGTAACCAGAGTCCGAAAGGTGCCCGTGAGCAGACTACAACATCGGTTACAGTAATTCATAGAGAGAATTGAACGGGGAAAGGGGAAACGAGAGGATCATTCGAGGAATCGGACGAATTTAGAATAGCCGGGACGAAGCAATAGACACACGTTCATGATGAATTAGAGAGACTCGATGGCCACACATCTCTTGTTCGAATTGAATATTTTTTGAAAGATCTTGAGCCCTTTTTGTGGCTGACCAGCCAAAGACGAGAGGTAAAAGGCCACGGACGGTGGAGAAGAGCTGCACTCTTTGTGAAAAGAAGAGGAAAATTGGATGGCTCGGTGACTGCCTTGACCGTATTCTGTCTATTCTGTCTAGACTGTCTACCGTCCGCCACTGGATAAGTGAATTATCTAATTTTCGTGTTTTGCTCAAGATGTTCGCAGAAAAACAAGGCACGGGCGGCACAGGAAGATATTGAAAATTGAGTCGTATTTTTAATGATTCATCCGATCCTTTCGCGAAAAAGATGAATTCGTGGTTGCAAAGGAGAGCATAAGAGGTAAATGAAAATATTCGGAAACGAAGAAAACGGGAAACATGCTGCTGGAAATCTGGTAAATACACGAACGGGCGCGGAAAGGAAAAAGGGAAATGGAAGTGGCAAGCAGTGAGTTCCGGTGTTCTTTTCATCTTCATTTTTCATTTCATTCACAGACCCCCTTAAAGCACTTTTTGTTTTCAGTGTGTCATTTTCATAATAACTGGGGTACAAACTGAAAAGAACACGTCAGATTGTGTGAAGAGGTCGGGAAAACAGAAAAAAAGCTGCTCGTGAGAATATGGACAGAAAAAGAAGTTGTGCAAGAAAGAAACGGAATCAACCTAGAAAGACATGAACATGTGTTCTAAAATTTGAAATTCCTTCAAATGTCCAGTAGAACGTACTTGCAGAGCATGCAAATTTAAGTAGTGTCCCCATACTTATCCTTAACAAAAAATCCAGAAATATCTAGTCTGAACGGCAAAATTTTGTTCTCAGAAAACAACCGATATATTTCCATTTTAATTGGGTAAAAAAAGTTATTGGAAGAAGGAAATGAATGGGAAAATAAAAAATAATTTGTAAGTGAGACAAGGGCTCTCTCACGGAAGTTTCCCTCATTTTCCCACACTCCCAACCTTCGAATGTCTCACTTTTCTTTGCGAAATACACAATGTTATTGCCTTGTTTTTTGGTCTTCAAAAAAAAACAAAGTAAAAGATATTGTTGACCTAAAACAAGGAAGAGAGTTCAGAAAACGCGTTGAATCAACTATTCGAAGGGCTCATTGAAGCCTGCAGCAACATTGTCATTGAACGTCAAAAAGCAGATGTGCTCCAGTAGAATTTACTCAAAGTTCGAAGAGTGCACTATCGAGCCGAATAGTTGAGTACGTTATAGTCAAACTGAACGGGACTAAAGGTCCTGAACGGGACTAAAGGTCAGAAGAAAATCGATAACAAGAACTCGCGTTCCAAGCAAATAAGAAAGCGTAGAGTCTCAATCAGCTGCATAGCGACTCAGAAGTCGTTATGTTGATACGTAAGGTCACAAGGGGTAGAACGCGTATGCTGTAAGGGTTCCCTTTATTAGAAGGGCACCTCTAATAGAAGGACAGTGTTTAGTCGATTTTTGGACGTTTCACACAATTTTAAACTTTCGAAATTTTCATTTTGTGCACTCTGAAAAATCGAAGGACATGCCCTTCTAATACAGTATTTACGGTAAGTACATTTACAGTGCATTTCAAGCGAAAACACTTTCATTGTTCCATTCCCACAGAGAATTGTTGAGTCTAAAGGGTCTGGAGGAGAGTAGAGTGCTCTCTGAACTATCAAAGAGCAGCCACAAAGAGTAGATTACTCGCGATTGTTTTTTCGCTCTCCGCCGCCGCCGATCTATTCTCGCTGTAACGCGAATCATTTATTCATTGACCATTCGCAGCCGCTGCCCGATTTGCGCACGTCCCTACGTGCACAACTGACAAAAGATGAGCCAAGTGGTCGTGCTTACTAACTAATCACACCACGAGTAAAACGAATTCATTAGGAGGGACGATCGACGGGCGGCGGTCTCTCGTTTCCCTTCTTCCAACCTTTCCGACCGGAGGTATTAAGTGGGATACTGGTAGTGGGGGGTGTCGGAATGGAAAACATCTGTGGCGGTGCGCGGAGCCGCAAAACGAATTGGTTCGGCGCCGACCAGTCGGACCAGAGAAAAGAAGAGAAAACTTGTTTTGACAATCTCCCAAGACAATTTCAGTGCATTTCAAAAGAATAACACTAGATGAATGTGGACGTCAAGAGCACGAGAAGCACCATTTCGGGGACGGACCGAGTGGGGCTAACACACACATTTTGGACACCTCTCTCTCTCTCTCTCTCTCTCTCTCTCTCTCTCTCTCTCTCTCTGGTTTGTAGTTTGAGCTCAAGAAGATGAAAAGGTCAACTGGAGGTGTGAATGAATAGTCGCGGGGGGGGGATTAAAACAGAACTAGACCGGTGGCGAAACACTTAAAAATTGATGGATTCTTTCTTCTTTCGGACATCAGAAATTCTCTGAAATAAGAAGAGACAGGAGGAGGAGGAGGAGGCGACAACAAATTATCACGAGAAGGCGAGAACGAGGAAGGAGGTTTTGTTGTTTTTCTTTGCAGCGACGAGTCCAGAAAGGAACTAAAAAAGAAAAGTGGACTGACAATATAAGCTCCTCGGGATCAAAAGTTCCTTTATGGGTTTGAGTGGACTCAGGCTGCAGGTGGAATTGGAGAATACGTACTAGAAGTGTGTAACCGGGCTCTGTGAGAAATGATCAAATTAAAAAGATGCTGGAAAATGTATACGTTGGCCAAACGGAAAGTTCCCCAGGATACTGTAAAACAAAATCAGGCTTTGAGTGCACGTAGCTGGGCCGAGAACTGCAATGATGGCTGATTTGCTGGAACCACTGCAAGACTACTGTAGCGCAGAGATATTAATATAGATGTTGAACACTTTTTGATATCTTTACCGGCAGCAGAGATGCATCGTTTTGAATGAGTTCTACTGTAGGTTTGCAGACTGATAAACCCGAAGAAGAAGAAGAAAAAGATGACTGAGATCCGCCTCCTCACCCTTCTTCTTCTTTTTCTTTTTCTCTTTCTTCTATTAGCCACCCTTTCGTCTTCCGAAAAAGTTTAATGAAAGACGAAAAGCAAGAAATTGGGTAAGGGCTGAGCAGGATGGTGACGTCGGAAAGCAAATCAACGCCGTCATTGCACTCCTTCGGACGGCTCTTCGATTGACTTGAAGACAAGCGAAATGAAATCAGACGGAAGAGAGGAAAAAAGGCATAATCTGGAAATAAAACGTGGGAGAATCTGTCAATGACAGGCACTCGAAAAGGCGGAAATGCGGTGGTTGGCGACCAGAAAACGATGGGGGCAAACACGGATGAATAAGATAAACGAATTATGTTCCGGCGAGAGCCGGCAAAGCACAAATTGACCGAGAGGGTTCCAGTCATAATTGGTCATAGATGAACGGAGAGAATGTTTGGAAAAATAAAGTATGGAGATGTGCTCCAGATGTCAGAAGTCATTGTGAAACACAGAACAATTATCGATTGAGTAGATGGTAAGATGTGTTCGGTTCAACAGAATAAGAGATGAGCTCGTGCGAATCGGAAATGCTCAGAATCTCGATAATCACAAACAGAAAGGAACACCGCGTGTGCTCACTTCTCGAAGATTTGCCCGATTCAGAGTATATCATCTTCTTCTTCTTCTCTTCCTCATTTTCTCATAGCCTCGGGAAAACTGGCATCACATCCTCTTCATCAATTGAACCTCAAAAGTGTGAATTTCTTCGAATCTTTCAGAGTGTCTGAACAAACAAAAAAGTGAGCGGAGATTTCTAGGAGGTCCATTTCATAAGGACCACAAGAGACGGAATCTGAAATAACAAAGAGAAGCATGCTGACGGTGACATCTCTGCTTGTTTTGCCGGTGGTGCCACTCACAGGGCGATTTGGTTTTCAGTCGGAACAGAAACCTTTCTCACGTGTACTCTCTCAATTATTATCAGTTCACTATTGTTTTCCCTACGTCACCTTTCATTTCTCTTTTTTCCGGTGCCACGTATTAAATGCTGAACTATCTCATGATTAATCGTTCGTTCTTCCCAGAGACATCTCTAATATAAATGTTTAGTTCTACATCTGATCCTGTTTTCCATCGCCTCCATCTACGTAACATCCGGATGCTCATGCAATTCGCGCACCCGTCAGGAATCCCATTTGCAGAGAAGACAGGTAAACGCCCTCTCTTCCTTCTCAATCTCCGTCAATTTCGTTCAGGCTCTGCGAGACCGTCAGAGACAGGCGGTCCTTTCCGGTAGAAGTGTGCGCAGCGTGATCGAGACAGAAGTGGAGAGCGAGACGACGCAGTGTCCGCGGATGTCGTGCGTCCGAATGGCACCTCGTCTGAAGGATCGCAACGATGTGTACGAGCGGCTGAGCCAGTGCGACGAAGTCACCGAACGGATGGATCAGCAGGAGGAGTTCGAAGTTGTGGTCAAGGGAACGACGAAGAGAAGCGGGGCGAAGTGCGTGAGGATTGCATCGAACGGTTTGCAGTCGTGCCTGGTTTGGTTCCATACTTTGTTTTCAGACGATCTGTCCACCTCATCAGACACTCAATTGAACTCTATTGCTTGATTATTATCATTCGAATAAAGCGCGGACCGAACTGTCGCTCGGTCGCTTTGAACGTTGAACGAAGCAGATTTGTCCAGAATTGAGAAACACTTTCAAAATTAGCACTAAACATTACGATTCGTTTCGCCTGTTGTTGCCCAACATGGAAGGTATGGTGTTGATCAAGTTTTCGGAACATGCGACTCTTCCTCCCACCTTCTGGAACACCTTCTGAAGATTCAACTTGAATGTCCTTTTAATCGAGTTCTGCTCTCCATCTGTGCCCATAAAAGCGGATAGATGTGAGCATTTTTCTCTTTTCAGCACACTCTTAGAGACGACTTCACTTTTAGGTTCGCAGGTAATTTTCGGCAGCTGTCGGGCGCGCGAGCGGCAAGCGAACAGCAAGTTGCTACGGTAGCATGGGGTTAGCATGTGTCACGCACGGATCCGGCGTGCGACAGGAACACGTGGGATAGGAGGGAAGCAGGGTTTTTGAGGGGCATGGGAGCATCAACGGTAACAGGGATGAAGCAAGAAAGTAGCAAGGGTTCAGTGTGTAACAAGCACGGTATCGGCACCCTTACAGCAATTTGCCGCAGAAAACGGCATGAATGCCGCTTCCAGTCAGCACCCATGCTCTTGTTCGGCTAGAATTTCGCTTTCAAGAGCACCCATTCCACCACTTGAAATTAGTCCGAATCGAGTCCAAAAGACACCGTTCTTCCGCCCTAATCGTATTTTCTTTTAAACTGTGCCGCTCGTCGGTCGGTCCCTTTTAAACATGAATGAACCCATTCGGAAGCGGAGCGATTAGTAGTGAAAAGACGAAATTACCGCTCCCCGGGGAATGCGAAATTTGCGATTGGAAAATAAAAATAAGTTTTCTTTTGCATATATCCCCGTCCAGACTGCTTTGTTTTGGTTTGCCTGAAAGAAAGAGCGAGAGAAGTGAACTCGAAAAACAAATGAGCACTAATTGGGCGGGTTTCCTGCTCCGTTTCCCTCATTCTCGGAATTCCTTTGACACCGACCAATACGGTGAGCATTCCGTAATGATTCATCTCACGGACCTTCTTCGTGACACCCACCTATTAGTTTGATATCCAACTAGAAACTCTAATTTATATGTATATACACTTTGGAGCCATGAATATTCATGCTCTTCTTCTTTTTCTCCTCGAATGATTAACCCTTTCCGCCTCATCATTTTATGGAAATTCGTGTTCCAGTTTTTTTAGTCCGAATGTTCCGCACGTACACAACTTTTGAACTCATAGCCGCAAAGAAGAGGATGACTTTCTGGCTGAAACTTCAGTGCGCGTTGATTCGGAACCCCCTTTCTCCTGAGCAATGAGCCGTTTTGCGAAGATTGAAGTGACTTCAAAAAGGCGACAAAGTATTAGGGAAATTTGGCGACAAAAAGCGCTTTGAAGCCTCAGATCACATCTCTTAAAGTGTGATTTTTAATGTTTTATCCCTATGCTTACCGACTAATCTTTTAGAGATATATCCGATCCAATCTAACCTTTGTCTAGACTTTTTTCTCAAAGTCAAGCTTTCAACAAAGTCTCTCTTTTTTGCCCACGTTTGGCCAGAAAAGTCTGATTAGTTTTTGGGCGTAATTGGTCCCAATCAGCCAGTGTTTGTTCACTTCAAAGACCCGAGTTTAGCCGATTCTTGGTTTCTTTCTCGAAGACATTCTCATTAGTTTTTTGATTTCTGTGAATTGCATCTGAAAACAGGTTGTTCAGATTTCAGATCTTAGACGGATGTTCCGCAGGGATCACTTCCGCCCATTAGACGCGACACTTACTTGTTTTCCATCCACGTTCCCCCGCTCGTACCCATTATGCGCCGATGACGCCGATGACGTGGCAATCTTCCTCTTCTTCTTCTTCTTCTTCTTCTTCTTCTTCTTCTTCGTTGTCCACCAAACAACATGGAAATCCAATCAAGTTTGGGACCACCTCAATGCTCCCACGGAAACTTGTTGGCCGTCGGGCGGTCCCAGGCACCCTTCATCCATTCAGAGAACAGTAAAAGCTTTGGATTTTCCTCTTTTCGACCGCCCCCCTCACAATGTTGTTGCCTTGTCCAGACAGGAAAAGGAAGTAATCCGAGTACGGGTACCCACTTCTTCTCCTTCCTTTTCTCGTTCAAACTCTCTCTCTCTCTCTCTCTCTCTCTCTCTCTCTCTGTTTCAAGCGAAACCTTTGCTCGGTCGGCGCCCAAAAAGAGCCCCAACCATAATTTATGAAAGCCTTCGATGTATTCTGAATTGCAATGACATCGCCAGCACCAAGCCCTCCTGACCGATCGTGACATATTCATGCTTCCCGAATCGAGATCATCATGACTCCCTTGAGATCGTTAACCATGTATAGAAGGGGAAGGAGAAGAAGAAGGAGAAGGAGGAAAGTGGTCAGTGAGCACACGGGAACAACTTGATTTCTCGCACTATTGCATTTTCTGTTCCGTGTTTCTTTCGGACTCAAGTAGCTTTCAAACGTACTGAAAGAACGGCTCTCATGAAACTTAAGGGAGCTACGGTAGTGAGTGATAATACAGAAACGTTGTTAACTCGAAAATATAAGTTCTCGGTGCAAAAAAAGATTATACATACTTTTCCTGAATCCTGCTTATTCAAGACAATATAACTCAACTGTCTGCAGAGATTTGAAAAGGTTGTCAACTAATAAATTGCTCATCAACACAACGTGCCCATGCTATCAGTTGACAACTTTTTGATATCTTCACAGACAACTGAGATACATTATCTTGAATGAACATGATCATTTCCAACCCTTTCGCGTAGGTCCGTTGTTCTCTGCTCTTATTCTCCGATATCCGAACTCTGCCATTCTGCGGGAACCGAAGGCGCCCTTCCCTCCTCGGGTTCTTCTTTTTTGAACCCTATTAGTCAACGCCGGCTCCTCATTTCTCCGCCCTTCTCAATTACCGCCTCTTACATAATCCCTTTGCAAAATTGAATTGTTACTCTCTTGCACCCATTACGTTTTGGAGAGTTCTCGTGAGGTCATGTGTCTGTGAGTCCATTGTATAATTGGAAAATAAGGTGCTTTCTGGTCACTTCTTCTCCTCCTCCTCCTCCCCTGATGAGCTTTCCAGATATTTGTTTCATTTTTCTTCTTCGAAGCGAGAAATGCTTTGGCAAGTTCACGCAACCTCTTTTCCTCGTCCTTTTCAAACTTTTTCTATCCGTCTTTCGAACCCGGAACAAGCGGAAGATTCTCGTTTTTTGCTGAATATGTTTTGATATTGTTGAGCATCCAGAAGGAACTAGAATCTGTCCATTTCATGTGAAAATACATAACTTCCAAGAATTTCGAATGTAGAATGTAGAATGTAGAACATATTGCGCTACATTTTCGCTACCTTTTTTTGTGGATGTTTTCTTTCTCTGAAATTTGACCCGTCTCTTTATTCGCCGCTTCCGTTTATTATCCTTTATTTTCCCGCTATCCTCGTTTTGTGTATTCACTTTCAGACCCAACAATAATTGTGTACGAGTTGATACACACACTACACGTGAAAGTGCAAAATGATGATAGCCAAGAGTAATCCGGGCCCAGACACTGATAATGAAAGTTTTGAACTTTGAACAATTCCATTCGAGTCGGCCAGTTAGACATTTGTTCATTCAAAGTCTCTCGCAACTGAATCGATCCGTCTTGAGGTTTTGCAGAGAAGGATATTGTACGTCTTTAAATATTCTGTACTTTACCCAAACGTCATCTGATCACACGTATTCATGCGCAGTCCATTTTAACAAAAGGACGCGGGAAAGTACTTACATGGACATCTCCCCCGCTTTGCTCACATTCATTCCCTTTTCCTAACCTTGTCGCATGTTCTATCTCTTTCTTCAGACTTGTCCGCTCTCTGAACTCCGTGCTCAAATATCCAAGTTTTCAGTGATCCGTAAGCCTTCCTTCTGATCCACTGGTCCACTCGGTTCATTCCTTCCTCTTTGATCCTCCTCCTCGTCGCCCAGCCACGTCATTCCACTAATTGGCAGGTCCGGAGAGAAACAAAGCTTTCTGGCGCTCAATTATGAATTCACCTTCTCTAAAATTAGCTCTCCACGGCTGCATCCTGCGCGCGCATTCCTATGCAAAATCTCGGCCACGAATGCGTCGCATCAATTATGCCGATTTTTGTTGGTATTCGCATTCCTATTTGCGTCAGCGGAAGAGTTTGTGCTCTTTCGTCTCTGATATTTTTTCTGCTGAAACACGTTGCGCGGACGGAATGTTTAATTGAGGTGCTCGTGTGCAATGCGGAGAGTTTGGACACACCTGGATGATGGAAGTCACTGTAGCTTCATCAGTTTCTAGTCGTTTCTCTGAACAACGTCCCGCTATCATTTTGAACTCATTTCGTTCTTGAAAACGTTGACGAGTGTACGCAGGAGAAGCTATAAATCAAACAATATACGAAGGCACGCGATCGTTTATTATCCGCCCGCCAGAAATGTTTAACCCATGTAATGGCACCCCCCGCCTGATCGAGTATAAAGTTTTGACATATTAGATTCACTTTCCACCTAACTTTTGCTCCCAGAGGTCCGAATAACACGTAGGTCACAATCCTAACTTATGCGGATTCCAGAAAGAGCCTAATGAAATGATCTTTTGCTTCTTTTTCTAATCAAATCAACACGGAGTCAACAGGTCTGAAATGAAAAACGTGCGCGTTCCAAACGCGTTTGGTTTGTGTCGTTTGTGCATCGTTTGAGTAAACATCACTTCAAGTTCATCTTCTATTTTCCACTTTCTTTTTCATTTACTCTGTTATCCTCTAGACTGCATTCTTAAGCTGCTGAGACCAAAATTCAAAGGGATCATTTGTACACATTTCGTTCATTGGCAATATTCGAAAGAAAGCTCTGAATCGTACGAACGCCCATTAAGGGATCAAAAGAGGAATGCTTTTGCTTTCACGGATTAACGCTCTGGTCAAATTGCGTGCAAAGATTGCTTCCTCTCACTTTCCTACTTTCTGAAGTCCATTTTAGGCTTCGACTTTCGGTTCAATCGCTATTATCAATTGCCCGATTATGACTAGGCCCGCAAGAAAATCGTGTAATGTTAGGGTCAGATCCAAACTTCTCCATATTTCCAATCGTTCGCCTCTGATTCATCATCGCTGAAATTTGTGAATTCGGCGGCGCCAAGGGGAGGAGCGGGTCGCTCCACGCTCGACCAATTCTCAATTGGAAACGCCCCGAGCAGCAGCATCGCTCATTCCGAATTCAAAATGGAAAGGGCTGAAAGAGAGCGAGCGAGTAGAAGAAGAAGAAAAGTTCATGGCATCATCCCATTCATCCTTGACTTCCACTCGTTGTTTTTCCGTCGTTCACCTTCATCGTTTCCTGTTCATAATCTTTCATTGCCCTTCCCACCTCTCCATATTGTCCATTTCCAGCCATGTCACTGGTTCCCAACTCCACCACCTCTCCCCTATCACTGGCTGATGATACTGTAGCGCTGGCCGAAGAAACGCTTGGCCACGTGCCGTCGGACTACGCCCAAATGCTTCTGTACGGTCTGTTCGCTGTCATCGGTCTTCCCGTCAACATCTCCACGCTCATCTACATGCTCAAACGGTACCGACACGCCAAATCGTTCCTGCTCCTTCTTCATATCAACCTCAACATTTCCGATATTCTGGTGAGTGGAATGAATCACGTGGGGCCGAAAAGCGAATGAAATAACTTGAAGGTGCTTGGTCTCTACGTGCCCGGTTTAATCGGGTGGCTGGTGACTTTGGAATGGCGTGGAGGCGAGTATCTATGCAAATTGATGCGCTTCGTGGATGCTTTCGTCTTTGCGATCAGGTAACATCATCGAAAAGTCTGGGGTGAAGTAACGAGAATGGGAAACTCCTCTTCCACGTGAGGAGATCACCGAGAAGAACTGAAGTTCTGTTTCCAGCTCGAACATAATGGTGTGCATTGCCCTGTACCGTCTCTCGGCCCTCCGTTATCCCCTTTGGGTGAACGCCGTCGGGCACTCCCGGGTGCCACGAATGCTGATTCTCGCGTGGGCTCTCGCAGTGGTCACGATGCTCCCGCAAATGTTCGTCTGGAATGAAGTCGGTCACATCCCATCCCATCCCGCGCCGTTTCACTCATCAATTCTCTTTTAGGTACGCTTCTCGCACGTCACTCAATGCGTGACAATTTGGACGGAAATAATCAACAAGGGACACACTCTGAGCGAGAGTCAGTTACGGAACATGAAGTTGTACTCGATCCAGAATGCCATCATCATCTTCTATATTCCGTTGATGATTCTCGTCGCGTGCTACGTGCTCATTTTGAAGGTATTCCGAGCGGGAAAAGGGAGCAACAAAACGAGCACGATTGAATTGCAATTACAGGACATTTACAAGACGCTGAACACGGACACCGAGTGCTCCTCGGCCGCCTATCTCTCCGAAATGAGCTCCTCGAAGACTGCGGCTCACAAGAAAGAGCAAGAGAGTTTCGGTGCGTCCGTTCCCGGTCCCGTCGGCTTAAATCGGTCCCTTTCAGTGACTCTCACCACGCGGACGGTCCGTGGCCAGGAGAAGTTCCGCCGGGCCAAGGTCCGCAGCCTTCGGATCACTCTTCTGCTCATTCTCACCTACGCCGTCACCTGGCTGCCGTACAATCTTCTCTCCTGGTGGATGGTGCTCCATTTCGATTCGTACAAGGCCAATCTCGACTCCAATTACATTCTCAACTCGCTTGTCGTCCTCAACAGTGTCATCAATCCTTTCATCTATGGAAGGTAATCAAATTGTTTAACAGTTTTATATTCGAGAAAATTAGAGAGAGAAATAGTGATCAAAATAGCGGGAAGAGCAATGTGGAATAGTAGTGGCATAAAAAAAGGGGTGGAAAAGAAATTAGAAAACATTAAATGAAAATTGAGAGACAAATAAAATTGACAAAAGAGATAAAGTCGAGGAATAATGGGGATTCTTTGTTGCAGATGTCAAGGCATCCGTTTCTTATTCAAGTGCCGGGAGAGACTCGCCACACCGAAACCAAAAAAGATTTGCAAGTTTCTACAAAATTAACAAGAATCAGCGCGGTGACGGAAGAGAAGAAACGGGACGGGTTGACCAACATTTTAACAATTCTTTTTTGTGTTTTCCGACAACTATAATGAAAGTTCTCCTTCAGTTTGCGTAAATAACTATATGAATTTGTTTTTGTTTTTTTTATCGGTGACCAAGAGTGTTCCGTGAAGAGGTGGAGTTCCGAGCAACAATCCATCAACCACAACGACTACAACTACGGCGGGACGTCCAGCGTCGCTCCAGAAGGTGTCATTGCGCTCATGCAGGCCACCCGTTTGAGACCGATTCGACAGAAGAGACCACGGGTGGAAGAGCAACAAGACGGCACAACTGGTGTGAGTGGGAACGACTCTGGACGCCTTCTTCTTGGTGGCTGACGGATTGGAGAGCAGAACGGCAAGAGTTCACGGAGCATTTCTACGCAATGGGAGAGGAGGACCGAATTGAGAGACGAGAAAAGTGGGTAAGGTAGGCGAACTGAAGGAATACTTGGAAGGGGCTAGTGAAAAGAGACCTGAAATGTCGGGGGAATGGAGATTAAATAACAGAATACAGAGAAAAGGGAGAAGGAGAAGACGATAAAATGAGCGGAGAGAAGAGAAACAACGTGTTGAAGATATGAAGATGACGAAGAACGGGCGGATCAAGTGGCGAATGCTTCGGCGGGAACTTGGCTTTTCACCTCCGCGAACTTTTGACAGGAAAGCTGAAACCAGACAAATAAGGTTTATACGCAGCAACCTGCGCAGCAAGCTTACCTCAAAGTTCCATCCGCAATCGGCGAGACACTTTTCAGCATACGGTACGATCATTTTGGTGAATTCGCAGAACGCCTTCACCATCTGCTCACGAATCTCGGCCGGCGGCGCTCCGTCGAACCCAAGTCCGTTCACACCGATCTGGGCTACTTGGACGGCGCTCACTTGTTCCATTGCGGCTCCATTCACCTCCGCTTGATCAAGTAGTTTCTTGTAGCGAATGAGTCGTTCTGGCGAAGCGGACGAGATGAAGAGTTGGTCGGAAAGCACGGCGACTGCTCTGAAAATAGGAAAATTTTAGTGATTCAGAGCAAAGTTAAAATTCAACGTACCCTTCGGCGCGTGGCAAAACGAGGAATGATCTGGAGAAGTAATTAGGCTGTGGGACGACTTCTTCGGAGAGATCTCCGTCCTGAAAGAGTCCTTGAACTGTGAATCCGAGCAATTCGCTGGTGAAAAGGAAGACGTCGACGATGAACGTGTCCGTCATGTGTCTTGAAGTTGGCAATTTTGACAGAGCGACTGCAATGTCCATGGCTCCGCGAGCTGTGCGGGCGGCGCGATTTCTCGAGAAGTACTCTTGGGTGAGCACATTGTGCGACGTCTGGACATACTGATGGTAGCATTCACTGAAATAGAGATGCATGATTTCTCATCTAAAGCCTGCAACTTACTCGCTGTGGTATCTTTGCTGTTGCGATAGATTGGTGATCGTCAAAGTGAACTGGGCCTAAAAAGTTACTTGTTCTCATTTTGAGCTGAATTTTACAGAAACTCACGGCGTCCGCTTCGTAGGCGTTTTGCAGACTTTTGCGATTGCGCTGTCCATCGGGACCGTCGTACATTTCAAAGAAGGCGACGACGAAATTCTCGACGAGCAGGCGAATTTCACCATTCGGGTAGTACCCGGCCTATAATTCTGTCGTTTGACACTAGTCATTTGTAAAAGACTTACTCTGAATGGCATCACTTCGTCAATGTTAATCTCAGGACCAGTGACAAGCGGCTGTACTTCGACTCCATCCTGAAAAAGAATTCACTAAACACGATGAACAATCTGAAAGAAAGGCCAATCGCGACTCACCAGCAGGGCGCATCTCGGGAACGACTTGTGAATAAAGCTGAATAGGCATTATTTGAGTAAAAAAGAACAGAAAAAGTGGTGGGATAAAGGGTACAATCAGAAAGATAACAAAAAGAGACTGAAAAGAGGAAAGAAGCTGAAAGTGCTGAAAATGATCAAGATTTGGTAACCTGATGTAGGCAGACTTCTGTGTGAACGTCTCGCAGACTGGATTTCCTTCGAAGAACAGGCGTTCGACTGGCAGACCGGAGAACTTTTCCAAATCCTTTTCTGCAGAAATCTGAAATGAATGCGGTTCGAAACAGGGACAGGTTGAGAAAACTGACGTGATTGTGACTGAGATCCAATTCTTTGACAAATTTGGCGATCGAGACGAAAGCGGCTGCGTAGTCCAAGTGACGGAGACGGTTATTCGCCAGAGAGAGTGCGACTGTGTTTCCGTATTTGTCGTCGATGCGATCGAGGACAGCGAGCATCACATTTCCTTTAGTGAGATTCATGAGCATGTCCCTTGAGGTAAACTCTTCGTCGGCGTGGAAGTTTGAAAGATCGAGAACGCGGTTTTTGGAGTTGTATCGATTGTCAACCACTTTCTGTAATAAGAACAACAATTTTGAGTTACCTGAACTTTCTGACACTTACGTTGATGATCTCGACTTCTGATCTTTTGAGCTGCATCCAGGGAGCCGGCATTCTGGTGATGAGGAACTCGACTCGGTACCCGCTTTCCTTGTGAAAAATGCGACGGCTGTTTGCTTTGATGGTCGCAGCAGTGTCTTCATCGCGCACGTAGAATTCGATGTCACCGCGATTGGTTTCGTCCCACAGAAGCGGCTTGAAGTTCTCAATTTTCTGGTTGAGCTGTTTGATGAGCCACTTCGATTCGATCCTCTTGGCGGCTCCCGGAACACGGACTTTGTGCACAATTTCTGCATTGCGTACACCAGTATTGGCGACGGAGGCGTTCGATCGTGCGAATAGATTATTGCCAGAAGAGTTCACGCCACGGCCGCGAGAAGCAGACGACGGGGCGCTTGAGCGAGCTGAATTGTATTGTTATTACCTGGATTTGAATGAATGCTCACCTGGGACGGCTGGCTCGTCGTCTAAATCGTCGTATCTGCTCTGAGTATCGGGATCGAGTCGAGCAAAGCGATTTTTGTTACGAGAAAGTTGTTTGGCATCTATTTGGCGATGACGGCCATCGGTTCTTCCACCGACTGGTTTTCGGTTCATGTCTGAAATGAATCGAAATGAAAGAAGAACTAAAAATTGAGAGAACGGAATGAAAAATTGCGAAATAAAGAGTGAGCAAGAGAGGTGACATGAGAAATCGATAAGAAGGATACGAAACATTGCGAAACACATTCCACGGAGAAATAGAGAGCTCCCGCAGAAAAAGTGATAACGTGAATCATGTGGGTGTGAAAGAATCAGATTTAAACCAATTCTGCTCGTTTCTATTCCATTCCCCCGTTCGAACCTTTAAAAAACAATAAATCTGTGCGACCCTCGCGGCCTCGTGATCAGATCGATCTTGGCCTGTTTCTGTGCAAACACCGTCACGCGCAATTGCGTATTTTTGGTCGCAAACACGAGAACGACGACAATGTTCGAAGTGAATGATGTGATGATTCCGTGACGATTTTCACAAGAGAAGGGAAGATACTGATAAAACTGTTCATGAAAAAAGTGAAGAAGAAGAAATATCGGTTTGCGCAATATTAAGGCAAAAGAAACTGTGGGCGAACAGAATGTCTGTGTATTCAAAACTACAGTACTCTACAGTAATCGGTTCGTTCTATCGATTGGTCTTAACGGAAACTAAGGGAAATAGTACAAAAACAAAAGGAGCTCTCACTTTCTGTCTCCCGTAATTTTTTGTTTGCACACTCTCCCCTATCTGCCAGCAACCCGCCAATTTTCTAAACATTATTTCCGTCCTTCTGCTTCGTATTCCTCGATGAAGTACATTCCGGACGCGCGCCTCGACGACATCTCGCTCATTCCGACCCGTTTCGACCGAAGAAAAATGCTCCCGGACGCCACTATGGCGGCCGATTACCCGTGGACTCGGATTCCCGCACTGCCCGTCAACAAGAGACCGATCGGGTGAGTCATCGTCTTTATGGTTGAGGGTTTATGGTCAGTGTCGTCATTCCTTTCAGAAGACGAATCTTCGCGGTTTACTTCCTCAGCACGACGATCGGCTTCGCGGCTGCTTGGTTCGGCGCTACCACTTTCGATCACATCAACCTCAAAATAGACAGTTTTCGGGATCGAATGGATCTTGTACCGTACAAATAATTATTCAAAATTAAAACAAAAACACATTCCGATGAGAAAACGAATAAATTGCTCTCAAAATACGACGAAAAACATGTGAGATAACACGAAATTAGAACGAAATTACAGATATACAAAAGGTTCTATGAAAATTTCCGAATTGTGGCTTCAGGAAGCGGATGCGAGCAGTGAACGGTGCCTTTTGAGACGATTGTTCGACATGGAACTGATGAATAACTGGTCAGAAATTACAGCGACTTGTCTGAAATTTTGAGGATAACGACAGAAAAGAAGAGAACACGCTTGCCCTTCGCCTCTGGGCTCCACCAAAAAGGTTCTCGTGAAGAAGTTCTCCGTCATGTCGTTCGCTTTCGTCGGATTGGTAACACACACGCCGTCGCGGAATAGCCCGTGAACAGTAAAACCGAGCAGCGTTTCCTAGAATTAGTCAATTTTTAAGTGCAGAAATGGTGATCTGACCGAAAAGAGGAAGACGTCGACCACGAACGTCTCCAACAAATGATAGGTGGCCGGCAGTTTCGATAGGGTCACCGCAATATCCATTGCCCCGTGGAACACTCTTTCGGAACGATTTCCAGCAAAGAATTCCTGCTGGAGGACATTATGCGAATTGCGCAGATACAAACGATAACTTGTACTTAAAGTTAGATCAAGTGATTGCAATCCTACAAGCGTGTCTACCTGTCAGGGTAAAGAATGTATTTGGCCGGATCCCAGAGGCATTGGATTGTGAGAGTGAGCGTTGACTGAAATCATTCTCGTTTGTTCGGGTTACTTTTAAAATCTGCTCACACTATCCACATCGTAAGCGTCTATCAGTTGTTTTCTCGTCTGCTGGCCGTCCGAACCGTCGTAAATTTTGTAATATGCCAGAAGAAACTCTTCGACGAGAGTTCGTATCTTTTCACTTCCATAGTATCCGCCCTGAAACGGATTTTCTCTGGAATCAGTCGAGCAACACTCACTCTGAACGGAAGCGTTTCTATTCTGGCCGCAAATGGCGTTCTACTTTCTGCTTCACTTCAATTCCGTCCTGAAAGTGAGGGTTTGTGAGCTGAGAGAATAATGATCTCAACTACCAGCTCCGTGCAATTCGGGAATATTTTGCTGATGAAATTTATGTATTCGGACACTTGGGAAAACTTTTCGCACACCGGATTTCCCTCAACAGCCAGCTCTTCCACGGCCAACTTGCGCAACTTTCCCAGCTCGTCTAGCGATGAAATCTGAACATAAACACAGCATAAAGCGGAGAATTCACGACTATTTACATGATTATGGCTCAAATCCAGTGTCTTCAGATTTTTGATAATATTGGCCAAAGGGAGGAGGTTTTCAAGGTGGCAAATGCGGTTGTTCTGGAAAGTATCAGTGAATTTTCAAGAATAAGAGACATTTTCGACGCACTGAGAGAGAAATGGCGGTGATTCTCGGATACTTCAGTCCGATCCAGTTGATAACCGCCGACATTACACTTGCTTTCGTCAGGCAAATCAGCATGTCTCTTCTGACGAATTCCTCGTCTTTCGAAAAATCGGAAAGGTCTAGAGAGTTTGTCTTCGCATTGAATCTGTCGTCCATTACTTTCTGAAGTCATTAATTAATTCCTCTTTCGTTTTCTCAATACTCCCGTTTACCTGCACCATTCTGAGCTCCAACACCTTCAAGGTTGGCGATTGTAGCGTCTTCGGAGACGAGCTGTTTCTCGGCGGTCTTGAGCTTCTGCGTGAGTAAGATCGTCTGCCACTCGCCCTCATTTCTTCTTGTTTTGCGGAAAATGTTTGGCACGCAAACTCGGGAGAAAACTTAGGCCCGAAAACAGAAGGTTACTGTCATTTCCTGGTCATTTCCGTGCGAGACCCGTCGAAATTGTGAGCTTTTGCGCTGCGGTGTTTGCAGATTTTCGTGAAAAACGTGCTTCCACATTTCCAAATTCCAGGTTATTCAGAAATTTCAAAAATGTGCAATAAACAGTACGAACGGTAAGATGAGTACTGAAAAAATAAACACGTAAACATTTGAACAAGCGGGGCCAGGTCCCAGAAATCTTGATAGTGCAGTTCAGAAAGAAGAACGGCCGTTTCGAGAGCCGTGAACAAACAACTGAAGATGGTCGACGAAAGCGACGAAGATGTCTTCCGCCTCTGCGCCGGATTCCTCTTTGTCATTTCCTCGAATCCGCTCGACGAAACGGCAGTTCATCCGGATGATTATGCGGCCGCGGAGAAGTACATAACCTCTTCTGTTCATTCGCAAAAGTAACTCGTGATTTCAGACTGCTCGAAAAACTTCAAAGACTGCCGAAGAAGACAAGAACGGCTATGTCGACACGACGAATTTGACTGCCGGCGAGATGCGCATCATCGGCCTTTTCGGCGTTTCCACTGATCTCACGCCAGCTCTGCCGCTCTTGGTTCGTTGTCTTGAATTAATCCAGCCGAAATACGCAAACGTCCCGAAGGTTGGCGAGTCGTTGACGTGACTTTGGAATCAAGAGACAGCTCCGGATTGATTTGGTTGCGCAGAGTGTTCTAGAAGTTTCCAGAAAATTCATTTTCTCGTATAATTCTTTTTTCAAATTATCTCAGTTTTGCATATTCATTTGTTTCACACCGTAATAAAGATTTTCAACTAAAGCATTATTTAAAGAATTAGGTTGAGAGAAGAGGATATTAAAATCAAACGAAAACGAGCGAAAAAGAAATGCGCTCATTTGGCGAGTCCGGTGACTTCGCGACTGTAGTTGTACAGGTCCTGGCAGGCCTGATCGTCGAGAGCTAGCGGGTTTTCCTTGTCCAGTTTGCAATCCGAGAAGTACTTTCCACTGATTCCGCCCAATTTCTTGCTCAAAGCCACGTGGATCGAGGTCTGGGCGCCGTCGCGGCTAGTTTTCAGGAAGAACCATCTGAAAAAGCTATGCATGAAGGAATACATTGTGGTTCGGGGGCTCACCTGAATGGAGAAGTGATCTGTTTAATTCCAGGGAGGTACACGAGGGTGCTTCTCATCAGCGGGGTGTCCACTGCTCCCGGGTGCAATGAATTGACAGTCACGTGGTCCGCTCCGTCCTTTCTGAGCTCGGCGGTCAGCGCTCTCGCGTGCATCACGTTGGCCAGTTTGCTCTGATAGTACGACTTCATCATTCCGAACGCCTTCTTGTCGTCCACAGTCGCCACGTTGATCTTATCCGATTTTTTGTGGATCATGGAAGAGACATTGACAATGCGAGCGTACGACGACTTCTTGACTGCCGGAAGAAGGAGCTCGGTGAGCAGGAACGGTCCGAGATGGTTGCTCTGCCACGTTCTCTCGTGTCCGTCCTTTGTCAGGACGTGCTTGCTTTGGAACATGATTCCGGCGTTGTTAATAAGAATGTCGATGGTGTCAGTCGACTCGAGGAGCTCCTTCGCAGCGCGTCGGACGCTTTCAAAGTCGTTCAGATCGCACTCGATGAAGTGGAGACGCGTAGCATCGCAGCCCATTCGCACGAGGTTTCTCTTCGCTTCATTCGCCTTTTCCTCACTGCGGCACAACATGTAAACCTGAAAAAACAACGAGTCATCTCAGAATACAACTTAGAGCTGACATCGGCCTTTCTCAAATTGAGCTCTCTGACAGTTTCGAATCCAATTCCACAGTTCGCACCAGTCACCACAGCCACGAGTCCTTTGGCTGACACCCTCTCAGTGAACTGACCGCCTTTGATAAAACGTCTAGAAGGAAATAATGAGAAATCGGGAAGAATGAGTCAGTTTGGGTACCTGACGAAGAAGAGGACGATGAAGACGACGGCCGAATAGAGCATCACGGAAGGAAACCATCCCGATTCTTCGCCTTCCGCGCCGTCCATTTCTTTGGCAGCCCTGACGAAAATCATTTGAAATGGAAGACAAACGGAAAGTGTTTGTAGTATTTTACCAGCCACCAAGTAGCAGTAAACAGTAAGATGGAACGTTCTTTTGAAGTGAAAGAAATTGGAAACAGGTTTGCGAAACCAAGGTGTTTGATGATAAATAACAACGAGAGTGGAGAAAGGGGTTTTTATCGTTCTTTTACTGATAAATAGATATAGTTTAGAGAGGGAGTGAAACATTGAAACAGAAAGTGAAACATTGACCGAGTGCATTTCATCACACAATATGACTCAGGCAACGTTGCATAACTTTCCGGAGCGCCACCAAATAAGTGCGAGAGAAAAGGACGATAAACGACAGAGTAAAGGAGACAATAAATAAGAAGAAAACAGGGATGCAAGGGGGACCGGAACACACGGAATATTAGCGATTAGTCTCTGTTGGCGATCTGGTTGAGATGATGCTCGACCTGATCGTTGCTGAGCTTCGTGAACTTGGTGTTGTCCTTGGTGACGACGACGACCTCGAGATCCTTGGAGCGCACGTCGATTCCGAGCGACGACTGAAGAGCCTCGATGGCCAGTTCGATGGTCTCGCTCGAATTCAACTCCGCCTTCTTTTTGATCTTCTTCTCGAGGAACGAAGTGGCCGGAACTTGCTTCACTCCGACGGCCACTCCCTTCATTCCGCGGTAGTATCCGGCCGGATCCACGCGGTACACTTCCGGACCCTTTTCGTCGTCGAACGAGATGAAGAGAAGAGCTGAAGTCGTCAATGGAAGATCAGTGAGAGAATAAGAAGTGCTTACCGCATCCCAAACTGCGCATCTCAGCATTCTGGGTGTAGTACTGGTTCAGATCGGCCATTTTCTTCGCGAGAAGCTCGCACGGCATGTTGTATCCGTTCTTGTACTTCCAGCTGGCGGCTTCTCCTTGAGCACGCTTCACTTGGAACTTGGCGTCCGGAATCATGCCGATGGCACAGCATCCGACGGTTTGCGAGATCTGGTAGACCGAAGAGACAGTGTCTGCGATAATCAGACTGTCCGGAACACGCTTCTGGACGGCGATCACGGCCGCGTCCTTGCCTTTCACTGCGACGGCAGTCAGGTTGGTCGAGTTTATGGCTTTGAACGCATATTCGACCTGGAATTCGACTAGAGGAATTTTGGGAGCATTCGGAAGTTTTCTGTACCTGGTAGACACGTCCCTCGGGAGAGAAGATGGTGATGTGGCGATCGAATCCGGCGCTGCTTCCACGAGACATCTGACGAATAGGGGTGAGATTAAAATTCGAGAAAAAGAAAGAGAATAAGTATTATAGGTGGCGACGAACCCGGTAGTGGATAAAGAAAAACTATAAATGTTTGATTTGTCTTCGAATCTATAAAACGACAACAACAACAAAAACAAGCAGAAATCAACAAATATGTTCAAAGTGATAAGGTTACGAGTATTCAATGTCTTTCTTCTTGCACTTGAGACACGTGTAGAAGACGGTCTGTCCTTCATCGGCGGACCTCGTCTGCATCGTCGAATAGGAGGCTTTAGTGTGTCCGCATCTGGAAATACGGGAATCGATTTCTGAATATCTGTCCAAATTGCATACTTCGTACAGACGTGTTCGACAACAGCATCTGCCGACTCGTCATTGTCGATTCCGTCTGTGTCTGCCACCGTTCGCTCGTAGATCTTTTCGACCCGACACACAAGTTGGTCAATTTTTTCTGAAATTCGATTATTGACTCGAGTAAATTTGAGTGAAGGAGTACCTTTGACAGACCACCGCGTTGAGCACACCTTGCAAGAGACAGTCGAAGGAGCCTGAGCAGGCAATTCCAGGATGGCGCCGCAGTATCCGCAGAAGTCGTCGTCGTACGAGACGAAATTCAGTGACATTTTTACTAGAAAATGGAAATTTAGTGGAATCTGCGGGAAAAACGGGTTGAAATGTTGAGAATTGAGAAAACGATGACAAAATTTAAAGCGTGTGCGGTGGGGCGCACTTTCTGACCGCAATCGGAAATGTCTGGGAGAATCGCTGACTTCAAGTGTTTTAAAAGTAAACTCGAGATTGGTAACACAACTAACTTGATAACACGGGTAAAAGTCACACATGTAACAAAAACTTCATTGATAAGAAAGTTAATAGGGATGAAGAACAAAAATATAATGTAAAACAAAAAATCAACAAGTTGAAAGTAACTGCGTCGAATAAGCGAAAATCACTTCTTTCCACCCTTCTTTCCTCCTTTTCCGCCACCACCTCCAGGACTCTTTTTCTTGTTGTCCACCTTGTTTTTGAACCACTGCTGTCTGTGAATCTGACTCTTCTGACGGGTTTGTCCTTTCGCTCCCTTCTTCTCCTTCTTTTCCCGTTGCCTAAAACACAAGTACTTATCTGCACAGATACTTTCAGCTTACTCTCTTGCGGGTCCTGCCACGGCAGCCACCTTCTCTTCGACGATTTTGGCCTTCTTTGCCTTCATCTTTTGCAGAATCTGGAGAGCGCGCTCCTTTTCTCCGGAAACTGGGGCCTCGTTGGCCTCGAACTTTCTTTTCTTTCCAGTCTTCACGTTGACCTTTTCTCCCTTCAGTCCCTCCTGGAACTTTCCAGCAGAAGCAGTGGCTAACTTGGCACGGTCGACAGCAAATCGCACTTGCTGCTTCGTCTTTTCCTTGGCATCGACACCCACTCCGATCATTTTCTCTGTCGATGGACCACTCTTCACTGTCGTCTTCATTTGACGCGCCAGATTCTTCATTCTCTGCATTTCGTTCTTTGCAACACGTTCCTTCTTCTTCTCGCGTCTCTCTGCGAAGAAATCCTTGTTCGGATCCTCAGCGTTATCCGGAATTTCAATAAGCCAGTCCTTGGTGTCGTCATTTCCACGTCGATATCCGTAAGTCGGCTTCCATTCCTTCGTCGCCTCATCCCACACCTTCTTGTCCTTCTTCTTCTTCGTCGTGATACCCTTCTCGGCAGCGTACTTCTCCCACTTTGTAGGCTCCTTCTTCTCCGGAAGACGTTTCTCTCGCGGAAGACGGTACGTGGCAGTGGGAAGAGCCACAGTGACAGCATCATCCACACGCTTCTGCTCCAACTGCCAGATGTTGTTGAACAGGAGTTGTGTACTTTTCCTGGCGCGTTCTTCCATTCCCTCGCTAAATAAAAATTGTTAGAAAGTGGAAGCAGAAGACTCAAATTACTTTGGATCTCCCTGAATCGGGTCTCGATCAATAAACAGCAGGTTACCCAAGTCAATGACGGGATCGATGGCTTTTTCAACTTCCGTTGATTTGTCGGCCATTTTTCTGAAGTACTCAACGTATTAATCGAAAAATGGAATAAGTGACTCAGGGAGAGTACTGACGGAAAAAATACTTCAAACGACACATTTCCCAACGGATTTCATAGATTTTTGACGGAAATGCCAGCTCAGAAGAGTATTATATAATTGAGATCAATTGTCTAAATTTTTTGGTGATCTTTTCCAAATAGAAAAGCTGAAGAAGAAGACGAAAGAGGAGCGAAGAAGGAAAAAGTTTGGAAGATATTGAGGGGCGTGGCGTCTTTTGCAACTGCCGCGTACATTTTCGCAATGCCGCCGCACGTTACTTTGAAGAGGTTTGTTTTCACTGAAAAATGTTTTGGATGTGTTATATTCATCTAAAAGCTCCACAAATCCAAAAAAAAGTGCAAGGCGAGTTGCAAAAACAATTAAAAAACGTTTATTAATTTGTTAAACGAATTAAATTCGAAATTAGCAGGAAATAAGTATGTGAAGTTTGTAAGTGTGTAACCTAGTTTCTAGCCCAATTCTAATGTTCAGTTCCCTTTCCTTTCGTTGCAATCGCAAAATTATTTGTTCAGTTAGTTCATTCGTAGGCCCATCTGTGCACATTCCGTCGCATAACATATCAAAACCATAAAAATATGAGATTTTATAGGTCATTGTCTGCGCACCGGGTGGTCTATGTACGAAGAACGCAGCCAAAATAAAGCACATCAGTTTACCCCGAATTCTAAAGTCTCTGAATTCCAAAGTATTTGTTTCAACAACTCATTCGAATTCAGTACCCAAACGGTGCCGCCTGAAGCAAAACGCATTAGAATAAATCAACGAATTAGTGGGTTTTTGTAAAGAAGCGCGAAAACTTGTCGTTCCCCTTCGGCGTGTTTGTCCTTTCCGGCAACCAAATCCCATAAATCTTCGGACAAATTAGCGCGCGAGCGAAAAGAGTTGATAAATTGTAGAAGAATAACAAGAGCGTGTATGTAACACAACTACTTACTGCACATCTGCCTTTTGTTTCCGGAGCGAACGGATCCTCGAACCGAAGGTCACTTGGTCCATATTATGATGTTGATGAAGAGAATGAACGACAGAGGACAGTAGTTGGGCGGCATCTCGTCGCAAGTCGAGAGTATGATCGTGGGAAAGCACTGGCTTTCATCTGAGGCGTCGTTTAATTCACGATTCCTATTCGCACCAAACCCCACGTGAAACCGGACCGTGGTCGTGATCATTTTCAATTTATCACTAAATTTGTCATGGAGAGCGGTGAAGCGCGACTGCAATACAGTGCTTGATGAACGTGTGAATGACGTCTCCGTATCAGAAGACGTCACTTCAAGAGCCCTTCTCGTAATATGTTCTCAATCTTTCCTAATCCTGCATCCAATTAGGATAATAATGGATCTCTCCACACGAAGAATAACTAAGAAAGAAAAGCGAAGCAGCGGATTAATAAGTATTAGTAGGTCACTAAACGTCTTCGAGTTGCGGATCTGCGACTCTTGTTTGGCTTTGCTCTCTCGCACGCAGGTGGCTTCTCAGGATGTGCATCGTCTAATTGTGCATTCGCGTGGAGACAAGTATTGTCCCCCTCCTCCTCATAATATTTGCTCGTTGAATGCGCGAATTCCACGCGGATCTGTGCACTTCCTGTGCGCCACGTGCGACTCCATCTGCGCCTCGTTTCCGTTCTAATTGTTACACAAAAGATCATCCATTTGGGGAAGTGGCGAGGGATGAGGTTATGTAAATGGGCGAATGGAAGCCGATGGTAAAAGGTTCCGACAGCGGGAAGGTGTCACTCAAGTGGACGAACAAGACGAATGGCAAAAAGAGACGAGAGCGATGCAAATGAGATATCAATGGACAATGAACGGACGGAGACGCACGTGGCGGAATGCTGATTCGCGCGGAAATTAGTCATTTGATGTGTCCGCGCAGTGCATTAATCATTCTGCAAGTGTATCAGTATCCGATCAGGGTTCCAACACCTACCCACTATTTATGTACATAATGTCAATATTATGGTTACCTAACACACCTGTGCCAACAAGGTGTTTCCCTAGCTGTCACCCAAACTCACACAGGGTTTGTTATGTTTGCTTACTCCGATCATCCGGTTAATTAGTCAAGAGTGAACGAGAGGAAGGAGAAGCTGGCACAATGATTAGCACCTGTTTCTCCCTCTCTCCCTTCCTCGCGCAATCCTAATTGACTGGTGTTCCGGATCGGATGTCCGTTCCGGATTCCGTAGTAATGTTGCACGGACATCCGATCCCTCAGCTGCGTGTTTTACCACCGGCTATCAGTCAGCGTCAGTTGTCGTTAACCTGATTGTGCGAACACTTGACACCACCACCGCAGCTCTCTTTTTGTGTTTTTGTCTTTTCGTTGGCCGGGGTTTGATGACATAATCGGTATGCTTTGTGTGTATCCATAATTCACGCGCGGTACAAGACGCTCACCCGTTTTCCGCTTATAATTACTCTGTTTAATGTGCCCGTAAGGCTTCGTCGTCCTCACCAAAAACGCAGCGGCTCTTTTGAGCGCGTCCGACGCAATCGACTCTCGTGTCCCTGGGGACAGAATAATTCATGCGCGAAAGAATACATGGCACCGTACCAAGGAGTGTTTGGAGGGTCAGATGACGACAAGTTTGTCGGATTTATGATAGGTGTATCATTGGAGCCACGTGTCAAACGTCAGAAGGTCCCTCTGACTTCTCGGAAACATTGCTTATGATTCAGAAACATCTGGAAGGAAGGAAGGGAAAGTATACGATTGATTGTATACTTTTTTCACTTCTCACTTTTCTTTACGATGCTCGCCGGAGAAATCGAAAATTGGAATTGAAAACAAAGCAAAACACACTTCCTCTTAAAAAAAATCATATTTATTGTCGAAAAAATATGTAGGCATACAATAATATCATGGTACAAACAAATATTAAAAGGGAAAAAAGACTATGGTACAAATGGGAGATCACAATAGGTTTGGAGGGGAGAAAGCACCGGGATTGGGGGAGAGGGAAAGGCAATTGAGACTGATTCAGAAGGCGAAAAAGTCGAGGACACGATCGAGAAGGCTTCTGGAGGCGGACGACGGCTTCTGAAGGAGAGCAGTTGCGAGTCGAAGTCGTCGCACATTGCAGCCAGTTGGGAGCCGATCTCCTGGGCGATGCAGCTCATTTCGGTGTGCTCGGAGTCGTCTGAAATGAGAGAATGTTAGGTTTCAGTTTGGAAATTCAAAAAACATAATCTCAAAAGCCACCCAAACTCAGTAAAGCCTAAGAAGAACGCTTGCTTACCGAAGAATCCAGAATCGTCAGAGGAAGAAGAAGGAGACGTGGCTTCTGGAGCAAAAGAGTGACTGGAGACGAACGTCTTGTCGTTGAGATGAGTGTAGACGGACGGCTTGACGTCGAAGTGCGCGAAAATCGGAAGAAAGTCCGAAGAGGTGGACGGAGTGGCGAATGCGAGCATCTGGAAGACGTGCATATATTGGCAAAAGATTCAGAGACAAATAGAAACATGTTTCAGTTTTTGTCCCGTCGTGACGTAATCAACGCGACCGGTCACCGGCGGCCGGCGAGTTAACGAACAGAAATGTGTTCCGAAACATGTTTCGAGACAAATTCGCTCGGCCTACTGTAGGTAGATCAAAAAGTGATAAATAGATCAAAAGTACAAACTCACAATAAAATGACGTGGGAATAAAATGGGCGGATTGCGAGGAGACGAGTGGTCGTTACGCGTGTTTTGGGTGTGAATGAATGGTGTCCGTGCACAGCTTCTCGCTCACGCCCCGCCCCTTTCCCGGGCGCACTCCGGCATCTCGCTGCCACGCCTCCGTGAGTGTCGAATGTCACGACAACACGTCTTCCTGCTGGAGAACTTCTCGATGAATTTCACTGTGATTGATGAGAACAGGTCAGGTTGAGAGATGAGCGCGGGAACGGGAAGACGTTGCGTAACAGCTGGCACAGCGAAAAAGGTGTTGCGCGGGGAGAAGCGATTGCGAAAGAGAATGCGGTGCGAGTCGGAGGAAAGATGGTAATCATCAGAGTGAGTAAGACGATTTCAAAAAGTTTGGAGTCGAGCCGAAAGGCCTTAGAGCATGAAATCACATACTTTCTCCCAAGTTCTTTGAGGCAGTGAAATTCTGCTGGATGGTCCTGAATCGCCTACAACTTTTTGAGGTAAAGCTGACTTTTTGCGAGCGATTAGTACCCGAATGTTTATCCAATTAATCGCACTTGTGCTTGCGCACCTGCCTCTCCCAGTACTTGTGAATGGAATGTACACATCTTGAGGGCATTGCAATTGACAGCTCTTCTGAGTGAGTAAGTGAGCATCCTGAAAACAATGAAATCCGCCCGCTTAGCTTTCGTGCTCTTTGTGCACCGCTTCAATCTACCTCATCAATAATTACTCGACCTGTTGCATGGCTTCCGACACTCTAATCCGTTTGTCGGCATTTGCTTCTCGCTTAATTGAGACGGTTATCGGCTCAATAGCTAATCCACTCTTCTCGGCTAACTGTAAACACTTTGAAGCATGCCGACGGGCGATACTTGCGTCACACTTCTTATTTATGCAAATATGGTCAGAGAGGGTCAAATTGGATTGCGTAATCTCAAGTGACCGAGTTGATACTGTAGATATCAAGATCCTAAAAAAGGAGAGAGCTTGCTAACCAGATTCCCATACACAATAAGCCCATTAACCCGTAATTAGGTATAGTTCAACTTGAGGTCACTCAAAAGCTCCAGGAATATGAGCTGCCCGTGTCAAATGGATCTCAATTAGTGGCCATTACCTAACCGGCCTGAATAAAACATTGCAAAACACGGTGATTCCCCATTGAACCCATCCAAAACTACCACCCACTTTTTCGACTGCTTCTTAACCAGCTAATATGGTAGTTAGTGGGGTCACTGACCTCGAAACGAATGGCCTGTAAACGCGATATTGCACAACTTGCGCCTTCTTTCTTCTATTCTTTTCGCGTCGGCACAGCGCATCCTCAAAAGGAATCCCGACTTTTGAGGAAGACTGTCAATAACAAGGCCAACTCATAGGTGTCATCCCAAAAGAAACAATGCGGATGTGTTTGCCTACTTGATAGAGACAACTGTTTCCGTGAAGCTCAAACAAACCTCAGGGGACCAGATGCCGCCAAAGGAAGGAACGACGATCAAATGTTATTGGATCCTCGAGTGTCTTGTGCCACTGGATTAGGAGAAAAAGGTCGAATATCAGAGGGCGGCGAGGATTCGCGCATCGCGCTTCCTTTTGAGGGAGCACACATGTCTTCATAATAATCAGAATTGGTGGATGACATGCGTCACTGCGCATGTTTGCTCACCATAATTGTGACACAATTGAGCGTATGCAAATTGCAAATTACAGGGAAAGCTTTCGGTAGGAATGAAAAAAAGTGGGTTTGTTGAAACCAGAGAAAACAAAGTTCTATTCTTTCGGAATGTCCATGCTTAGAGGGATGGGTCAGGCAGGATTCATGAAATGTTTCCATTCAGCCGGGCCTCGCGGGTCTAGAACATTGAACAGCGACCGTTTTTCTGTACACAATACAGGTAATTCAGATGCTTTCTCAAGATCCACGACATCCGTTCAAGAGTCTCTGTCAGTTTTTCTTTAGATTCCAGGTGTCATGATGGTCTACTCCGCCCCCTTCCTGTCCTGCTTCTCGCCCTCTTTTACCCTCTTGCGTCATCATATAATTCGTCTTCTCGTATGTCTGTTCTCCCCCCTCGATTCGCCCCTTCTCATTCGGGTACCTGTCTCACAGAAATATTCAGGTGTCTTTTTTCTTTTTTCCATTTTGCCTCCACTTGATCTAGCGTACTTTCATTCGTAGCGTTTCATGTAACATTACTGTAGATTTGCCCATTCATCACCTCTGTTCCAATCGTGGTCAGGACCATCTTTCTGAAAATACACTCTTCACCGTCGTCTTGAAATCTTGAAATGATTTCGAGTGTGAACCGGTTTCTCGCACGCTCCAACCACCGAAAGTGTGGTCATTTTTCAGTATCTCAGTTCATTACACCGCCCTTCCCGCCGTCGCGTTTCAGTGTTTTGAGAGTAGTCGTCATCATCATCGAGAAGACGACGACGACTACATTTGACCTTCTTGCCTTCTTTAATTACTCGTCTTCCGCTTCTGCCTTCTACCTTACTGGTCGTGATGTTGTTGCTCATTAGCTTCTTCTTAATCTCGATGTCATCACAGGTGTGTGAGAATGTCACATATCTGGCAGCAGCTGCTCCTCCTCTTTACACGGGGGATTAGGCTCGTTAGCTTGTTATTAAAACAACCAGCAACTGTTATTAATGAAGAGTCAACACGTGTTGCTGCCAACCTATTATGCTGTGTGGTCTTAGAGATTTGTTACTTGTAACGTTGAAACAGAAACAAGAACGTGGTAAGGCGCCTAACTTCAGGCTTCAGGAGGACTGTCAAAAATAAGTTGAGAAATGTGAACGCCTCCAGTTTTTATGGGTCTGTTTGTGTTCCCTGCCGTCGTGTTCTTCCTCTTCCGCCTGCTTCTGAATGTCGCCAGTGTCAGACGCCAAAAAAGAAGGGAAATACCGTTCAGTAACTGTAACATTCTCGGCGTTTCGAGCGGCGAGAAGAGAGTGTATTACACCGTGTTGTCCTTCCAAAAACTTCCTTCGCCATCATCGTTTCTTTTCCGTTTCGAGAATGCGTATCATTTCTGTTTTGCAAGGTTACCACTTACTTATCTGTCTCTCCTCCAAGTTCTAGTTCCTCATTTCGCTTTTCCACGTGTCGAATTCCTGATTCCAAGAGAGATACGCATCTGAATACGTCGCCACCTTTTCCCTTGAGATGACCATCAGCTGGTAGGTTTTCCAAAGAAAGGCTGTCGCTTCTCCCTCATCTGAATAGTCGTCGTCGAGCGATTATGTTTCGGCGCCGTTTACATTTCCATTTACTACCACCGCGCCACGACGAAACGCCAAAGAATGACGGTGTAGTAACGGACGAAAAGGACGGATGATTCCGATCTTTGTCACTCGTTTAACTGTTTTTGTCGAGGTTTCCAGTCTTTTTCTGCCCGCCCGAACACTTCAAAGTTCACGCTGTGTGTTTGAATTGCTAGTGACCGTGTCAGGAAATTCAGCAAAGATTGGTATCCCCGTGAAATTCACTCTCGCGTCAGATATGTCCGGTATTAAAATACCAACTTTTTTTGAGATCATTCCCTAGTGAAGTAGAGTGTCTCCTGAGGCAAACCCACTCAAACCTTGACCCGTAATGTACTTGCTTTTTTGGTTCTCCGACCGCATGCTTTATTGTTATCAATCTCCCATCACACTAAGTTCAAGTTTCATTCTTTTTATAAAAGTCGATGATAGTTTAATGCAAGTTCCGCGTGACTTTCATACAAAACTCTTTGAACCGAAAACATAAGTCCATAATTGCCAACACCGGAAGTCAAGGACTCAAAAACCATCCTCCTCCGAATTTCGATTTGAATTCTTCACTCTCTGCCAACCAATTTTCCGTTCCAATGCCATTCCATTGCCTATCTTCGCTCTCTATCGAGTCCTTGCCCACCGCACCGCCTTCCTCCCGTCCATTTCCAAACATTCGGTCCTCGTCAGATATTTCTCAATGCTTGAGTCCCTGCTACTCTGTCTCGTGGCTCTTCTCGTGCCGACAGTCGCCTGGCCAGATGGTGCTCCGTGCGTTCACGCCGCTTTCGAGAGCATGAATCCGTTGGAAGCGGTTGAGCATCAGGGAGGACTTCAGTTGACGACGCCCCCGTACGAGATTGCAGTGGATCAGAAGTGCTACTGGAGAAATCAGCCGATCGGATGTGAGTTTGAGACCATTCAAACCAAAATATTGCAATTCGTTCTAGTGACTCTGCAAGGACTTAACGAGTCCGTCTGGTTCAAGGGATTCGTGATTCAACCGTTCAAATGGAACAACGATCAGTTGGGAGAGCGATTCGGACAGCTGGTCCGGCTGGACGATAACGGATCGTGGCAGCAGCAGTGCTTCAGGTATCAAGTCTCGGCCACGCACTCCCACGACGAAAAGAAGAAGCACATCAAGATGTGGTGGAAAGTGGACGATGAGGTGGACACTGTCCAGTTCGTGTGAGTTCTTCCCTTTTCCTCTGTGCATCCAGACACCTTCCTTCTTTTCAGTGCGACGGTCGTCAAGCATCAGACGCAGTTCTGGGTCAAATCGGTGCGTTCCCGTCCGCTACCGCCGTGCCGTCTCAATCGGGACGGGTTCCCGGGCTATCAGGCGCCGGCGCCGTCAATTCCTCCGCAAGTGAAGCAGTTCAAAATGGAGACGTTCCGAGTGTTCGACAGCATTGTGCGTAGGCGGCCGTTCTAACTGCTCTCCTCTCCGCACCGCTTGTTTCAGTTCTCCCGATCTCACCACTCTCTTTTCAGTTCTTTTGCTTTCATCTCCTCCCACTTTGTTTGTATTTATGATGAAATATAGATCAGTTGCACGTATGTTTCGTTCGGCTTATGCATTTAGCTAATGTGCCGTAGAGCGCACTTCCAAAACGTCCCTAAAACATTCAAATTGTTGTAGGGAGCCCAGGCGCTCGAGCAGGCTCAACTTCAGCAACAGCAGCAGCAGCAGCAGGTCAAACCTTTTTTTCCATCGCACTTTTGTTTTAATTTCAGAGCCATTGCACCCGTAGCTTCTTGAATTGCACCCTAATTAGACACCCTAACTGTTGCCCTGTTCAGCCACAACCAGCCTCAACCACTCCGCATTTGACGAGAATTATCCCAGTGGCAGGTATGGAAATCATGCATAGACGTATGTGGATAAGACTCTTAGAACTGACAATTTTCGTTGACTGACAAAGTTCGCTCCGATGAGACTTCTCCGTGGAGCGCTTTTTCTTCTCTCTTGTTTCTTTTCGGTTCTCTCATCAGTTCGTAGAGCAGACGCCGCCTTTCCTTTTGTTCTCTGTAGTCATAGCGGTTTCGTTCAGACGGCTTCAATCGCGGATCTTCTGGTGATGCTCAAGTGATGACGACGACAGAAACGCCCACGCAAGCTCCGTTCGCTCAACAGTCAGTCTTCGTCATTTTTCAAGAACATCTTCAATGTTTCCGTTATTTCAGACCGATTGTCCAGCAGACATTCCGTCCGATTCCACCAGTATCTTTTCCTTTCCCACGAGCTTTGCACTCCAATTCCCCTCATTTTCAGCGTCCTCGGCAACGAGTGATTGCTCAGCAGCCGTCCTCGGTCTTCACTCAAAATAACAACGTTTTCTTCCAAAGAAGGCGCGGCCAGAGCAACTTCGCCGCCGGCCGACAGAATGTTTTCCAACAACAAGCACTGCAGCAGGCAGTCGGAGGAGGCGGTGGAGAACGTGAGTCTCTTCTAGATGATCTCCTCAGAAGAATACGTTCAGAATGTGTGGATCGGGATCCGCAGGGAAGGTGTCCTCAATGGCGTCAGTTCTGCTCATCGCCAACTCATCAGCGGTACTTGACGAGCTTCTGCGCGAGAACTTGTGGCCTGTGCCGCCGTCATTGATAGCCACAATGCCGTAATCAAATTAGGGTCTCAATTTCTACTTTTTCATTGCTCAATGATCCGCTAGGCCTTTTCTCCCCCAACATAATACGAGTTTGTGATTCTCGCTTTCTGTATGACAGACCTGTGACCTAAATGATAAAGAAAATCATTCAACTACTTTAAAGTTTACGTACACTACCGGAGAACAATAAAGAAAAGGGGTGCTTACAGGGGAAGTGGGGAAAATGGCTGGAAGAGACGCAGAAGTACGAAGAAAAGCAAATTAAATTATGACCTATCATACGCTATCACTTCAAGACTTTACGGAGAATAAAAGGTGTCAAAATGGGTAGGAAAAGAGGGACGAAGGGGTGAGATGGTCTGGAGAGGAAGCGTCAGGTGATTAGAGGAGCATCGTGTGTGGCTTCTCGAGGAACTCCTTGAAGTGACGAAGCCAGACGGCTCCAACAGCACCATCGACGGTTCGGTGATCGCATGACAATGTCACCTTCATCACCTTGACCTTCTTGTATCTGAAAAACCTTCATTTGCGATCAAGAGTGGTACAATCTTCTCTTACCCGTCGGACTCATCTGGAACAAGTTTGTCAGAAGCACCTCCGATAGCCAAAATGCAGGATTGTGGCGGGTTGATGATGGCCGTGAAGTCAGACACACTTCCGAACATTCCGAGGTTGGAGACGGTGAAAGTACCTCCCTGGAACTCATGTGGCTGGAGCTTGCCTTCGCGAGCTCTCTGGGCCAACTCGACGACTTCCGAAGCAATCGTTGCGAGTCCCTTGGCATGGGCGTTGAAGACAATCGGAGTGATGAGACCAGCTGGAGTGCTGACAGCGACGGAGACATCGACGTGATGGTTCTCGCGGATGAACGTGTCCATCCAGTAGCTGTTGGCCTCAGGGACCCGCTGGCAGGCAAGGGCGGATGCCTTGATGATGAAGTCATTGATCGAGATCTTGGTAGCATTTCCGGATGTTCCCTTGGCGAGAAGGCCATTGAGCTTCTCACGAACTCTGAAATTGATAAGTGTAGATTTAGGGTTTTAGGCAAGCAATTTACTGAAGAAGTGTATCCAATTGAATTTCGCTAGTCAAGTAGTAATGTGGGATAGTCGACTTGCTCTCGGTCAGTCTCTTCGCAATGGTTTTTCGCATGTTGCTCAATGGAACATCGGTGTAATCCTGCCCAGACACCGGCTGAGCAGTGGAAGAAGTGGCTCCCTTGGCTGGTGCTTGAGAAAGGTCCGAAGCGAGAACACGTCCGCCTGGTCCGCTTCCGGCAACTCCGCTAAGATCGAGTCCTTGCTCGGCAGCAAGTTTCTTGGCGAACGGAGAAGCAGCAACTCTTCCTGGGAGTGGAGCCGCGACTGGTGCGGACTGTGGGATTGCTGGTGGCTGATATAGCGGAGTTGCTGGAGCTGCTGGAGTGGCGGCAGCGGGCTTCGAAGCTTCTGGAGCCTTGGCAGCAGCTGGGGCACCTCCGGCAGCAGCTCCGTCATCTTTGAAGTCCTTGAAAGCGGCGACGTCGGCCTCGGTCTCAACAATAATGCAGAGAAGCTTGCCAATCGGCACATCCTTGGTTCCCTCCTGGATGAGAATCTTGGCAAGATATCCCTCCTCTGGAGTCTCGAATCCCATGGTAGCCTTGTCAGTTTCGATTTCGCAAAGCAAGTCTCCCTCGCTGAGCTGGTCTCCTTCCTTCTTCTGCCAGCTGACAACAGTTCCGAGCTCCATGGTTGGCGAAAGAGCCGGAAGAGCGACACGGTTGTGCTTCGGGAGGTCGCCTGAAAATGTAACGTAGAAATGACTCCGTAACTAAACACTGCTCACCACTGCTGTACAGGCGAACCTGCTTGATGTTGAAGGTGGCGGCGTTCGGATATTGACGAGCAACCTGCCCGACAAGGGCAGAGCTCTTCGTGGCGGCTCCGGTGCTAAGTGCGCGGCTCGATTGTGCGAAACCGATGTTGGCCGCTGAAATGGCGGCGGTGGCCGAGGGACGGAGCCCGCCAATCGTTCTCAACGGCACCGGGAACTTCGACATTACCTACAAAGAATAAAAATCAAGTGAAGCACTATACTTTAGATTGGGAACACTACAAAAAAAGAAAAAAAGAGATCAAATCGATGAAGCCTTAAGGCTTTGAGATTAAATTTTTTCGAATGTGGCACATTTTTTCTATGTGCTCGCCTGATTTTCGGCGAGTTTCTGTTGCAATCAGCAAATGTAAAACTTATCAGAAACTGATAAAGCGACAGAAAATTTGCAAACATCATGGTTTCTGATGAGAAAAGAGCGTTTGAAAACATGGAGAAAAAAGAAAAAAAATCAGACGGATACAACGACGCTCCGAAATGACGGTTGATCGTTGTTTAGCGGAAAGAATATTTTTGATTTTTTTGCTGCGAAAATACTTACTTGCCGTTGTTTCATATAGAAAGCGAAAGAAATGTGTCAAACTCAGTTTTAAAAAAAAATTACATTTCAGTCAAAATGACATCAGCAATTCCGTTTCGTTCGTTCAATGAAAAATATCAGTGCAATGACGACGGAAACTTCACTTATTCGAGCACTGAACAGGTAAACCTTTTGTTTCAGTTGTTTTTCAATATGGCCTGTGTTTCAGAAACGCGTCGAAACAATGCTGTTCGAAAATTACAATTCATTGGTGTTAGAACCGTTCAAAGAAGTCGGCGACGAGGAAATGACAGAGATCACTATTCTTCGCGCCAGGCACACAGCCTATTTGCTCAGATATCTCAAGAACGCGCCCAATAGTTACGCGGTAGGCTAAACTCACACCTTGTTCACCCAATTTTTATAATTTCAGACGTTGGATGCAAGCCGCACGTGGATGTGCTACTGGGGTGTCAATTCGCTCAAAATCCTGGACGCAGAGATTCCGGAGGATCAACAAAAGGATATGATCTCCTTTCTGAAGACATGCGAACATCCAGACGGAGGATATGGAGGAGGACCAGGGCAAATGGCTCATTTGGCGCCAACTTACGCGGCCGTCATGTGCCTTGTCTCGTTCCAATCTCAAGAAGCACTCGAATCGATCAACCGACTGACTCTGTTCAACTTTTTGAAAAACTGCAAGCATTCAAGTGGTGGTTTCTACATGCATGAGGGAGGAGAAGTGAGAAAAACGAGTGGAATAGGATGATTATCAATGATCGCATTCAGATCGATATGAGAAGTACTTACTGCGCACTCGCAGTTTGCGAAATCGTCGGACTTCCAACTGATCAACTTGCGAACGGGGTGGCTGAATGGGTCATCAGTTGCCAGACGTACGAAGGAGGATTCGGCGGAGAGCCAGGCACAGAAGCCCACGGAGGATACACCTTCTGTGCGCTTGCTTCGCTGGTGCTGCTGAACAGGTCAGAAGATCTGAATCAGACTGAGTGTTATCTTCACAGGAAAACCTGGCGAAATGACACGTGAACAGCACGTGTTTAATTCACTCAACTGATCTTTCTGACCATAGGTGCGGAATGTTTGAGAAACGCCAAAATATTTTTTTTTTTTGCTCGGATTGGAATTTCCGAACCAGCGGCAATTATAAGACCCCCATTTTTTTTTGAAACAGGCCCCTGTCCCGAACTGCCGACGCTCAACTCAAAACACCTATGTTTCTGACCCCGATTTGTGGTGCTTTCAGATTCCGTCTCGTTCATTTGGACAGTCTTCTCCGCTGGGCGAGTCGTCGTCAAATGAAATTCGAGGAGGATTCCAGGGAAGAACGAACAAACTGGTTGACGGATGCTACAGCTTCTGGCAGGGAGCCACTTTCCCGTTGTTGGACGGAGAGATGGCACGAGAGGGGAAAACTCTCGAGACAGGCCTGTTTGAAGCGAGAATGCTGGAGGAATACGTGATCGTCGGTTGTCAGTCAATACACGGAGGCTTCCGTGATAAGCCCGAAAAACGTGAGTGGATAATCACATAGAATTTTAGCCAACTGCTTTTTTTATTTTCAGCGGTCGACATGTATCACACTTGCTATGTGCTCAGCGGACTATCCATCGCCCAGAAGTACTCTCTGGCTCGCGAAGGAGAGGTTCTCGGTGGTCCGGCTAATACTCTTGCGGAAATCAACCCGGTTTTCAATGTGACCGTCGCTTCTGAACAGTTCGCAAAAGAATACTTCACTTCTCACTAATAAATGTTCCGTTTTTTCTACATTCTGCTTATCAATACTCCATTCTAATTATAATCTCAATCCTACTTTCCCGTTTGTTTCTTACGAGTCTACTTAACGTACCCAGTTTTTCTATGGTCTGTATAAAGTTGTAGATTTTCCGCTTTTACACCACTTGTCCTCGAGTCTTTTCACTCATCATTATCTAAATGTTAAAGTTGTTTTGTAGTTGTATTCAATCTGATTTTGCAGCCATGAAACTGAAGAAACGACCGATGAAATTGTCAGCCAAACGGCCTGTCGATAAGGCCGGCAAGGTTCAGAAGCAGAAGCAAAAGGCAGCAAACCTGGCTAGTGTAAGTTCATTGAAAAGGAGTTTCCTGGGAAATACGATCATTTTCTAGGCTGAAAAAGTGATGGCTCAGTTCGAAAGTGGTGCCGTGGATACAAATAAAAAGAAGAACTCACAGAAGAATGGCGTGGCGAAGACGAACGGAGCCACTTTGGACAAGACCCCAAAGCCGGAAGGAACGAGTCAGAAAGACAGCTGAAGAAGATTCTGGGTCAAGACGGTCTTCTGGTAAAACATCAAGAAGGATCCAAGTGGTATAGCTATCAGATTGACCACGTTCATGACGAGAAAACGGAAAAGATGAGTGCGGCTGAGATCCAGAAGTTACTGGAGGAAGGCCGAGAATTTCTGGCACAGGATGCGGCTCTTCTGCAGACGAAAGAGAAACAAGAGAACGGATCGGAAGCCTCGTGGCTCTATTCGGTCATTTCGAAAGGAACGGCGGCCGATAAGAGAACCGCAATGCAGCTGCAAATGCACAAATCGCCCGTCCACTCTCTGGAATACGTGGAGAAACTGATTGCCTCGTGCAAGAAGCAGGGAACGAGAGACGTCGTCGATATCATTCGTAAGCAAGTCCCACGAAATGTACAGTGGCATTCCTACTATTTTCAGCAATTCTTGAAGACGTTTTTATCAACCATTGCCTTCCGGAGAATCGCAAACTCATCCCGTTCTCGAACGTGCTCTCAAAGAATTGACCGAACTGTCTTCTGGAAATCAACGTTCCCGGAAGAAGATTCTGATGATGTGGGCGTTCGAGCACGAGCTCAAGATCCTCTATCAGCAGTTCATCGAGTCACTTGTCGAAATTATTAAGCGACCACTGGAAGAAGTGATCAAAAGATCTCTGAAGACGCTCGCCAACTGCTTGATGGGAAGACCGGAATCCGAAAATGTATTTTTTTTTCCAGAAATATAATCTCTATTCACATATCGTTTCCAGCTGATTCTTTCGGCACTTGTCAACGCATTCGGTCATCCGAACTACAAAATCGGTGCTTTTGTCGTCGTGCTTCTCGAAGGAACAGCCAGAAAACATCCAGCAATGAGAATTGTGATGCTTGAAGAAATCGAGAGATTGGCTTTCAGGTAGCCAGTGCTTAGAACCAGGTGTCTAGAACAATACGTATTTCAGAAAGAATGTAAACGAGCGTGCGCATCTGTATTCGATGACGTTCCTCTCCCAAATGAAGTTCTCGAAGAATGACTCGGATCTGTGTTGCCGTCTCATGTCTATTTATCTGGCTCTTTTCAAGACGATCGTGGGCAAGAAGCTCACCGATAATCGCCTTCTTCCCATCATTCTTGCCGGTGCCAACCGTGCTTTCCCATTTGCAAAGGAGGTTGATAAACTTCTGGAGGACGTGAAAGACGTCTACTTCCTCGCCCACAACTCCAACTATCGCACTGCCATTCCGGCTCTCAAACTGCTGTTCCAGTTCCACAAAATGAACGACTACGTTTCGGATCGCTTCTACAATGCTCTTTATCGAAAACTCCTCGACAACTGCCCGGCTGGAGCGTATGCTCAATTGCTCAAATTGATGTTTGACACGATGAAAGAGGACGCCTCCGTGCAGAGAGTCCGTTCGTTTGTGAAGCGTCTTCTGCAAGTAGCCGTCAACGCACAACCGGACTTTGCCGCCAGCATCCTCCTGCTCATCTCACGTCTTCAGAAGCTGAGAGGGAACGGAGAACAACTCATCGTGCTCAAAAAGGATATTGATGTAAGTGTGTGAAAGTACTCGTTCGGGTAGTAAGCATATCGTTTCAGCCGGCCGCTCGAGTCATTGCTCAAATGCAGAATGACGATGAGGATGAAGAGCGTTACGTGGATTTGGATACAGCTGGAAATGAGATTGTTAGAAGTGAACTGAAAAAGGAAGAAGTTGATGATGACATCATCGAGGAGGACGCCAAGGAGGACGAAACAAAGAAAGTGGACGCGGGCAAACTGGGCGCTTCTTCATCAGGCGGATGGGTTCATCGCAGCATGGGTGCTCGCGGAGCAAAGTCTCCGTACGATTCAGTAGCTCGTAATCCACTGTTCGTCGATGCGAGACAGGTGGCTGACAGTGAACTTCTCCTCCTTTCCAAACATTTCCATCCGTCCGTCGGCGTTTTTGCGAAGGCTCTGTTAGAGGGAAGAGAGATCAATTACGGAGGAGATGCTCTCAACGATTTCACCTTAATGGCGTTCCTCGACCGTTTCGCTTTCCGTAATCCGAAAGAAGTGGTGAAGAGCGGCGAAAAAAGAATCGTCAGAAAAAAAGCGCACGATCCATGGGGAGTCCGGAAGTTGGCTGTTGGATCAATGTAAGAAATATTATTGTTACGCCTCTTATATTGTTATTTTGTAGGAGTACACTCAGAAGCGTCGTGAAGAAATCCCAGCTGATGAACGCTTCTTGCATCGTTACACTTCGAGTCTGCAGAAGGAGAAGAAGGTGAAAAAGGAGAACGGCGAGGACGAATGGGAGTATGCGGAGTCCGTGAACTCGGAGGAGTTCGACCAGTTGCTCGAGAGATTCGAACCCGGGGAACTCAATGAAGAGTTCGACATCGACTACAGTAAAGAGTTTGGAGCGGAGAAGAGCAAGAAAGGAAAGAAGAAGGCGATGGACGACGAAGACGACGTCGATATGGATGAGGATGATGATATTGATTTGAATGATCTGAATGAAGAGGAAGACGGAGGAATGGAAGAGGACGACGACGATGACGTTGATGATGATGATGACGACGAAGTTGAGGGAGACGGAGAAGAAGAGGACGATGATGAGGACGACGACGACGAAGACGATGATGATGAGGGAGGATTCGGAAGAAACAGCTCTGCGAACATATTCGGAGAGGACGACTCGAGTGACGAGGAGATCGGCAAAAACGACTACGAGATGGCCGGAGACAAGTTCGCCGAGATGCTGGAAGACCTGGAAGAGGAGGACGAGCAGAAGGGAAAGAAGAAGGGAGGAAAGAAGAGAGGAGTGAAGCGAGGTGGCGGAGGATTCAAGAGAGGAGGCGGTGGGGCCAAGAAGTTCAGAAGACACTAGACGTCTTTTTACATCTGTTATCACTTTCAAAAATGTTGTTTTGTTGTTTGCTGTTTCTGTTTTCATTCTGTTAACACTATTCGTATGATTTGTTGAGATGAAAATATTGGTTTTAGCTCAAGGGAAAGTGCGACTCGACCTGCCATTATCAGTGCATATTAAAAACATTCAGGGAACATTCCATGTGAACATAATCACTTCTGATAAGCGCTTTCTTCTTTGTTCCTATAAAAGCCGGCGTTGTTTGCCATGTGCTCCGCTCTCCTTTGATTCCAATGATTCTTCCCGTCATTTTCACACTTTCCATTCTCTTTTCGCCCATTTCTACAGGTAATTCTAAAGATTCGCAGAATTCATCCAAACTTTGTTATTTTACCAGATAATGAGTGCCCGTACCAATACAAATTCTACGCGGAAACTGCAATTTGCTATCATTTATCCGAAATGCTATACGATTTCGACGGAGCCGTCAATTATTGTCAGAATAACGGAGGAAAGCTCGTCTCGTTGATTCAGGGCGAAAGACAGGGAGTCGCCAGTGAGTTAGGGGAAAATGAGAAAGGATCATTCACAACTGAAATCACAGAACTTTATAGAAACAGAGAATAACCTGTATGGATTCAAAACGTTCTAGTGTTGAGCGGAATTCCGTCTTCCAGGTTTCAAATTCCATTTCCGCTCAACACTGGTTCTTCAGCAAGTTTAGTTTCTGCTGTCAAAACGTAATGTAACTGTAAGCATAATCATTTCATAAAAACGGGGTTCGGACGACCTTTTTCCGAGTTGCACTGGTCGATTTGAGATAATTCTTCTGCAGATCTAACCGCCCACCTCGCTTTCCAACCGTGGATTGCGTCCCGAAGAAACACGACGAATGGAGTGTTCTACAACCTGGACAAGTCCGTTTTCATACCGGGGCAATGGACTGCCGGTTCTTAACTTTATCCCTCTCCCTGGAAACCATTCCTTTTCAGGAGAGCCAACGACAACAAACGGCAACTGTGTCACTTTCAAAGGCGTCGGCGCCAGCGTGGGTCTCCAGACGACGCAGTGCTATCAGCAGCAGTACGCCTTCTGCAAGATTGTGCCGAATCTGTGCAACGGAGGCGTCCAGAACGGAACATTCGGATCCATTCAGTCGCCACAGTATCCGGATCAGTATTACAACAAGCTGCTCTGCTACCACTATTTGTACGGTAAGAAAAGCAAAATGAATTGAATCTGACATCCACATGAAATTTCAGCTCCAGACGGTTTCTCAGTGAACATTTATTTCCCTCAGATCAACACGGAAAGATATTATGATTTCGTCGAACTTTATGAGGGAAACAGTACGGCCAAAGGAGATCAGATTGTCTCGTAAGATCATAGTCTATTGCAATTATTTATTTCATTACAAACTTTAATTTTGCAGCCTCACTGGAAATCTGACAGACCTTGAGTATTCCTCCAAAGGAAGCCTTCTTCTCGTTGTCTTCCGAACGAACTATGTCATCACGGACACGGGTTTCTACGGCACGTGGAATGTGCAGAGGATTCAACCGCCCATCGTGGCCAACGGAACAAGCAGCGGCGAGTTGAGCTCTCCGAACTATCCAAGCGATTATAACACGTTTGATAAGCAATTGTACTACATTGAAGTGGTCGCCGGCGCGCAAATCAACGTGATCATCGACGACTTTGTGACTCAGGAGACTTTTGATTATCTGGAAATCTACTCGACTCTTAATCAAACGTCAGCCACGCCGGTCGCCAGATTCTCGGGGAACTCTGTCGCTCCGTGGAACTGGCTTAGTCCGTCGAATGTGGTGTCGCTGAAGTTTGTGTCGGACGGCAGTTATCAGTACAAAGGATGGCATTTGGGGTGGAATATGGTCGAGCGGAAATGAATGTTATTTGTTTGTTTTTGTTTGTTTTTGTTCGTTCTTGGATATTGAAGACTCGTTTTGATTCTTACAGTCGAATTGTACACACGGAAAAGAGATACTTCGAGTCCAATTCAGAAAAAACGTTTACTTCAGAATGTGCTCTTCGATTTTCCCTTAAATTCGTTTCCTTTCATCACCTCTTGTCACAGTTGCCGTATCAATTTATCAATTTTTAATGTTAAAAAAGAAACCCATAAAATATCGCCACTGATAAAAGTTGCCCCGCTTGGCACTTGGATTCCTATGTTTCTTCTGCCGATCCTCCTCTTCTCAGCCCTTTCGGCTCTCGCAGGTTTCCGTCTTTTTTCCCCTTCCCGACGAATTCGGCTGTTCCGTTTCAGCATCGAAAGAATGCCCGGATGACTGGATTTTCCATCCGGACACGACAGAATGCTACTTCTTTTCCACACAGCTTTACACTTTCGACGAGTCCGTACAATACTGTAACTCCATCGGCGGCAAGTCCGTCTCAATTAGTTCGTACACTGAGAGAGATACAATTGTCGGTAAGTACTCACATTAGAGTATTACAGTAACGCTCATTTCCATTAAGCAATGACAAACACATCCGTACTTCAACCATGGCTTGCGGTCAGGAGAAACGCGACGAGCAACCAGTTCTATAATATCGACGGATCCTATTTCTACAGTTACATGTGGACCACAAGTGAGAAGCGGGTGAAAGTCTTGATAATCGGAAGACAAGATGATTGCAGATGAGCCGAGCACAAATGGAGACTGTGTGACCTACAAAGGAGTCAGTCCGCCGGGTCTCCGAGTCACGCAATGCTACCAGTTGCAGCCCGCTTTCTGCAAACAGACTCCCGCACTGTCAGTTGCTTTTCGTGCCTCTAGATCTATTCTGACTTCTGTGTCTGATAAAGACTCGCTGACGCAATCGAATTCGGCCAGTCTGAACTCTGATTCCATTTTGCACTCGGTCTTACTGTTGTTTTATTGCAGTTGCAACAGTGCAGTTCTCGGAGGACCGAACACGTGGAGCGGAACTTTCCAGTCCCCCGGATATCCCACTCAATACTACAATAATCTTGACTGCCGATATCTCATCAATTGTGAGCTTTATTTTGAAATCTAGAATATCTTTCAATATTATCCTTGTTTCAGCTCCAAACAACACGTTCATCACAGTTCAATTCTCTCCATTTTTGATTGAAGAGTGGTATGATTCTCTGCAAGTGTACGAGGGAAACTCGACGAGTTATGCTAATTATATTGGATCGTAGGTTCCTTCATTCTCACTCATTCTTCAAATTCCGCTCAGTGCTTCCTCGTACAACGCTGCTCGAGGCTTCGAATCTTCTGGAAACGTGATGAATGTCCAATTCAAAACCAACTACGCCATCACAGATAAGGGATGGTATGCCACGTGGCAAGCGAAGAAGGATATGCCAGTGATCAGACAGTCCGGAACCAACGGAACGATGGTCTCTCCGAACTACCCGAGCAACTACGATTCGTACGACGAACAAGTGTATCAGATTAGCGTGGCGTATGGAATGCAAGTGAACATGACAATAGACGACTTCCGAACAGAGTCCAAGTTTGATTATCTGAACATCTACAACAGTTCGATACAATCGAATACTTCTCTCGTGGCCACGTACGTCCCATTCTTCCTGTTGTTTCCTCTCATTTTCAACACTTTTAGACTCTCCGGCGCTTCGGTGGCTCCGTACAACTTCATCTCTCCGTACAGTTACATGTCTCTCAAGTTTGTCTCAGACGGCACTCTTCAATACAAAGGATGGCACATGTACTGGAATATCTGCTAGAATTCTGGTTTCATAATAAACACATTTGGTTTCCATGAATCATTCACGTGAGATGAAACATTGCACACAGACATAAAATTATAGAGTTGAGAATGTGGCACGACGGAGGGTCGTAAATTCTTGAGAGAGAAGGCCGGTAGCGATAGAGAAGAAGGAGTCAGTCGGACGAAAATGATCGCTGCTGTACTGACCGCGCTGCTCTTTGCGTCAGCAACTACTGGTGAGCAGAAAAAGTATCTTCTTTGCAATACAATATCCATGTTCCCGTTCCAGAGGTCACCGCCGATGACAGCCTGTGCCCAACGAATTGGTTCTTCTCCACGAACACCTCCTACTGTTACACCACCTCTTCCCAATACATGACTTACTACGAAGCAATTAACTACTGCCAATCCATCGGAGGCGCCCAGGTCTTCATCTCAACTGACCGAGAGCGCACCTATCTCATCGATTTCACCTCGAGTTCATTTGCTCAGCCATGGCTTGGAATCACCAGAAACACAACAACTAACAAATGGTACAACTCCGATGGAACCACTCCTCTCATCGCGTATTGGCTCACCGGGGAGCCTAGTGAAAATGGAGACTGTGCGACATTCAAAGGAACGAGTCCCAGTGGAATGAAAGCGACTCCGTGCTACAGTATCCAACCGGCCCTCTGCAAACAGCAGCCGGCTCTTTGTCCTGAACAGAGGTACTACGGAGGCTTGAGCACGAGATCTGGAACCATTCAGTCGCCGGGCTATCCAACACAGTACTACAACAACTTGAACTGCTGGTATACTATTACATGTAGGCGGAAGAAGCAGTCTATGCACAAGAGATTTTGTCATTTCAGCCCCGGTAAACACCTACATCACAATCCTGTTCAGTCCGTATTTAGTCGAAGAAACTTTTGATTATGTTGACCTCTACGACGGTCCGAACTCGAGTTATCCATTCCTCGGATCGTTCGTTGTACATTTTGATCTCTCATATGACAATTCGTTCATTTTCCAGAACCGATTATTGGTGGTACACGCGGTACGACTTCGAAAGTTCCAACAACTCGGTCAGCTTCATATTCCACACGGACAACATTATTACCGACAAAGGATGGCTTGCCACGTGGAGTGCAAAGTGGGTATCTATATTGGAAGCGATCTTTCAGCCGTTATCATTAATTTCTGTTATCAATCTTTGCTACTTGTTCTAGATCAAACACTCCACCGATCAGTCAGAGCGGGCAGAATGGCTCTTTCACTTCGCCCAACTATCCGAACGACTACGATGCATACACGGAGCAACTCTACTACATCACGGCGCCACTCGGATTCCAGGTCAACGTGACCATTGATGACTTCACGACAGAGGCCAATTACGATGTTCTGGAGGTGTATAACACGTCCTACGTCACCACAAATGGTCTTATCGCGAAGTGAGTTCGGAAAAAGTGGTCAGGAAATTGACCTCATAAGGCTACAATAGTTGTTTGCCGGTCCTTTGGCAGCGGCCCCGTGCTTCTGGGTCTGAGGTTCAAATCGGACTACATGAAGGGATTCCACATCTTTTGGTTCCTCGCCCAGTAAACTCGATCTAATAATTCTCAACTTTTCTTCTCCCCAACAGACGTTTTTTCAATTGGTTCTTTCAGTTTGTCCGGGTCGGCAGTCGCCCCGTGGTCCTGGGTATCGCCTTCTCGTTATGTGACGATGCGGTTCAAATCAGACGCAATCATCAACAAGAAGGGATTCCATATCTTCTGGTTCCTCGCTTGAGACTCTTTAATAAACGTTTTACTTTCGAATACTTTCACGTTTTATGTGAATAAACGTTTTCAAAAATTTATCATTTCTGAAAGATGAACTTGTCGACGTGGAAAGTGGCGACTATTGTGCTGGTCTCCGGAGCCACTCTCTTCGTTGCTTATCGATGTTACAAATATGGATCGTTGTTTAGAGAGGTTCGCGACAAAAGTGACGCAGTAAACGCATGTTTTTAGAAGAAAGCTGAAAAAGTGGAGGAAAAAATGGAAGAGAACGTGAAAGTGAAGACGGAAGAGATGTCGAAAACTTCGAGAAAGAGACGTGAGTGCAAAGAGTTAATAGAATGAAATTGTAAATAGTTCCACAAACATTTCTTCTTTTCCTCATCACCAATCTCCGTTACTTCAGAAAAGCGGGATCGTCGTGCGCGCGCCCGTGCTTCTGCTCCGACGGCGATCCACGAGTCGAGCACCTCCTCCTCCTCCTCTTCCGCTCAACAATAATTCCTCATTTCCTGCTTTTTCCGTATGTGTCATCGTTTATAAAGAATGAAAAATCAATTGTACGCTTCCACCTACACAACAAAACGTTTTTGAAGTACAAATACGACGCGCCCCCCTTCGACTGATAAGCATACATGCAAAACCGTCGATACATCGATAGATAGAGGCACTATTTTTCTCTGACTCATCCTCTCTTTTTTGCTGTTTTCCGTTCTTGAATTCTATTCGAAAATGTCGCTGCAATGCCTTCTGATATTCGCTCTTCCCACCGTAATCCTTTCCGCTTTCCCCGATTACACTCCCTACACGTATCCGGATTCAATGACCCAATCCGAGTTGTGTGGTCAGACGAAGCCCTCTTTTTTCTGTGACCCCAACAACATTGTGAATAGAAAGCAAACGAATAGCAATGATTCGGTGGTGGACGAGGAGAATTCCTTTGAGAAAGAGCTACTGTACGTTCGTGGCGAGACCAACTGCTCGTGCATTCACAAGTCGTTTTGTGCCCCGTCGCCTAGGGGATACACAATTTCGATTGCAGTCGTTGAAAAGATGCGCTTGGATTCAAATGAAACGTAAGAGGCCCATTCTTTCCTTCTAGACACTCTTTGCTGCAGATCTCGTGAGTCAATCCTCGAAGCAGCCAAAGTATTCGCGGACGTCATCCGTGATCGTCAGAGTCGGGGACAATGTGACGACGATCTGGTGATTCTCTTGTCGGCCCGCGATCAAGTTGTGTACACTTCTGTTGGCGAGATGATAAAGGTCGACGAATTGGTGATTCGGCAGATATCGGAGCAAGGAGAAGTGTTCTTCCGGAAGATGCAGTATCGAGAAGGGCTCGAGTGGATGATCAAGCAGTACAAACACGTGCTGAAGCAGGAGAGAATCGAGCATTGTGAGTGTTTCATTCATGCGTAATGTGTTTTCTAATTATGAAATGGAACCTCGTCGTTTCAGTGTGGAACTGGCCGCTCCCTGAATGGGTGCTCCTCGTGCTCGCGGCTCTCGTGCTCCTCGTCCTCGGCACTCTCATCTGCGCAATCACCTATATGTGCATTCGTTTCTGCCGCCGCGACCGTCGCGATGAATACTCGATGGTCGAGCACTGATCGCTTTCTCACACTTTTTTATTCATGCCCTTTTCTGATCTGATTTGTCCACTTTTATATGGGTATAAAACGGAAGTCTCTCAATTTCAAATAAACTAGTCATTTATTCTCCTTCTTTCTTGCTCATCGAGCACTCTTTCTGCCCTCTTCCTCCGTTTCTCCGTACGGTCCCAGCCACGAGTCGGACATTGATCGGGCGTGCATTAGCATCGGAGCGCCACGTGCCACTTCTCCAAGTCTTCCATCGACGCGAGCAGTTGTGGCGCTGCTGGTCGGCAATTCCATCGAGTTGTGAGTCGTAGCTGTAAAAAAGTGGGTTGAATTTTCATCAAATGCGCTCTGGAGTCTAGGTTCACCGAGATTACTAATAGAGTAAACGGAGTATTTGACGTCACGAATCTTTAGTTCTGCACCAAACTCTCCGTTTTCGAGAAGTATGTGGCTGTCTATCTCTACTTCGCATCTCATTTCGACTCTTTTTTATTCCCTCAAAGTGTTCCCAGACTCTTATCATCTTCTACTTTGGAACGGGAGCAGAAATCCACTACAATCTCGTATTTACCCGCTCTCGGCTTCTCGCGACGAACTCACAATTCGTGGTAGCCGGTGTCATGTCGTACTTGGGCGGCGAGTGCGATTTGATAGAGTCTTCGTAGGTCGGCGGCTGCTGATGATGATGAATGGGCAGCAGAGCGTTCGGATCGAGAACATAACCTGCAACGTGTGTTCTTTCCCATTCGAATGTTTCCAATTCTCCGCCCGACAACCCGTGTCTCTCTACAAAACATACACACACACTCTTTTCACATTTGCTTCCAATTTATCGCATTTTTAGAGTCCTGTTTACGTGTGACAGCGTTTTTTTTTCGCAAAATGCGACCCGATGGGAGACTGGGAAACTATGCGAGTTTTGCAAGTCCGGACGCTTTACGGAAATTGAGTTTGGATTAGGTTGGATTAGTTACCTGGCTGAGCCCACCTACATTCCTAATCTGATGAGCCGGATCTCTCGGCTCGTGAGCCTGAAGTGTAGGCAAGATCAAGAGCTAACTCTCACTTGCAGTTTCCAAAGCTACTAGACCGGGCTATTGTCGTGCTTCTCATTTTCTATTCCTGTTTGCATCTGAACTCTCCTAGTCAGTTTCTTTTTCGAGACGCCCATTGTTGTTGCCCGTCTGCCACGTCACACTTCCATTTGTCGTGTGACATCTGACACTTGGAGTAGTGAGCGTTGTCTCCATTTCATTTGCATCTTTCAAAACACCAGAATGTTCCATCGTTTTCTGGTATTTCGTAAAGAAAGAAGAACCCATAAGTGCATTCCTATGACATGACTCCCCTGGGGGATCTCCTGCAACCCGAGGAAGGCGGTGGCGGACAAAAGAGATTTCATCATGAGCCTCCCCTCTCTTACAAGACTCATGTATTTACGCGAAAGGGAGCGGATTTCAAAACATGAAATATTCATCGAGGTCCTTCCTCTCTTCCTGACACAATGGGGTCGCCTTGCGGACACTCGCTCCACTCATTTCCCCGCCCGTTTTCCCACATTGCTCTTTTTGGAGCCACCGAGCACGCCACACACAAAAGAGAGAAAGAAGAGCGTGTTCTTTCCGTTTCTGGCGGTGACAGGTCAGTTCCCAGTGCCACTTTGTCGCAAAGGTATCTAAATCTGAATCATAAATTCGCGAGGCCCGTGAGGAAGCATTTTGTGTGTGTGTGTCGCCTGCATTCCGTTCAATTTTATGACACCCCAAGAGCCCCCCAGGACACTCCAAGAACATACGGCACACACGTGTTATTTCTCGGTTCTGATGGTAGTGCGCCTTCGACCGCCACCACTACATCCATTTGAAATTGAAGGATTATCTGAGCCGCGACCCCCCTCCTCTTTGTGTGCTCCTGACCACCAGCAGAACTCACTAAGAAGCCTTTGCGTGAAGCCGTCGTTTGTCAAATTGCACATGTTTCGCTTTTTTTTCGTCTTTCTCAACGACGTGTTCTCTCATCACTTCTTTTTTCGTGGCCTTCTTGCAACTGCTCTCATTGTCACACTTTCAATTTCCTGTTTTGAGCCGTGTGGTACGACGCAACAAACTGAGCTCATTCCCGCAACAAAAGATACTCTATGCCAGGTGCTTTTCTTGATAAATAGAAGCGTGATTCGTGTGCGTGCATGCGCTCATTGAAAGATTTCGAGAAGAGGCCATGTTTTGGTAGTTAGAAGACATGCGAAAAGCTGTGATTAGTGGAGATGTTCCCCCAGAGACTCTCAACGGGCATAAATATCCTAATTAGGGCTTTGTGAGTGAGATTCGACGGCCGTGGAGAGGAGGAGAGGCTTCGCAAATCGTTGTTACATCCAGGTGGTGGTTACTTTTGATTCGGTTCCGGCACGGCCGTGCTTCGGCTCCAGAAGCTTATTTGATTTTAAACTCGGCTACTAGATTGATGTGACCCCAACAAACATTTTTCCCAAGTATCAAATCAAACGCACTTCTGTCGGGAGTACGGTAAGCCGGACGCCCAGGTTACTTTAGTTGGCCAATGTAGTTTCTCAACTCCACTATCTCAGTCTCATTCAAATTCTTTCCCACTGTTTTTTGTCAGTCATAAAGCTGCTACCGACAAGAATGACGTGTCAGTGTGTACCAACCTCGGCCCGTAACTGATCATCCCTTCTGGTAGACCTCATCTGACGTCATTTGTCTCGTGTTCGACCCTTACAATTCGTTCTCCCCGAGGTCTCCGCCGCCGATCGCCCACCAAAATGGCCGCAATTCATATTCGGATGGTGCTCTCTCAAGTGCCTTCTACTCCGCATTCAAATCCATCATCTAATTTTCACAATTAACCCGTCGCCTCTCTCTCCCGCCGCTCGCTCCAATTTCCCTCCTGCTCCGCTCCTTCCTTCTTCTTTTCTCAACTCATCACGCTGGGAGGTCCGAAACTAAATGAAGAAGCAAGCAGTAAGCAGCACGGCGCTTTGGATGGATGTTTCCTTCAGGGCCCAACCATCTGTCCGCCTATTATACATTTTATATGCGGCCGGACTCTCCTTCCTTCGGTGCTCCGCTCGCCTCTTCAACAACAATCCACGATTTATCTCCCTTTTGAAGTCAACCAAACACTCACATCTTCCATTCTGTTTAACCCGAAGAAGAAGAAAAGGAAGAAGAAGAAGAAGCTTGTGACTTGCCGCGTGGCAATCCGTCTAATGTAGTATGTATTCGCCCATCCATGCTCGAAATGTTCCTTTTTATCGCCCTCTAAACTTGTTGTTTTCCACCGGCAGCTCGACTCATTTCCCTCTTCCTTATTTCCAAAAAGGACAGCTGCAAAATCCGGCTGGTACTCTGCTCGTAAATCACAGTGACTCCGGTGGTATTCGCGATTCGAATCGTGAATTCAATATACATATTTAGCAGAAGAAGAAGAAGACGTGAGAAATGAGGTGGAGAAGCGGTTAGTGTTGGCGAAACGGATAGCGCATTCGTCTTGTTTGATGCTCTCAACTTTTTCGGAGGAACTGAAAAGTGAGTGACCGCGAAGACTGATGATGTTTTTCCCCTTTCTCTTCTCCATTTAGTCGACTTCCTAGTACCCAGCGTTCATTGAAAGTTTATTCGTCCCGGCTCATTGTTTACGTCTTCTCAGAGATCAACCCTTTCTGACCAAATTCCATCGGTGTGTGACCAAGTCTCTTTTTTCTTCTTGCCAACCTATTGTCGGGAACATGCAACATGTCCTTCCCTTCTTCCCTTTCCTTCTTTTCTTCTTTTCTTCCCTTTTTTCCCCATTCTTCGAATCTTTTCTCTCCCCATTTTTCCTCATTCGTCAGTACGTTCGTTCTTTCACTCGGTTGCAAAATAGACGTTGACAACACAATATCCTCGTGTGAGAAGGGAGAAGAAAGGAGAAGAAGAGAGTGCACTTTGTGTTTTTCAGACTTTATGTGACTAGGGCAGAGAAGCTGCCTGGGCCCACACGTGGGAACTTTGCTGGTATTGCATTTTTTGTTTGAAAAGCGAAAAAGCACACTTTTCTCTTTTATGAAACGATAGTAGCCGGACCCTTTCAGCACTCCTAGTGGCAAGTCAAAACATGCAATCAAGTGGAATACCAACTTTCCAGCCTAATACGCACCTTGCTCTGAATTCGATCCCATTTGTGATCCGATCGGCGCCCACCACAGACAGTCCAGACATCCACTCCCATCTCTCTCTCTCTCTCTCACTTCCTACCCTTCTCCTGAAGAAGAACAGATGCGAGAATGTATGTGTGCTCATCTCATCACAATGAATACGAATGTGATGATGGTGGTGCGCCGCTCCCCTCGCGCGCCCATCGCCCCGCCACTAAGCACAATAATCGCGTGTAGATAAATAAATGGGTTGTGAAAGAAACGGGTAGTGCACATCATTCTTACCAGTACTTCTTCTTCTTCTTCTTCTTCGCGTTCCTTCGTTCGTGTCGCCAAAAGGACGGTTGTGGCGACACGGACGGGGGAAATGAATGAGGCGAACGAACAAAACGCCTCTCCACTCGCTCGTTTTCTTCCATTTTCCCCCATTCTTGACGAAAATGAGAAGACATATTAAACGAAAGGAAAGGCGAGATGCGGGCGCAAAGATAGTGTGACGGGCAATTAGAGAAACACACCAGAAAGTGTCCTGAGATGGATGACCTCCCCCCGTTCTTCTAGGCATTTTTGAGTGAACACAAAGACGTGTGTGTTATTCACAAAAGTTCTGGTAGTATTGTTGGTCTCGATTCTAGGAATTGTCCTAACTAACTAACTAACGGGCTCCTCTCATCCAGCACCTACCGTAATCTGTCTCGCATTGCGAATGAGAATGAGAATGAGAATGAACTGGCCCTGGGATACTTGAGAAATCCTTGTTGGGTGCGAAGTAATACACACACACACATTCCACATTATAATCCCATCCATTCTCTTCTTCTCAGCCCGTTCCTTCCCTTTATAAATCGCGCGCGCATCTCTTCTTTTCCGGTGGCGCCCCTCTTAATCTCTGCCTTCCAATCTGTCCAATATGCACTCGCGCGCCGTTTCGCTTGATAACTTTATGTTCCATGACCACCAAGAGAGAAGGAAGCCCAGTGCCTAATTTGCATATGGAATTGATAATTAATGTGGTGCAAGAGTGTGTTGGTTGGGGTTATGTCGCTCCGTGCTCCGTCCAACAAGAAGTAATTGGCAAGGGGGTGTCGAATGGAACGGACGGAACACCCTCCTCCATGTACACTTGTCGGAGCCTAATCTGCTTAGTGGTCACTTTCTCGCGGATCGCTTTTCGTTTCTTGTTGTGTTTGCCCTTCGTTGCGCAGAGGGGAGAGAGAGAGAGAGGACACTAACACAGAGATAGGGCGACGAAACCGAGAGTATTTGTCTGCTATTGAGCATCCGATCTGTATTTGACAGAGATGATGAGATGAGGTTAACCGTCTGCTCTGCGGGCGGCTCGCCTCTTAGTCACTCGAATGGTTTTTGGTGGCCGCCGGCTCACTGTACTATCATCTGTTATCATCTATCCCTTTAGGCTCTTATCAGTTTGTATACAAGAAGCCAACCATATGGTGTTGCTTGTTGCAGTTCATTCCTTTTCGCAACTGCTTGACTTCGTCTCTATTTATCACTTTCTTATCACATTATCTCCTCAATGTCATCATGCGAAACACCCCTGCTGCTACTTTTACTTCAGTTCTTTTCTTCCTATTCTAAGATTTCCGGGTCTACTCGAGGTTACAGTAATTGATTCAGAAAGCGATAAGAGCTCCGATTGTTTATCTGCTCTTTTATTTTGTGAAAAGTCACATTGGCAGTACTCTCAACTGTTGACCCGACCTCCCCTCTTACTCGCCTTTCTTCTCATTTTCATTCTCCTCACTCTTCCCCGTCTTCTTTTTCTGTACATTTTGTGCTTTCCGGACCGACGCGTACGTGTCAATAAATGCACACAGGTCTCCCTGAGCGGAGGAGCAATAGAGAGGAAAGAGCACAAAAAACAAATACAAAAATGTTCAGATTGGCTCAGCTGTATGTTGCTGCTCCTTTTTCTTCTTTTTCTTATTCTTCTTCGAAAGACACACACACGCCAAACATTGTCTTCTTTTGCTCTTCCGTTCAGAGATAGACGAGAGCTGGAGCACTTTTCCGGGCGGCCTTTCAAGGTGTCAACACGCGGTTTTCTGCCAGTACATCATCATCATTGGAAATGCGCGGACGGCGGAGAAGCGAGCGCAGAGAATGACCCTT